CCATTATCTCCAGGTCGAAGTCCTCGTGCCGCCCGCATCTGGCGTCGAAGACGGTGGATCCGGGGAGGCAAGAGGAGAGCGCGAGGACGCGGAGCGTCGGGACGGCCTCGACGATCCGCAGAGGGAGCGGGCGGAGCACTTCGACGCGGCGGGATTCGGTCGCGCGCCAACCGTCCACTTCCGCCACGCCCGACGCGTGGTAGTATAGTGGGATCGGCGGGAAGTGCAGGGACAAGTGGACGAGCGCGAACGATTTGGATCGCAGCGCGGCGAGGAGCGGCTCCTGGGTGCGGCGCGGGGGGTCAGTGGTCGGGAAAAGAGCGGGGAGGGAGGCGCGGCGAGGACGTGACGGACCGTATATTGGCGCAGTCGCACTCGCCCGGCGCGACGACGATCTCGAGCGAGCGCAGCACGGGCGCGGCACGCCACAGCATGTTCCAGACACGACCCGGGTCCACCATCGTGGTGTCGTGTGGAGCTCTAGGGCGGTGGGCCGGATGGCCGAAAGAAGCTGGATGGAGTCGTAGAAGCCGGCTGGGCTGGATATCGGCGTGCTCGCCCCGTATGCCAACGTGCCGACGCGCCCGATGCGCCCGGCAGTAGTCCATGGGATGAAGGTGGGGGAGGGGACGTCGAGCCGCTTGAGTCCGGTAGGCCATCGGTCTTCATCTGCCATGGAAAGTGTTACGGGCCGCTCTCCCTTCGCATTCAGCTGAAGAGACAAGGTGATGGTGTTGGGACACAGGGGGATGATACCAGAGGGGATCTGAGCAAGACAGCGGAAGGAGAGGTGGCGAATGGAGGGAAGGACGGTTTGGATGGGATTAGGGGATCCGTTGGCACGATGTACGAGACGAGGGCGAGGGTGTGTAGGCTCTGCATGGAGGAGAGTCCGGACACGAGGGCCGCGAGGTCGATGTCTCCGGACTCAAAGTACATCTCGTCGAATTCAAGCGTCAATAAGGTCAGGCGCCGACTCGAGAGGATCTCCGGCAGAGCAGCTACCGTCTCAGGACCGACATCTATCAGGCGTGCTTGCTCGAGGTTGTGCATGGCGCCGATAGCGTCTACGAGAAGTCTGTCTTGGTGTACGAAGAACTCGAAGCTGTGGATCTCGATAGTGCGGAGGTTGAAGGCTTGGCTGAGAATTTCGCGCAAAGGAGGAACATCGACATCGCAAAAGTGGTGGAGGGTGAAATGGCGGAGGTGCCGGACGCGGGGGACTTGGGAAAACGGCTCTGGTGCGCACATATATCGCGATAGTGCACGTGCTTCGGAGGCGTCCTTGTCGTCTACTTCGAGGTCTCTGTCCCAGCACACGTTGACGAAGATGCGGGATATGGCAAGGGAGTAGGCGTGTCTGGAGGTGGAAGACATCGCGAGCGCATCGTCGCGGTCGAGGAAGGAGAATATCGCGAGAAGGACGTCGTCGTAGAGAGAGAGGAGGGAGATGGGGTCCATGTTTGCGCACGGACCACAAATCGTCGTCGGTAGCTTGGGAGTTGCTTGCGAGAGGTGCGAGTCTAGGCGGAACGTGTGGGAGAAGGCACAGAGAGACGGACTGGAGAGAAATGAGGCCAAGCGGTGGTCGGGAGGAGGAAGCAAAATTGGGTGGGACGGCGTCAACCGTGCTCGACGCCTCTTCTTCCTCTTCTCCCATCATCCGTCAAGCCTCGGCCTCCTCCTTTCACATCGTCGTCTCGTCTCCACTATGCACACGCCCTTCCACTCCTATCAGCACAGCGTCGTCTATGAGCCCCGCCTGTTAGTGGGCCCATACGGCTTCATGCTCCGGCTGGAGTCTGGAGTCATCGCTGCTGGGAAAAGCACCGTCGTTCTTATAGTCTTGCAGGAGATAGTCGACCTGTCGATGGACATCTGGAGTGTAAGATAGCGGCTGTCGGTACGTGCCTTGCTCTCGTTCATCGCGCCGCTTTCTCCCATCCACGCATCAAGGCCTCTTTGCCTCGTCTTGGTTGCTTTACTGCACCTCCAGCTGGCATTACGTGGAACTCGTCATGTATTCGCACGGCTAGCGACGGCGACGACTTCCGCGTCGCCTTTCCACAGGTTCGCTCGTCTCCTCGTGCGGACGATCTCCACGTTTCTCGCCTCGCGATCTCGTCGTACGCGCCCCCCACCCTACGACACCGACGAAGGCAAGTGTCCGCTCAGGCAGAGGATGTGTCATGCGTCTAAACCGGCGGCGACGGCGAGTCGGGGGGTGGGCGCAGGGACGAGGTCAGCAGAGGAGGGACGGACAAAAGGGCACGCGGGGTCAGTGCTCCCCCAGTGCTTTTCTGAAAAGATTCGCTACGCTCTTCCCACCATGTTCGAACGATCTTCGGAAACCTATTCTTTCCTGGGTTGGGGTTAGAACATCAAGTACTGGAGTGTCGCTGCGACTTTACAATTCAATTCTGGAATCGATATATCACAATGAATACGTCTCTGAGCTCTGCAGGACTGCACGCTTGACCTACACGTATACATGCAGTACTGGAAGGCTAATGCAGCTGTGATGCGCGGGAAGTCAGAGAAAAGGTATGACGCGCCACGCGCGCGGAGAATAGGTGCAGAATGAGAAGGCCTGCACGACCTTGTGGTCGCGGTCGACGGGTGACACTGAAGAGAGAGGACGGCGTAGCTATCTACATACTAGGCAGACCGGAGGACTTAGTCCCGGGTGACATCGGTGCCTGTGCCAAGAACAACCCAGTGCTGTCGCACATTCTTGCAAAGATCTTGGCCTAGGAACTGCGAACGCGAAACAATATCAAAAAGTCCGCTCGAGCTCGACCAAACTCTTATGCGCTTTACCCAACCCGGTCAAACTCCAGCGGCCTACGTTCCGATGAAGTTTTTTAATCGTAGATTCCCTCGTTGACTCTTGTCTTGTCTTTGAGTGCTTCAGCACTGACATATTCCCTTCAACAACAGGTAGAACTCATCACCGGGAAAGCCATGGATCCTATCGACCGCTGTCACATCGAAACCTTTACCAAGACCTTACAACATGTCGTTCATCCTACTTATCTCATGTCCTCGCAATCCTACCATGGCTTCGGCTGCTCCTCGTATCCCGACTAGAGAAAAGTGGCTCAATCTGCTTCTCGATCGGGCTCATGGTGCTTCCCTCGAGATCAACATAAACTTCGCGAAGACTGCTCATCCGGATTTTGCGCCAATGCTCCACCACGTCTCCGACCGTAGGGAGCGACTCAAGTACCTCTACTCCGCCCACTTCAAAGCCGAGCTCGAGCTCTCACAGCGGCGATGTTGAGATCATCTTCTGAGGGCGTAAGTATGAGCTCCGACGTGGAGGATCTACAAAACAATGTACTTGAACATCAGCGCAAGCTAAATGAGCAGTCAAAAATCGGGATACCAGTACCACAGCGATTACAAACTGCGTTCTCGCCTTACGATGTCCTGCCCGCCGCGGGCGCGCGCACCAGGATCTCGCTGAACCGCGCGACGAGCCGCTCCTCCAACTCGCGTTGGCGCCGCCGCTCCTCTATCTCGTGCTGGTGCCGCTCCGCGCGCTCCTCCAACTCCCGCTGCAGCGCTGCCAGCCGCTCTTCCAGCCGCTCGAATCGCGTGCCCATCGACGCGAGCCCGTCCTCGAGCGCGGCGAGCCGCCGCGCCTGCGTCCGCGCGTCCTCGCTCGCACCGTCGCCCGCGCGGGTCGTCCGGCGCGTTGGGGTCGTGGCCGGGCGTGAACTTGACCATCGGATGCGTGTAAACGTGTGTGTGGCTCGGACGTCCGGCGGGCACTCGGACGCCGTGCGCCATGCACATCACGCACAGGAAAGTGTCTGGGTGCGAAGGGGTCAGCGCGAGCGGCGCCGGGCACGCGCGAGAGGCGTATACTCGCCGCTTTTGTGGCCGTAGAACCACTCGGCTGGGGGAACGGCCGCATGCATTCCCGGCAGCGGATGAGCGTCTTCTCCTCGCACGCGTCGCAGACGAAATATGGAGTCAATAGGCGCGTCAAAATGAAGTCAATGGATTCGAGGCCAAAGAGAGACTCCTCGGACGAACCGAAGCAGGTGATGCAGAGCCAGCACTCGTTCATGTATACTTCTGTCAGCAAGCCATACACGGCCAATCTGCGTGTTGGGATGCGGTCACCCTGTGATCGAGGACGGTCCGTCTTCGGGAACAGACCCCGGGGGTGACGACGGTGTGGACGAATTCTCGGGGACGTCGACCGCGGGAAGTTCAATCGGCGAAGTCTCGATACCTTGAAGGTTGAGAGCGTCTAGCTGGACGACCGTCCCATGATCGTTGACTGTAGGAAGAGCCACGGGGTCAAGAGTGGCTGACAATGGTGCTGAAGGCGTTGGATGTGAGCTTTCGGGAACCTGGCTGGCCTCGCTCGTGACGGCCTCTGGCTCATGCGCTTCGTCTGGCCGGGAAGTATATGGGACGGGCGCAGTATCGTCTGTCTCGCCGGCGTCGCTCGGTTCCGGGACGTCTTGGTCCAGCCCCGAAGATTCTTCCGCAGGAGCAGCTGTATCCGTGCTTGATTCAGTCGACTCAGGCCTGAGCGAAGGCCCGTTGTCCGGGTTCCTCATGAACTCCAAGCGAATTTGAGCAGAACCGCACACGTCCATCCATTCCGGGTGAGTCATGGGCGTCCGCACTTTGAGGAGATCGTGCGTAGGGAGGTGCACAAGCGGCTTCTTGAGAGTCGAACCGTTCAACCGAGTACCCGGGCTTTCCCGGATCTCGACTTGGAGACACGCCGGCTGGGAGCAGAACGTGGGCCGGATGGAAAAGTCGTCGACGTCGCAGTCGAGGCACACAAAGCATGCGCCGTTGGTGCGGTGGGGCGTCTTGTCCAACAACATCGCAGCGGATGGCCCGTAGCACCAGTCGAACTGTCTGTGAGCGCGACATGTCAGTGCTCGCCAGCCCGAGAAGACAGCGGGAAGACTCGTGCTGTTGCTCGAAGAGCGCTGTCGTGAAGCGTTAGTATAAGTACGCATTATGACGCGAGTGACGTACTCTGCAGCTCGCTTACACGCGAGATGACCGCAGACTGAACCTCATGGAATGAATTCGCGCAGCGTTCGAAACAGCCTTTGGTGAGGGCTACTTCGGTAGCAGCATTGAGCATCTTCATTGCAAAGAAGCAAATAGACTAGCGTAAAGATAGACTGGATGATCTCAGTACCCCCCGGTTTGGCCCACAGTGCGGAGACAATTTCACGCACCTTTTCCAGTGCGTTTCGTCCGAGCACGAGAGTCAGAGTGTCGGTTGCGTCGATGTGGTACTTGACCTTCTCCAAGTTCCCGCGTAGGCGATTCTCCTCCAGAGCAGTCATCTCGTGAAACCTCTCGATCAAACCGTACGCCTGATCGGGAGGGTCGGGGACCAAGAACCCATGCACGAGCTTCGCGATCCATGTCCAGTGGTTGTTGAGGAAGTGGTCCCCTTCTCGTCGGTTTCGCGCGAGAATCTTCGGAATGATGTCGCGGATATCCTGCAGCAAGGACATAATCTTTTCGGCGTAGTCCAAAGCTGCGAGTCGCCATCCTGGAAACAAGGGGCCATTTGTCAGACGATGACGCACGCGCATGCATGGAGCGCAGACGCGCCTATGGCCCAGTATGCGATCCAATGGGGGATACTGCAAGTTCTCAATGAGAATAACAAGGGAGAGTATCATTGGGGACGTACCTCCAGGTGAGCGACAGTGGTCGCATGTCCATGAGTCTGTTGACCTCACTTGTAGTGACATAACCCGAGGCGTCTTCGTCGAAGGCTTCCATGATTGGTCACAACCACGGGACGCTGAGGTATGTAAGGGCCCACTGGTCGCTATCGTTAGACGCCTTTCCGGTAATCGCTTCGTCAAAAAGCTCCCGATAGTACTCTTGTAATGTCAGGACGAACGAGCGAGCTTTGACGCTTCCTCGCCAGTTCTTGTCCGCACGTCAGTGCGCTGTCCACTCGCTAGCGCTCGAATCACGCACCATGTCATGCCAGATCTGCCTCATCTCCTGGAGACATTGACTGCGATTAGCGCCCCCCGTCGTCCTGTCCGTCGCACAAAGTACAAACTCACCGGATCGCGAATGCGCATGTGTGGACCCTTGGCCATCGCCCCTGTGACCGCGTCAATCACCCGATCGTTCTCCGCCCGGATGTACCGCTCGAGAGCGTCCTGGAGGATGCCGATTTGGAGCTGGAACTTCCCCGTGAACGTCTCGAAGTTGCGCTCGAGCGCGTCGTCGACGTCTTCCCGAAGCTCCGCCTTGAGTTCGTCGAGCGATGCGCTGTCCTTGCCCCGCGCGCCTTTGCCCACGATCTGCCGACGTCCACCCGCACCCGCGCCCACGCGCCCTTGCGCTTCGGGCGCGGGAACTCCGGCGCGTCGTGGGTCGGCGCCAGGTGCATCAGCGCGCATCGAGACGGAGATCGCGATGAGGGACTTGAGGACCTCATCGTCTTTGCGCGCAGTGGTGATGCCACCGGCCTCGCTGATTGCCTTCTCAACCTTGCGCTCGTCCTCGGGCGCGAACTTGTTGAAGAGCGCGAGGATGACGTCCAGTCTGCAGCAAAACGTGAGTCTTGTGTCGCCAGCGGGGGGGAAAGCGCCTGGAGGTACTTCGCGCTCATCTCGTAGTTCTGGCGCTTCACGTCGGACACCGTAGTCGCGGAATGCATGGCGAGAGCGAACTCGAAGCCGCCCTTCCGCTCGGTGAAGACATCGACCCAGGATGCCAGCTTGTCGGCCCATATGGGGCCTTTGAAGACGCGCGCCAAGGTGCGCTTCTTGAGGAACGTGTCGCACAGGTTGGCGCACGCTTTGATATCTGCCGCCGTCTGTTTCGAGAGCGCCTCCAGTCGATCCTCGATCGCTTGTCCATCGAGCCCTCGATGGGAGGTGCTCTCTATGTCTTTGAGTCTATTTGAAATCAGTAATGTCATCGCGCAGCGATATCAGCGAGCACGTACTGCACCATGGCGACCATCACGTCTTTCATGGTCACGTACAAGGTCATGACCCTTCGGTCATTCTCCTGGCGCGTCGACTCCAGGTAGTAGACGGCTTTGAAAGCCAGAACGGCCACTGTGCGGGACAAAAGTCAACGCTGCACTCTGAAAGCGGAGAGCGGTACAGCTGACCTGTCACAGCGGGATGGATCTTCGCGAGCTCATCGAGACTTTTCATGAGCCAAGGGATGTTGTCGGCGAAGCGTTGGATGCCGCGCTCAATCTTCTGCGCGACATCTGAAGCTGCCAGAGCCCCGACATCGCTCGACACAGCTTCACAGCCCCGATTGGCGAGCATGGCGAGCTGCTCACCCCGTTCTTCTGCGCACATAACACGTCATCAGGAAATGTGCCTCGTTGAGGTCGTATGGACGTACTGAGAGGGTTCGGTGAGCGCGGAGAGTGCGTTGGTCCAGCGTTGAGCTTGTCTTGGATGGGCGCAAGCTCCGCGAGTGCGCTGTCCATAGCGTGTAGAATTAGTGCAGTCGCGACGGGAAGGCTCCATTTCGGCATGTTGATGTCAGGTTCTGGGACCAGTTCGGGGACTGGGATCTGGACTTCGCGCGAGAGCGGCGGAGCACAATCGGTGCTTTGTTCGAATCCGACGTGTCGCGAGACCACTTTACCCTCGGCGACTGTACCGAAGGGAGCATTTGTCGAGATTATTGCAGATGTGCTGGAGGTCGCCGACGCATCACTGGATCCATCTGACTGTGCTGGTGTGTTCTTATTGCGGAACTTGCGTATGCTCCGCGTGAGCTTGGAGAGTGGCATGGGAGTTAGTGGAACAGATGGCAAGGACCGGGGCTCACAGATGAGGGAGCGCGCGAGGCGGAAATAGTCGGGGAGGCCTGGGGCGTGATCAAATTGTTGCACTGGTCATCCACAAGATCCGCGTTGATAGGAAGCACGAATTCCGCCGTACTTCTCAGTCGACCTGACCCACGCCCGTGCACGCGCTCTGGACCTCTCCTCCCCCCTCCGTGTACTCGCGCGTTCGGTCAATCGATGCTGTTTCCCTTCGCATCCCGCCGACTTTTCAGTGCCCGCGTAATGTTCTGCATGCACGTAGTTTATGCTTGTCGCGACCGAATGCTCGAAACAAATGGGATTGGGTACACATACAACATGAAAAACATGTTTCCACGCACTGGCTGGAAGAACACTGCCAACGCCCAGCTGGGGGAACACGCGAGACATAGCGAGGAAGGACTCACTATCCGGCGTCGTCGCAAGGCCGCGCTGCACTTCACTTTCGCTGCCCTCTCTCGCCCCCCCTGGTCCACCCACCGTGCCACCACGCCCGTCTTCTGTCTCCGGAAGTGGTCTGCCTTACACGCCTCCGTGTCTAGTCCGAGGAGAGCCATGCCCCGGGTCCGCCACGAAGCTACTATTGGTGCCGTGATATGTGGTGACCGGCCATTTGCCGACAGGAGATCTTTGAAGACGCTGAGCCGGAAGGGTCGAAGAAAGAGTGCAGAGTGCAGATGAGATCTTGAGAGGTGGGAGAGGTCAAGAGACGTACATAGACGCCGTTCCTGACCTCAACTCCCGCCGCCGGCCGGGCCCCGGCTCTACAAACACGCGTGATTTGCGCGTGATGGCCCCAACTCCCTCCTCTCCCTCTCATCAGCCCGTCCCGACGATGGGTTCCGCCTCTCTCCTCTCTCTGAACGACGATGTTCTCTTCGAAATCTTTTCGCTCCTGGACCGCAAGGAGGCACTCGCGACGTCGTACACCTCCAAACGCGCCTATCGACTCGCCATCTCCTACGTCTTCACCGGTCTGCGCTGGAGCAGAACCATGTACGGGTCTGTACCTGAAACCGATTCCTCTGAGGCCTATGCCCTGTGGGAGCACATGCACGCACCAGAGCCGGTTTTTCAGGTCCCACGCGTCCAACATCTCCACCACTTCACCACGGTGTTCTTCGAACGAGCCGACGTACCGCTTCTGCACAAATTTCTCAGCCACGCCTCCAACCTCCGCACCATCGATCTCTGGAACTTCGAATCCTTCGTCGACGAGGACAAAGAAGGTCCCATCCGAGCCATCGGCGCGATGCACCATCTCGAGCGAGCGAGTCTGAGATCCATCCCCTGTGAGACGATATCCATTCTGCCAGCCGTGTTTTCGGCTCGAAAATCGCCTCCTTGACACTCGAGTTGGCTGACCACAAGAAAGAGCCAGATCACAAGCTCGTGGAACTCATATCCATCCTCGCCTCAATCCCGAGTATACACACTCTTACCGTCGACTTCAATCGCGTCCCCGTGCTACCGAATACCCTCGGAATACCTGATGGACTCCTTCCCTCGATCCGCCACCTCTCCTCATGTGCTCCTGGCTGCGAATATCGTGACGCTGTGCCCTAATCTCCTTACGTTGTCCCTGCGGCTGTGGGACGCGGTATTCTCTGTGGGGGCGGAGGACCGGTGGCCTGTCAAACTCAAGGAGCTCAGTATCTAATCGCGTGGCGTCGTTACAAAGACACGGTCCGACGCATAGGACACGTCGACCGTGTATCGTTAGGGAACAACCGTCGCCACTCTCCAACCTGGGGATCCTCAACTTCTCCCGCTGCTCGAAGCAACACGGCCCTTCGCTCTCGAGCTGCAGACGAATCCTGTCCTGTCCGAACCGGAGCACGTATGGAAGTCCTTGTATGGCGCGGTGCCTCACCTCCGCTCTCTCGAGGTCACAGTAGAGAAGTGCATCGTGCACGACTACGTGGTACGTCCGCCTTTTATTCCACCCCGCGCGACGCCAACCCTTTTGCGCCGCACGACCAGGACTCCCTGCTTCACGCACTGCAAGACTGGCCGCTCCTACACCTTACCCTCCACTTCCCGCCGCCCACGCATATATGGTCGGCTGAGAGCGTGGCGGAGGCCGACGACCGGCGCGCAGCGGAGCTCCGCCGCGTCGAGGCGCTCCTGCCGCTCCCCCTCGGCTCCTGCGGCCGCCCGTCGCTCCGGCTCCTCGCGCTGCGCTCCTGCCTGCCTGCATTTAGCGGCCTCGACAGCCCGCAGGCGCGCGGAGTCCGTGGCGACTCTGTCCGCAGAGCTCGCGACGGAGCCCGCGCGCGAGGACGACGTTGAGCGGCGGTGGGACCCGACGAGCGAGTTCGTGCGCCCCGCTCTGCGGAGGCTGCGGGAGCTCCGGGAGGAGGTCCCGCGCGACGAGCGGTGGTGGTGGGTCGAGGGCGAGGGTGCGGCGCGCCGACCGGTGGAGATCTGGCGGGAGGACGGCGAGCGGGCGCGGGATCTTATCCAACGCGCGGACTTTGACGCTGCGAGGACCCTCGACGGTGAGCGGTTCGTCGCGCTTGACGTACTTGTACGCGCGACCGCTGATCGGTTATGTTTGCGGAGTTCTATTCCGCGAAGTGCCGGTATGAGCTGTAGCGCGCACGTATGCAATGCACACAAGACAGAAGTGGTGTGCGTGAGCGGACCCGCGGTATGCACTTCACGCGCGTGGCACGCCGCTGCTCCGGCGCACCATCGCGCGACGGGTGACAGCGGGATGTATCGTGTCCTCGCGTACGCTGCACGCGCTGTTTTGGATCACGACTTGAATGTGTGGCGCTGCGGTGCAACGACGAAGCCAGAGGGAGAGGAGGCGGTGTAGGAGAGGGATCTCTCCCAGACACACCAGTCCCAGTCATCGTTTCCTCCCTGATCCCGGCCCGGGCGTGGACCATATCCTCATGCAACGTGCCCACCGCCTATGCACCCTTCCCTGTATTTCGATCGCATCCCATGCCCCGCACGTTCTGTGGACCCATCGCTGGCTTTGAGGGGACCCGTGCACGCGTACTGTCTTTCTCATGTTGACCAGTGCGATCTCCAGCCGGAATGACTTCCACGACTTCCCGCTTCTCACAGCCCGACACCTTCTTCTCCCCTGCGTCTCGTCCCTGGTCTCTCGAGACCATGGTGACAGAAGACGAGTGCGGCGTGCGTGCGCGAATACGGTATAGTCCGTCCCGGGAGCCCCTGCTCGCTGGACCCCGACTTCCGAGCTCGTCCATCTCTCTCTGCACTTCCCCGCCCGCCGACACGCGTCGAGCATCGCCGAGGTGGAGGACTGGCGCGCAGTGGACACCGGAAGCCGGCCGCGTCGAGGCCTTCCGCCTATTCCCGCTCCAGTTCGTCGAAGCCGTCCTGTCGATCCGCGCCGTTGCGCTCTCTGCGCGTCTCCTTGGATCGACCGGCTTCGACACCAGAGGGCGCGCGCCACGCTAGATGATCTGACCCTAGAGCTGACAGTGGGAAAGCGTCGATCGGGGGTGGGGACAGAAGAGCGAGTTCGTCAGGAAGTCACCAGGGAACACTCACTCTCAGTGCCGCCGCTAGGTGTCTAGTACTCCCTGCGCACCCCCAACGGAATTGGACCGTATCCCTGCCCTTCTCGCGATTTCGGCCGCGCTCCGCACCTTGCACCACGAGACACTGCTTCCACCGTAGAATCGGATAGATAGATTTCATGCAACAATGAATATCATACATACATCGCGCCATGGAGTCTATTGCACCACATGTTTCGGAGACTCGGAGACCGCAGAATAGAAAGACCAATTGTAGCCCCCGTGTTTTGGCTATCCCAAGATACAGACATAGTACAACATTCGTACGTGCGATGGTGAATGACGTGGTCCAGCATTTCATTCCCTGCGCAAACACTGACGCTTCCCAGAAGACTGTAAGCGCATGAATTCCATCGCTTCACCTGAAGAAACAGTGCACGTACCTTTCTGCGAACGATAATACAAACAAATTATAGCTCCTCAGAAGGTCTTTCGGCTACTCTGCGCTGTCTGCGTCCTCTGTCGCCCGTGAAAGGCCCTCCGGTAGTACTCTCTTAGGTTCGGCGTCGTCTTCTCCCTCTGAGCCATGGGATTCGTTCAAAATCCGGAGATCAGCTCCGATGGATCCCATAGCGTCCGCCGCGAGTCGCAGAGATCCGATTCCGACCTGGAAGTCAGAGGCAGACGAGTGGAGTGGGTCTTCTGAGGCGAGCTTGACTGTCCGCTGATGAGCCTCCTGCAGGTCAAGCAGAAATCGCGAGACGAGGATTGTAGTAAGACTGAAACAAAGTATATAAGATGCGCCAGTACTAGAAGCACTGCAGGTTATACTTACGGATCGCTGAATTGGCTAATCAAGGAGGTTTGATCGGGGGATATGATCTGGCACCGTCCGATTAGAAATACAAGGAAGGAACACCGCATACGATATTGCCCACCCCTTTGAAACTGGTCACCATGCGGAGAGTGTTGAAGACGAGAAAAACACTGCGCAATAAGATACACATTGGAAATACTTCGAAGACATTCTGCAAAACATGCACGAAATACATGGCTCCTGTGAACGAGTCATACATCAGCATGTTGTCAGAGGGAGAAATTAACGGACCGTTGTGTAACATGATGCTGCTGAACTTTCGTGGCGAACTGGCCACCCCTCGATGATCGGGTTCCATCCCAGACAGCGTACAGTTCTCCAGGTAAGAAGGATGATGATACCATCTGCGAGGTTCAGGAGTGACCGAGAAAGTACCTCCGCTGGGCGGACCGGATCAAAGCTACAGTTGAATATGCAACTGCGGATAGATCCAGGAGTACGTACCACTGTTTGAACAAGGTATTATAAATCACAACCATAGTACTTCGAAAGCATACTCACGATACAGGATTGGCCTGGGGATTGGAAGGTAAATCACGAACAACCAAAAGTGGGATCACTGAAGCCCTGCATCCGATATGGAAGAACACCCTGTTTGTAGGACCAACATTACCAGCCGTTTAGATAACAAATGAAGAGATTACACGTACAAAGTTGAAGCCCACATTCACGAGGGAAAATACCAGCACCAGCATTGCAAGTGGGCGACTTCGACTCAGCGCTAATGCGCGCATTGCGGAGAATACTAACGGATACTACTCATCATTACTCTCAAGCGATAGGCAGTGTCATACACACCTGCAGGAGGAAGTGGTTGTATGTAGTGCAAAACCGTTGTGGTGTTGTTCAGTGTGGTGCAACTGTTGTGCACGAACTTGAGTTCAAGGAAGTTAAGAGAATCATCAATTAAACTGACGTCTGCAAAGCACAGGAAAGTGAGCACCGACATCCAAGGAAATTGATGAATACACACCTGGTCGGTAAATGGGTGAAATACAAGGAGCGACCCAATTCGGAAAATAAGGGCAAGGTAGCGATTCAAGATGAAGAGTACTGTCGGGCCGGACACGCGCCGGTTCCAGAAGAGATTGACCTCTCGGCCGAATGTGAGGAAATGGTCGAGGATGAGGATGACTTGTAGATGTGAACATCTTTCTATAGCTCATATGCACAGAGTACTGACCAGATGCTGCAACAGACACGTAATGCTCGGCGTAACTATACGGTCCGAATACCAAAGATAATGAAAAGCGGTTCCATTTCTGGAGAAGTACAAGACATACAGATCTTTATATTCTTCTATCACTTGCGAAATTTGGTGATTGAGATCTTCCGTTGGCATTGTGCTGTGGGTGACTCGTGAGGACGGTGTAGGTGGTGTAGATCTCCTTTTTATATGAGGCATTGTGGAATGCCACACAAAAACCGCGACAAGTTGCCATAAATACCTCAGGATACACTGTGTCAGGCGTCCATGCGTGTGGGCTGCTGCAAGATCACTCGCTGCTGGTATGGGTGGAGCTTTCTGTCAGCCCGGGGCTGTACTGGTGCAACTCCGACTCAGGGATCAGACAGTGAGACCACCGCCGTGTTCACCGGAAAACTGTAACCGAGCACTAAGCATGTCGGTGCTCAGGATGGGAATCCCGTCGGAGCTCCACATCGGCCACCTGAGCTCAAAGTTTGTACAGAGCGCTGGCACTTCTCTGATGCGCATACAGTCGATAAAAATTACCCCACCCGATTTATAAACTATATCACAGCGCATGACACAGCAAGAGACGAAGGCGAGCCTCCGCAGAGAGACGAAGTCACCGCTCTACGGACCTTTTTCAGTGGTCGTCAGTTCGTGTGTTGTCTTCGTGGCATGTCTGCCCGATCTCTCCTCCATCCCAGAAGATCTTCCTCTCACTCAAGCGAGAGGTGCGCCGGAACCCGAAGTCGCCGAAGTAATAGAATTACGAACAGCCTCGTCCTGGATCAGAGAAGCTCATCGCGAACCACATTAAGTCCACTCATCACTCAATGCATCCATCCGTGGCGTCGAGGAGACGCTCTCGAGTCGCCATGCGCAGAGAAGCACCGTCGCCCCCATGTCCTGCTCGCGCACAAGGAGATGGATGCATGGCCCGAGCTCGGTCTGAGAAAGCTGGACACAGGCGGTGACATGTCCACTGCGTCGTGGATTCGACTTCAGGTCAGCAGATCGGCCGAGTCGCCCGGGGACGGCAGCTCAAGTTAGCACTAATTCCTGATAGCACCTATATGAAGAGTCACCGGGTCGTGGACATAGACGCGTGGCTCATGAACATATCTCTCGCGTATCGGCCCGCACCGGATAACCCATCTCGAGTCTCCACGTTGTGCAAATGCGTGCCACGTGCTATACAAAGCTGACCGTCTCAGCAGACCTTCCGTCGGGACCAAAAATGCGCAGACTTCGAGACATCTGCTACACGCACTTCCAGTATTGGAACACGATATTCGCCCGAGAAGCACGACGGCACTTACTAGTCGGCGTCGCTGCCGTGTCAAATGCCTGCCCCCGACGAGCCCCGAGCGGCGTCTACGTGGTCCCCACAACACTCCACACCAGCAACCCCTCCTCGACCACCATCACCGCCCAGCCGGTGATCCTTTGCGCTTTTGCGACGCGGCCCTCAGCATCTCTACCGTCTGGAAAACATTGCGCTTTCGCCTCGTCCGCTAACCATCGCCATCCGGGACATCGTCGCAGTCGAGCATTCGCGCGGGGGTGCATGACGAGAGTTCAAGAACGCGACGGGTAGGGATCGTATGCGGCCACGGCCGTCGTGCCACACCGCCCTGCCCTGCATCGGCAGGACCCCTAGCAGCGGGCAGCTATCGCCCCACGTCTGCCGCTCCCGCAAGTGCAAGCTCGGTGGGGAAGAACTGGACAAGAGCGCGGCGGACCTCGGCCACGCGCAGTTCGTCGGCCTGTGAAGGTGGATCAATCGGTGCGAGGGTAGCGCGGCGAAGATAGGCTTCTGGTGGTCTCAGAGATGTGTTTCAGAGACGGACAAGGCAAGGGCATAGGGGAGACTCACGGCGACGCTTGATTATTACGTCGAGGAAGCGCGGCTGCCGCCCTGTGGCGCCTCCTCGAGTTCTCATTTGGAGCACGCTTGAAATGAGGGGATGGTTCCTTCTGAGTCCCTGGGTGAAGAGCGCTGTAGGCTCTGCAGGTCGCCCGTGCGTTGGACGCCTCGGTCGATCCTGCCTCGTCACCATGCCGCATACGCTGCCACAAGTCACGGTCAAGAGCACGTGGTGAAGCATTGACCACCGACTGCAATCAAAACGAACATACCTGAACTTGACGTCTTCCACGTCTGTGGGAACATATCCAGGGAATGGTACCGACCACCAAAGTGAACCCGACCTCGCACCGGAGACATCTACGCCCCGCTGGCCCACCAGGCTCCTTCGCGCTGGGCTCGCCGTAGGACGAGCCCATCCGCGCGAAGTCTGTCATCCGCCATCGCCGGTCCATCGCTCGCTTCGCTGCCTGCGCGATCAAAGGCGGCACAACCCGCTGCGTCGCCTGTATCGCAAATCCGAACGCTGAGCCGCCGAGACGTACTGTGAACACTGAAAACGCGTCGGCTCCGATCTTGCCTGGGGACGCACGCGGCAATGCTGGGGAGCACCTCGACTGCGTTGCTATCCGTGGTCGGACGTAGACAGAGGAATCGGTCATCCGAGTCGAACCCGATCAGGCGTTGCTTGTTCAACTCTGATCGCGCATCGAGCCGGCGATCCTGACCGACAGATGGTGCATAGGAGAAGTGAGCAACATCGACGCCTAGAGTAAAGTCCGCAACCTGACATAGCGACACTTGTCGGTGACGAACCTGGCAAACGTCGAGGTTGGTACACGGGACAACCGCAACAAATGACGGGGAAACTCACTATTCAACGTCGTTGCCGGATCGAAACCACGCCCTCGATCGGCGCCGTCTCTCCATCCTCTCCGGACCAGATCTCCACCGCGTCCCGCGCAGGCGCGTGCCCCACGATCCACCGCCGCCGCCGGTCCCGTGGGCCCTCGTGCCCCCGCGCCGCCGTCCACAGCTTCTCCGGGACCTCGAGGCTAACTTCAGCAGCGGCTTGCACGAACGCCGCCTCATCGCGTCTTCTTCCGATCACCCGTACTCGTTGCAGCCCAAGATATCGTCGTGATAGTTCGGGAACAGCTGCGCGTCCGTGCGCCCGGCGCGACCCCCGATGGTGTTGTGGTGGGTGATCACGGGCTTGCAACGACGGAAGAGCGAGGACGCGGGGAGCAGGAATCGCCCGTGCAAACACAGCGGGTAGAAGCTTGAGGAAGGCGACGCGATTCGCTTCGGCGATGCGCGACTTGTCGGGCGGCCCTCGGGTGCTTTGCTGACGCGGTATTGGCTGTGCCTGGTCTTGAAGTCGATAAGGAGGTAGAGCGAGGGTGGCGACGGGAGCGCTGCGAAGAGGGGCCTCTGTGGGTCGTCGAGGTGGTTCAGAGATGTAAACGCGAGCAGAAGTGGATAAACTGACGGTGAATCTGTCCTTGAACTTGCGCTTGATGGTAACGTCGAGCGAGCGAAGCCGCCGCGGCGCGCGATGCGCAGCTCCTTCCACAACTCCGGGCCCTTGTACCCGCTCTCAAAGCCCGTCCTGGAGCTGCGCTCACGCCGAACTTGAGCGCAGCCGGCTAGATGGCCCACAGGAGGGGACCGAAGATCTTCGGCATGACGTTCTCCGCCCGCCCACCATCTGCCACGCGACCCCGTACTTGCTGATACTGAGGACCAACTGATCGATGCGACGGGGGACGGTTTTTGAGCCGCATGTGAACTCGCGGAGCGTCAGCCGTCGTAGACGACGATTGTGCAAGGCTCCTCCCGCCCGAGCTGCCGCGTGATGGAAACGGTTTGGGCACAACGGGACGATGTGGGTGACCTCCTTGTTGCATGCCAAGTGGATGGAGAGATCGCGTACGGCGGGTAAGGCCATGATGAACGATAGCGTCGAGAGATGGAAGACCGGGCTGCGGTATTGGTGCGAGAGCGGAGACGAGAATGGGGAAGTCGAAGGTGACGGAAAACTCGTACTCGAACTCGAGGAGGAGGGTTGTCAAATGCCGACTCAACAGCATGCTTGATCGTGGCCGAACAGATAGTTGCAAGGCTTGTCGACGCGAGGTCTCGCAGGCGAGCCGTCCACCTGCTCTGTGTCGGGAAAGACCTGGGGTAAAGCGAGATGGTACTCACAGCTGCGTGTGCATGCGTTGGCGAGCCGCGAGCGCGGCCTGGCGGGCGAGGAATGAGCATTTGATGCGGAGGATGTCGTCGTTAAGCGGCAGCAGCTTGACCGAGACCATCCGGGGTGCACCGCGAGCGACGAGATGGGGGGAGTTTCGACAAGCTTGGGCAGAGCTTTTCTGCAGGTGAGCCGATGGTCGGAACAGCAGGGGCACGGCGTAAACACGTATTTAGTCGTGAACCGACCACCGATGGCATAGCTGACGCACCTTAGTCTCCCTTTACCACCCTGATCCTGCAGCTTACATGGGCCTCCTCTCCGTCCCGCCCTTGTGTGTGTAACTCCTCCGCGTGGCGTGCCGGAGAATCCTACGGCTTGAAGAGAACGTCTTGTCTTTGCTGGCGGGGGGCAAGGGGGGGGGGCGCACGCTGGCGACATGGGAGACGGAAATGCAGCAGGGAAAGAGACAGACAAGAGGACAACCGGTCGAACACAGTCGCGCGTACATCCGAGATCCCTTTCCCGCGTTTTTCGGGACCGGGCGTCTAATCATCCGCTTCGAACTCTCTTTCATCTATATACGATCCACCCTGCTATTTGCAACGAGAGGCACATGAAAAAGGTTGGTTCATATCATAAGTACTGGTAGCGAAGTCGCTCGTAAAGAAGGTAAGTCTCCACTGGTTTGAATTGGGACATTGAATGTTGCCGAACGCGAGAGTGAGACTACATAGGCAACCCAAGCACCTATGTATGTCAGCAACGCACCGACACAAGCACTATCCTGCTCACATAGTCCAGATATACGACGCTAAAATATGCATGGGGAGCAGCTACCACTCGTAGCGACACTTGTCCGAGTAGAACCCTGCGAACACAGCTGATCAGTGACACCGCAAACGAGTACAGTCCGAAGCAAACTCACCATCGAGCCCCTTCTCAGGATCAAAGTCCGCACGTTTGATCATGTCCCGCGCCCGCTCGCCGTCCTCCCGCCAAATCTCGACCGGCCTCCGCGCCGCCCCTTTGCCCTCGACCCACCACCACCGCTTGTCGCGCGGGATCTCTGCCCAGAGCTCCCTTATCCTCCGCATCGGCGCGTTGAGGAACTCGCTGTCCGGTCCCCACAGCCGCCCGATTTCGTCCTCGCGCTCGAGCTCCGCTATGAACTCCGGCGGAGGCTCCAGCAGCTCCGCGCGCCCCGCACGCGTGTGGATGCCCATCCGTGCGGGCCAGCAGGAGAAGAGCGCGAGGACGCGGAGCGACGGGACGGCCTCGGCGAGTTGCAAGGGGAGCGGGCGGAGCGCCTCGACGCGGCGGACCTCCGCGGCGCAGATGCTGTCGACTTGGGTCATGTTTGCGACGAAGAAGCCCTCGCGGGTGGGCGGGAATTCGAGGGAGAGGTGGACGATCGAGGTGGATCGGAGGGCGGCGATAAGCGGATCCTACGTTCGCGGGATAATCCTGGGTGAGGAAGTTGTGCGGAGGACGGGAGGAGGACGCACCACGTATTCGCGCACGTTGCATTCGCCATCCGCGACGACGATCGAGAGAGAGCGGAGCTGCGGCGCCGCACTGCGCAGGGTGTCCCACATTCGGCTCGCATCGGCGAGAAAGCATTTCGTATGGAGCTCGAGGAGGGTGGGGCGGAAGGTCGCGAGGACCTGGAGGAAGTTTTCGAAGTCGGCTCCCCCGGGGATCGGGGTTTCGCCCCCGAACGATAAGCAGGAGACCGGCTTCATGTGCTGGACGGTGTCTTCCGCGATGGTGATGTGCCTCGGAAGCTCGAGCTCTTTCAGTCGGGCTGGCCATCGGTCCTCCGCCGACATAGAGAACGTAGCGGGGGGATTATCCCGGAAAAGAGCCTGAGTGACAGTGTTTCGATGTTGGGACAAAGCGTGACGATGTATGCAGGGACTGGACCCGGGAGGGAGGAGAGGGTAAGGTGATGAATTGAGGAAGAGAAAAATTGTGGGAAGGACGCATCGACGGCGCAGTGGGGAGGTAGTTGAGTGCAATGTCCAGAGTGCGTATGCCCGGGGCGGAGGAGAGGCCCGCGAAGAGAGCGGGAAGGTCGACAATGTCCTCCTCATAATAGGTATCGTCGAAATCCAGTGCCAAAGAGGTGAGCTTCCGGCTTGACAACAGCTTCGGCAAAGCGGAGACCGTTTCCGGGCCACTTTGTTGGAAACTGACATGCTCGAGGTGGTGCATCGCGCCGATCGCTTTGATGACAAGCCCGTCCTCGTCGATGAGGAAATCGAAATTCTCAAGGATGATGGTGCGGAGGTTAACTGCCGACGAAGGAGTTTATAAAGAGGAGGAAGATCGACTTCCTCTACTAGGCCAAGGGTGAAATGGCGGAGATGTTGAACGCGGGTACTTGAGACATTGGTTCGGGTGCGCGCATGTATCGCGACAGGCCGAGGGATTCGGAGCCGTCTCTCATCTGCATCGAATTGCCTACCCAAGAAGATATCGGCGAAGACGCGAGAGATGCGAGTCTGTAGGCGCGTTTGGAGGTTGAAGCTGTGGCCAGCGCGCCTTGGAATTCAGGAAGGAGAAAATCGCGATTAGGACGTCGTCGTTGAGTGAGAGGAGGCCTGAGGGGTAGTTCATCTTGAGAGAGTTTAGAGGAACGCCCGGAGCCTCGAGAGCAAATAAAGAACCGTACCTTGTTGGATGTCTGTATGTATTGGATGAGAGAGTCCGAGGCTGGGAGTCATCGAGCAAGCCTCAGGCGAATCGTCGGGGTGAGATCCTGGAGACTTGGCTGTCGTGCCTGACAGCCTGGTTTAAAACCGCCTATACTCAAGAAGGAAAGAAGAGAACGACACGCGCCCGCTCCGTGCCCGGTGCGCGTACAAGAACCTTTGGCCGTACTGCAACGCGAGGCGGCGCTTGGTGGGCGACGCCCATGCGCCGACCCAGACATACACCGCGCGTGGGTACGGCGGCGTCTGCGCTTGCGTCGAACATAAACTCGTCGTCGGAAGAGAGCAAGAGGCTGAGAGGCACAAAGCGCCACCTCGGCGTGCAAGCAGAGGCTGAATGTTGAGGCGGCAAATATGTAAGCGACTCATCAGGGCAGGCGTCACCGACAGCTCGCCTGCCTTCGGATCTTTCCTTCTTCTACCTCAGTTTTACCTCAGCTTCGTCTTCACCACACTCTCTGGAATCTATGACCTTGCTCTGTGGGACCCATCCGTGCTTCACTGAGAAATTCAAACCCCACGCCGTGCAACACCCCCGCGCGGGCTTGCCTTCCGGCTTGCTCACAGTCTCAAACACCGATCCGGCACGTTCCAACGTATCACTTGGACGAGCTCTGGAATTAGGAGATGGAAGCCGTCGCTTGTGTCGCTTCACCGGCGATGGGTACGCCCATAGGAGCGAACATTGCTGTCCCCCCGGGTGCGTGTGCTTGTCCTGCTCTCCTCATACGTAATACGTCTCATGTATCCAAGAAAAAACGGCGCGCATCCGCACTGTTTCTTTCTGAACACATCCGCGCCGTTACTCCCCGTCTGTGGAACCACTGTGTCGCCGCACCGGACAGCAACGGGTGGTGGGAGAGTGAAAGTTGAGATTGGTGACGCTACGGGAAGCACGGAAGGCGGTGGACCAAGTGGAGGAGGGCTGTGGTACGTACTCTATCACGTTGTGTTATGGACCGACTCCCAAGCACGTCCCTTGCGCTCCGCGACCTCGGTGAGGCCCGCCGTCGTTCATGCCAACACGTCCCCCGAACGCAAGACTCGCTCCCCACCACCCCACCGCGACCATGCAGCTCCTTTGTCCCGGCAATGACACTCCCTTCGCAATATTCTCCCGACTGCAGGCCACCGATGCCCTCGCGATATAGTGCGCTTCCCGTCCCTTGTATCGCCTTGTCATTTCTCAAGTCTGGATGTCCTGGTCCAGGAGGGGCGGCGCGAAGAGGGGCCACGACTCGTAACTTCCATTTCACGCTACAACTACCCCATTCGAGCCTCAAGTATGCGCTCCTCGGGTTCGTCAGCCCACATAACGTCGCCGACATACTGGGCGCTTTCGCTGGCCGCAGTTTTGGCCCGGCACTGCTCGTGCTCCCCCGCGCGTACGGGAAGCAGCGCCTCCCGCGCGTCACTGAGGTGCAGAACCGGTTGCCCCTTGAGCAGAAGACGTTCTACTTGCTGGACGGGCGCGAGCAGGAAGCACGCGATGGCGCCAGCTTGAGCGGCTCCGTGAGGGGCGTGCGGTCGGTACGGGTGACGTCGGGAGGGGTGCGGACGCGGCAAACCAATGGGTGAGCGAACACAGAGCAAGTTCCTGGACAAGGCCCTTGAGCGGTGGCGACGCGAGACGGGCACGGCGACGCTCGCGCGCCGAGCGTTGGGTGAGTCTCTCTGCGCGTCGCTTTTGATTCCCAGCATCTGAGCGTGGTGCCCTCAGACGGCGGATAGTATCCTCGCAGGGAATATTGAATTTCTTCGACGTGCAGAAGATGGAGCTATAGTGCTGGCTGCGGTACGCCTCAGCCTCCGTCACCTCTATTTTGTGACCCACGGCTGACATGCGCGCATTGGCTTCCACAGCATGGTCTGTGATGTGTAGGCGAACGTTACAGCTGACGTGACTCCGCCTGAATGGGGCGGCGAAGAGAGTAGCTCAAGGAGTACTAGGCCTGGATGGCGTCCTCTACAGCGTAGCAGCGTCAATTCGCTCGCGCACAAGCGTATGTCGTTGCGCGAGCACTTTGCTTAGCTCCGGGAGCGAGATGTCCTAATGTACTTGTAGTTCAGTGTTCCTAATAAACAATTCTGTCTGTTTCTCTGCAATGTGTGCTCTATTGGCGTGAATCGCACCATCGACGGTACAGTCCATCTGGGACAGCGCCGGTCCACCGCGCGACTATTCCGATATCCTTGGATATTATAACACCTCGCAATTTCCTCATATACCACCTGCTGCTCAGGTTTGGAACGCGCAGATATAGCTGACCGCGGCTCCTAAAAGCTTTCCGCGCGTGCATCCGCGATTCTGCACCTGTCCTCTGCACCGCGCATACACAACAGTTAACGATCCCCGCGTATGGGCATGAAATGCGTTGCGGAAGGAACTGCTTGCATTCTGCTGCCACGCGAACGCGTCTTCAACTATCACATGCAAGCGTCGACCTGCGAAGTTTCATTATTGTACGGTGGTCAGCGGGGGCGTAGAGAAACGGGCCCACAGTGAGTACTGGTGCGATCTGAGTCACGACGCCGTCGACTCGCCCCATCAGGAGGGGATTTCTGCAAGCAGACATCACAGGTTGAGTTTGTGCGACACCCGAACTTGAAAAGGCGTTCTGTGTTACGAGATCGGCGCATGTAAGATTCTCGTGGAAACAACGATTCGCAATAGATTCAATTGATGACGTAGGTCTACGAAAGGGACCGAGGGCGGGTAGATGAGGCAAGCGAAGTTGTGGAGGACGGTAATTGCGGGAGATAAGGTGATGATGAAGCGGTGACTCTCCAGGTTCCTCGCCATGCGAGGGCTGCCACACGTCACGGTCAAGAGGACGGGTGAAGTATTACACCCACAGACCGCGCTGTGGAAGCCGACGCGCGCATGTCAGCCGTGGATGACAAGATAGAGGTGACAGAGAGGCGTACCGCAGCCAGCACTATAGCTCCAGCCTCTGCGCGTCGAAGGAAGTCAATATTCCCTGCGAGGAGACGACCCACCGTCCGAGGGTACCGAGCGCAGATGCTGGGGATCAAAAGCGGCGCGCGGAGAGACGACCCGACGCTCGGCGCGCTCACGTCGCCGTGCCCGTCTCGCACCGCTCAAGGGCCTTGTCCAGGAACTTGCTCCGCGTTCTTGCGTTCGCTCGCCCATCGGTTTGCCGCGCCCGCGCCCCTCCCGACGTCGCCCGCGACCGCCCGCACCTCACAAAGCCGCTCAAGCTGGCGACGTCGTGTGCCTCCTGCTCGCGCCCGTCCAGAAAGTAGAACGTCTTCTGCTTGAGGAGCGACTGGTTCTGCACCTCCGTGACGCGCGGGAGACGCACTATATCGCGAGGTCATCGGCGGCCTGCAGTCGAGGGGATATTGCGAAGAGAGCGTCTTCGTCGAGACAAAGGGGGTGCATCATGGTCCCGGTCAGGTGATGGGGAGTGAGTCTTGCGTTCGAGGGGACGTGTTCGCGTGAACGATGACAGTGCGCACTGGGGTTTCAGAGCGCAAGGGACGTGCTTGGGAGTCGGTCCAGAACACGACGTGATAGCGTACGTACCACGGCCTTCCATGCAGCCACAACCCGCCGCTTTCCGTGCTTTCTGCAGTGTCACCAATCCCCATCTCCCACTACCCGTTGCTGCCCGGTGGGGCGACGCATGGTTCCGCAGACGGGGATTAGTGGTGCAGATGTTTGGAGGACATTCAGAGACGAACAGTGCGGATGTACTGGGGCGTATCAAGTATGAGGAGAGGACACAACGAACCAGGGAAAGCACACGTACCGGAGTGAACAGTGATTTTCGCTCCTATGAGCGCACCCATAGGCGGCACGAGAAACGGTCGCCCTCTCCTAAGGCCAGAGCTGAATACGTTGATGCATTGGAACATGCTGGATCGCGGCTTGGGACTGTCAGCACGCCAGCGCGGGAGTGTTACGCGGCGTGCCGTATTGTGAAGGGTTGAATTTCTTGGTGAAGCATGAATGGATTCGGCAGAGCAAGGTCATAGATTCCAGAGAGAGGCGAAGCGGAGGTAAAACTGAGGTAAGAAGAGAAGGGGAGATCCAAAGGCAGGGTACACTGCGTTCGCGTGGAGTAGCAGTCGATGGGAATAAGGTTCGAGCTCCGACCGGGAACACGCGAGGTACTCGGCGCTACATTGGACTCACCTCGACGCGACAAGCTTGTTCGATAGGCTCGATCATCCAGCCGTTCTCGTCGTCACCTCCTCTAACGGCTGGTCAAACTCGTAGGGGAGCCCCGCAGGAGACCCATAAAAGGCAATCACGTGATGTGCATGCCCTCCTCTCGCTCCACTCCCCCGCCCAAACGGGCTCGTTGGGGTACGCCGCCCTCCCCAGGCCCCACGCGCGAGCTCGCGCGCGAGCTCCAGGGTGCGCGCGCGCGCGCGCGACCGGGCGCGCTGCGTGACGGGCGCGTTTCGCCGTGACCCATGGCACGTCCGCCGTGCCTGCACGCGCGACGCTCGACTCGCTCGACTCGCTCTCCCAGGCGGCGGGTCCCGCAGACGTCGCTATACTACAACACTGAAACGACTGAGAGTATGGTATTCATTCTGTTAAGGTGCAATGTACAATGATCAAGGTACTCTATGGACTGCGTAGGTCACGACGCGGGCGGAGTCAGCGGGTACGTGAGTTCGAGTAAGAACCGGAGGCGGATGGCTGAGATATCGGGGTCAATGGTGGACGAGACATGGGCTTGGTTGCTCCCAAATGAGGGAGGTACGGATGGAAACGTCGGGTGGGTGTAAGAGGAACGGAGCTCCCTAGCGCCGGCCGAGTCGCACCGTGGTGGGAGGTTTGCTGATGGTGATGCAGCTGCTCCCGAGATGTTGAGACCGTGTGAGGAGGGAGAAGAGAGCTTCCATATGGGTGGTGAGTGGGGTGTTGTACCCGCGAAATGGGAGGCCACCGAACACCGGACAACCCGGGAGAAGTTGATGTGAGGTAAGAGAGATGGCGGCGACGCTGGGATAGAGCTGTGGAGACTTGACGAGAACCGTCACCAGACGGTACGGGTCGTGATGGACGGTGTATCCCGATGTCATACTCGTGGGGATCGGAGTATGCTTGCATGGCTGAGCGTGGGATAGGAGACTCAGTCTGGGGAATCCAGACGACGATGTTGAGGGCAGCTACTAGAGCAGTCGGATCCAACGGTGCCTGTGGGACTTGAGCGGCAAGGTCGATTGGTGGCGGTTGAGGACTGGATATTGTCGGTAGGGGAGGAACAGTGCCTATCGGCAAACTGAACGTCACAATAGAACACATGCCCGGCGAGCCTGGAACCTGAGACATCGAGGGCTCATGTTCTGTCTTGACACTGAAGCTGTGGTAGTGGGGATTGAACGCCAGTGGAGCGTCAGTCGGCGCAGTCTTGGACGCAGTTGCTGGTGCTGGCTTGGCTTTGCGAGGGACACGCTTCGTGCTCATCTTCGGGGTGCCACTGTCCGGCGCCTTGACGATCCCGACGTCCTTCAAGACGTGCATGAGCTCATCACCATACCGGTCCCAGAAAGCCCACTTCTCCTGAAGGTTAACAGAGACGAGTTTGATGGACAAGCTGTCATGAGAGACGAGGAGGTCGATGAGGCTGTCGCTCAGGATGGCTTCGGCAGAGTAAGTGCGACGCGGTGTTTCACGACTGTGAACCATCACGCGCCACGTGGTAAGCTTGCTCTCGAGGTCACGGTTAGGGCGGGTCTTCTTTGGCAGTCGGGGCTTGCTCTCGTTCTTCAGAGGCGATGGGCGAGCTGGACCGAGTAGTGAGATGTCACATAGATCACAGCAGGGGACGATGGGCCCTGTGCGCACATCAGTATTCTGGTGCCTCTGAGCGAATTTATGAAGCGTACGCTGTTCCGTTGCGCTCTCGAAGATCTTCTGGCAAACCTGGCGCCGACAAGTGACACTTTGTATGAAGGCGAGGAGTCCTTCGTCTTCGCTGTCGGGGTCGAAGCGTGGCTGCAGACCGGTTGGCACGGCATCTTCCTCTGATGGGCCTCCTCGGTTAACGCCGTGATCAAGAGCGTACTGTTGAACCTCTTTGGGATCCCGCTTGCCCTTAGGGGTTGCGGAAACGAGGTCGACACCGTAGCAGTGTCTCTCCACGAGCATGTAAGCGACTCCAGTAAGCCCGGGTGCTCGCGCTACTCGCCCGGCACGCTGAAGGAAGTTCGAGAGCTTCTTGGGCATTTTCAGTTGAACCACGACTGCGACACGTGGGTTATTGCTGCCCTGGAAGAGCACATACGTTATGTGAGCTGCACCGTACCACCAACAGTGGCGATGCCACCCTGCCAAAACTCACCATCCCAGCAGCCTCGGTACACACCATGACGCGGATATGTCCTTCGCGGAATAGAGGCATCGCGGCGGCACGGTATTCCTGAGACAATTGCGCATTGAATGGCCGAACACATTCCAGCAGGGCAGGATTGATGTCCATGTCGAGAGCGGCGACCTCGATGGGGTTCCCGAGAAGAGTGCGCAGTCGGTTGTTGAGATAGTCTACCACCTCGGTACCGAGGTCAACATCATCGGCAAAGACCTGCGTGATAGGGATATCCAGGGGGGAGGTTATAGTGGAGGGTATGACAAAGTCGATGTCGGCCAATGTACTGAGAGGGTGCACTAACGCCCGAACAACGAACGAGACATTGGGTCGATCGTTCCCCTTGTTGATCCAGAGAGACGCCCGGCCAGCTTGCGCGAATAGCAGGGAGTCCCGGATAGCACGCTTTACACGTGGAGTGATTGTCGCAGACACGACAATGAACGGGGTTCTGGGTGGTAGGAACGCGCGGACCTTCCCAAGTGTGCCGTACTTCTTGCGGAAGTCAGCGCCCCAGTGTGCGATACAATGACCTTCGTCAATGAACACTGACACAACGCTTTGGGTAAAGCCGGGTTTGCGTAGGATGCGGTCGACAAACGTGGTTGACTGGAGCATCTCGGGGGAGATGAGAAGGATTTGGTGCTTCAGAGCCAAGATATCCTGATTTACAGAAAGGCAAGTGTCAAAAAAGGCGCTACATGTTATGAGTGGGGCGGAAACGTACATTAACAACTTCATTGGAGCACACATAACCGTTCTTGCTGTTGAGAGCCACTGCGGAGAGGCCGAAGTCGGTTTTGAACGTCTTCACCTGGATATAAAACCCTATCAGACACTGTAGACGAAGTGAAGGGGAGACGTACGAGCTCATCTTCAAGAGTTAGTAAGGGGCAAACCATCAACGTGACTCTGCGAGAACACGAAGGCCACACGTGCGGCCCAGCAGCGAGAGCGGTTTTTCCGGCACCAGTGGGAGCTTGCACGATCATGTCGACACCCTCGAGTTGTGCCTTGACTGCTGCTAGCTGAAAATCCTTCGGGTCATTGGACCAGCGGAACCGATCGCGCATGAGCTGGGATAGCTCAGCCAACTTCTCGGCCGATAGCAGGTCTCGAGGTATGAATCCCACCGAACTTGTTCCAGCTGACGAGACCTTGCTGCACTTTCTAGATGAGGAAGACTTGTGACGGGATCTTCGATCGCGGGCCATGGATGCAGTTGACAGTGGTAATAGCAGGGGATCGATGAGATGTTAACGCTTCGTGTTTGCGCGACAGGGCACCGATAGGCGCTTATGGTGCTTATGCGTACTCCGCAACGTCCTCCCCGAGCCCTGCGAGAAGATGCCATACAATTGTACGTAGAATAAAGACCAACCATGCATATATGCAGGAGATATTGACGAACGAGCAATAGTCAGCCAGCTAGCAAATCTGATATCGGCGAATGCACGTACCTCGTTGATATCTGTGCCGACGACCCGAAATAGTGCCACACACACTGCACCTCTACGACCTGGGTCCCCAAGTGCTGGTAATGCAGAACAGGACACAGCAAACATTGAGTACGATCGCACCTCAAATACAATTTGGGACCCCTTACCAGGACAGCCAGCTCCGTCGCAGAAGCCTCTCAAATATCCCGGCATGCAGGGCCCGTGGCTCGCCATGGCCCATCCTCACGTTCCAACCCAACATACACCAGGTTCGTATGGTTACAGGTTGTCGAAAATATCGCTGACCGGACGTCCTATATGTAGCCGATGCTGATGATCCAGACGACAACCCACACCGTCGTCAGGGCCGAAGTATTGCTGCTTCCTACGCTTTCCGAAGAGCGGTGTGGGATGAGCAACTGGAGCGCAACGAAGAAGCGGAGGAGTCGCTCCGGCTCGCAGATGCTGTGCGCAAGAGAAACTGCATCAGAGCAGTGCTGGCGATACTCGCAACTGAACAGCTTACCTGGGGCGCCATGGTTGAATGGATCTCAACCGACAAAGCCTTTCGATCTGATCGTTGGTTTGGCTTCTTCAAGAAACCTGACGACGTGACTCGTGTCTTGGATCTGTGGGCACACCAGTCAACAACAGTCGGGAAGATGACTGTCCGCGACTGGGCGCTGCAGATCGTTTCGCGGACGGTTGCAAAAGAGGCGGAAGCAGTAACGAAGAGCAACTTACTTCAGACCAGCACAAAGCCCATCACAGATGATCTTGTTCTTTCCTTTGACCTGTGCGCCATCCACCAATCCATCTTCAAGATGTGCCCCACCACAACGACCGTTTTGACACATTTTGCGTCGACTCCTCGCCAGCGGGAGGTCATAGCATCGAGACGGGACCCTGATGCAAGCGATGAGGATAAGGATAGGGCCGAGAAGCGGAAAGAGGCAGTATGTATCAGCTTACCTTCGGCGGACTCTGCTCACGTGTTGACCTAGCGGATCGGAGCGTCCATGACAGATCTGCTAGGCGAACGAAGTCAGAGAAACAGTCTAGGACGACACATGCTTGGTCTCTATCTCTACGCCTCCGGGGTCGGTCGCCAGCCTATCTCTGTCCTCGCCACACTGGGGATATGCAGCACCTACGCCGCAATCGTAGGCAGTGGAACAACGCACTATGACCTTGACGATGCTCCGCAAGGACCTGGTAACCACACAAGCAGCGCTGCTCCCGGCACCGCCAACACGGCGCTCAACGGTGCGAGCGTAGTCGGGCCCAACGGCGCAGGCAGAGCTCCTGACAACTCCTGTGCAGCTCCTCAAGAAACTCAGACAGATACCAGCGCAGACGAGTTCGATCACGAGACACAAGACGAGCCAAGTGCAGACTGCGACTTCGAACTGGAGTCCGAAGACGAGTCTGACGACGAGACACCCGCGCGAGTCATCCCCGGACCTCTAACTCGAACACACTGTGAGAAAGAGCAAGACTTACCACCAGTACATCCTCCGGCCGTTCGAGTTTCGACACCCCACGATGAAAATGAGGACAGAATGGAGCTTGATGAGGACGATGGAGGAGGAGCAAACAGGTGAGCCCACAGGCGGCAGGAGTCAGGAGCGAAGCGAGATTGCTGACACGCGCGACCAGTGCGGCAGCCAAGACGCCCACTTCCACCAGCTGGCGCCATATGGGTATTCTCCGACGCATCTCGTTCTCCTGTCGTTCAAAAGCTCGGGACCTCGCTCAAACCACCCTCGTCGGCTATGTCTACGACAACATCAACATCGTTTTCAAGATTGCAGAGCAGATCCTCGGCCGCAAAGATGCTCTCGAGAGTGGCACTTGTGCAACTATCTTCCCCCTCCACGACGCCGCCCCCGAACACATGCAAACCGCTGACCTCCTTGCCTCTATCAAAGCCGCAAAACCTCTCGAGATCGACGATATAGAACTCACACCTGAAGAACGAAAACTGCTCGATGACAGTCTCATCCACACCATCCTCCGCGTTATTGTCCACAGCTCTCCCGCATTCGAGAAGTTCCGCAAGTTCGTGAACCGCACTCTTCCATCCACAGACCTCAAGATCTCCCTACACCGGACTCCCATTCACACGCTGCCTACAATGAATATCGATGAGTCCAGTGTTACCGGTAATGCCGACGTCCTTGATGCGATATTCCGCGAACTGCAGCTCCACCGCGACCACCCCCAGTTCGCCAGCCTTGTCCGACTCGTGTTCGGCGACCAGCTCTCTGTCGCCCGCATCCGCACCCTCATCGCCCACCGCGCTGGCCATGACCAACTGGCACTAGCACACGCGTACATCGCTCTCGGACCCGGCCTCTTTCACCATCAGGCAGCACTCACGCACGGGATCATGGAGACCCATTTCGGCGAGCCCAACTCGTCCGACGGACAAGGAAGCATGAATGCGGCAAGTCTTTCGTTCTGGAACCATGTATTACATCGCAAGTCCATCTCTTTGTCCAACCTCCCACCATACCGCACCTGTCGTGACCTCGTCTTCATCTCCCTCACTGCCTGTGTTCTTGCATGTCTGAAGATCGTCGCTAACGCCACATCTATCGAAGAGTACGCCGCGACAGTGACGTTTGAAGAACTTCGTGGTCACGCTCTCAAGATCCACCAGCAGTTCAACAACACCGACATTGTGTACGGCCTACGTGCAGAGCGCAAAAAGGAGCTCAATGAGCGCGTCGACCAGCACCAGGACGAACGCGAAGCCGCGGGGCTAGGCGACAAGGTTGAAAAACCACCATTCGACCCTCTAGAAGGCGGCGAGATCTCGAGCGGGGACATGCTCACCGAGAACGCCCGCCTCTTCCTCCGCGACGCGCTTCTCATGCGAGAGTTCAACGACGCTATCAAGGGGGGTTACTCTGGCCGCATCATCCGCCTTCTCAAGACACTCACCTTTGTTTATCGTGGCCTTGGTCGCACAAAGTATGCTCATGAGACTATGCACCTCGTGCATTCACTCACCAATGTCTGGCCCGGGCCGTTGCGGTGAGTTTATCACTTCCCCTATCGTCACCGCCTTCTCATCTTCGGCTTGCACAGCGATATCGTCATCAAGAACTGGCTTGTCAACCCCACCGGACGGGAGAACTCATGGGTGCCTGTCGACCTGTTGCAGGAGCACAACAATATGTGGATCAAGGTACGCATCATATCCATTCATCGGGCACCGATCATGGCCGTCCTCATATCAGCTCAGAGTGTATACAAGGCGCACGGAAGTAATGCGTCGTGGCCGTGGCTTGCAATGATCTCCCCATGCATCTCCACCCTCCGACACGTCACTACGCAAATGACATCTCTCTTCGGGGGTAATACCGGCACGAAGCACTCCAGCCCAGGTCGATCTCATGACCTTACAGCCCTGATAGCATCAATGGATGCTCACAGGATCTTCCACCTCGAGAAGGGGAGGGTTCTGCGAGGCATGAAGAAGCCCGTGACACCCAACGCTCTCGATGCCGGGGTGAACACGACTCCCGGGCCGCTCCGCGACTTCAATGCCAAGTTCACTCGCCTCCAAATGCGTCTACAGAGAACCCCGCTCCTGGATCTGAAGACTGCTGAAGTGCTCCCTTCCGAGAACGGCAACGCTGATGACGAGCTTGCTGCTGCGCAGGTACAAGTGGGTATTTTTGTTCTCCCTCGTCCCGAGATCTACCAATATTCACTCACACAATCAGGTCGTCGACGAAGTTGAGCCCCCGGTTTTCGCACAGGAAGAATTCCCGTCGTTGGACATAGATGACTATTAGTTGTACACTAGTGTAATGTCGAACATGTAGTATAGCGACGTCTGCGGGACCCGCCGCCTGGGAGAGCGAGTCGAGCGAGTCGAGCGTCGCGCGTGCAGGCACGGCGGACGTGCCATGGGTCACGGCGAAACGCGCCCGTCACGCAGCGCGCCCGGTCGCGCGCGCGCGCGCGCACCCTGGAGCTCGCGCGCGAGCTCGCGCGTGGGGCCTGGGGAGGGCGGCGTACCCCAACGAGCCCGTTTGGGCGGGGGAGTGGAGCGAGAGGAGGGCATGCACATCACGTGATTGCCTTTTATGGGTCTCCTGCGGGGCTCCCCTACGAGTTTGACCAGCCGTTAGAGGAGGTGACGACGAGAACGGCTGGATGATCGAGCCTACTTGTTCGATAACGGGCTCGCTCATTCAATACACCAAAACGGTATGTACGGTTTTATATTTCGTCCTAATAGCTCCAGACGTTCCTCTAAACTCTCCCAAGATGAACCGCCCTTCGGGCCTCCTCTCTCTCGACGATGACGTCCTCCTCGCGATTTTCTCCTTCCTGAATTCCAACGCGGCGCTGTCCACAGCTTCAACCTCTCAACGCGCCTACAGACTCGCGATCTCTAGCTTCTTCGCAGATATCTACTTTGGCAGAAGATTCGATACAGATGAACAGGATGGCTCCGAATCGCTTGGCCTGTCGCGCTACATGCGCGCACCCGAACCATTGTCCCAAGTGCCCCGCATTCGACACCTCCGCCATTTTATCATCGGTCACGTAAATGAAGTTGATCTTCCTCCTCTTTATGGCCTCCTTTTTGAGGCTTTAAACCTCCGCACCATCGAAATTAGGAACATGGAGTTCTTCATCGACAACGACGGGCTTGTCACCAAAGCGATCGGCGCGATGCACCACCTCGAGCAGGCCGATTTCGCACAATGCGGACCTGCAACGGTCTCCGCTTTTCCGGAGCTTTTGTCAAGCCAGAAGCTTACCTCTTTGACACTTTATTTTGACGAGGACATTGTCGACCTTCCCACTCTCTTCTTGGGCCTTTCCTCCGCCCCGGGCATACGCACTCTGGACATCGCACTCATCTACCTCCCTATTGCGCCGCCTATGCGTCCCTCCCACAATTTTTCCCTTTCCTCGATTCGTCACCTTACCCTCACCTCCTTTCCGGGCCCAGTCCCTGCATACATCGTCACGCTTTGCCCCAACATCGAAACACTGTCACTCAGGCTCTTTTCCCGGGATAATACCCCCGCTACGTTCTCTATGTCGGCGGAGGACAGATGGCCTTCCCAACTGAAAGAGCTCTCTCTTCCGATACGCATCACCATCGCAGAAGACACCGTCCAACGGATGAAGCCGGTCTCCTGCTTATCGTTCGGGGGCGAAACCCCGATCCCCAGCGGAGCGGACTTCGAGGAGTCGGAGGAAGCCAGCGGATCGGACTCTGAAGAGCAGGAAGCCGGTAGATCTGACTTTGAAGACTTGCTCCGGCTCTTCGAGACCTTCCGCTCCACCGTCCTCGAACTCCACACGAAAAGCGTTCTCGCCGAGGCGGGCAGAATGTGGGACACCCTGCGCGGTGCGGCGCCACAGCTCCGCTCCCTCTCGATCGCCGTGGAGGATGGCAAATGCAACGTGCGCGAATACGTGGTGCGTCCTTTTCCAGTTTTACTCCGCACAACTTGACGATCCTCCCCCGACCACAGGATCCACTCGTCGCCGCCCTCCGATCGACCTCGCTCATCTACCTCTCCCTCCACTTCCCACGCCCCAGCTGGAGCGTCGACTTCTCAAGCATGGCCGAAGTCGACAGCATCTGCGCCCCCGAGATCCAACGTGCCGAGACGCTCCGAGCGCTCCCCTTGCGACTCACCGAGGCCGTCCCATCGCTCCGCGTCCTCGCACTCTCGTCGTGCAAGCTGGGCAGAGTATTCAACTGGGGGGTATGCCACGATCTGGCTGGGCCACGGATGATCGCAGAAATTGGGACAGAGGAGGGGATTCAGCGGCAGTGGGGACCGGGCAGCGAGTCCCTCAATGCGCCGATGCGGAAGATAAGTGAGCTCGGGGCAGAGTTCCCGCGCGACGAGCGGTGGTGGTGGGTCGAGGGCGAGGGGGCGGCGCGGACGCTGATCGAGATTTGGCGGGAGGACGGGGAGCGGGCGCGGGACCTGATCCGACGCGCGGACTTCGATCCCGAGAAGAGTCTCGATGGTGAGTTCGCTTCGCGCCGGACTCGTTTGCGGTGTCGCTGATCAGCTCTGTTCGTAGGATTTTACTCGGACAAGTGTCGCTATGAACGGTAGCCCGGATGCCAGAGGCTATATCTAGTCACCATGCGTGTGTTCACCGCGTATATGCACTATTCGAGCAATGGTGTGCACCACCCCATCCTCCATCGCCGTTTCCACGTGCATAGAATGGAGTTCTGCCGCTCTTGTTTAGCTCCATGCCCATATACAATCCGCACTAAGTACGTGAACAACTACGCAAGTGCCAGGCGCTGATGGCGGTCACATGCAACGATAATCGGCCGGAACTTAGTGCGTTACCTTGAGCCAAAACCTGCCAGGATCATCTACGGGAGATTATACTATTCTGCAGAATTAACAACGGCACTGTTTTACATCGTAAACGGGGTCGCCGTCTTCTTATCTCTTCGCGGCGCTGCCCTGCTCTCATAATGCGAAGATACGCGGTGAACATACGCACGGTGACTAGATATAGCCTCTGGCATCCGGGCTACCGTTCATAGCGACACTTGTCCGAGTAAAATCCTACGAACAGAGCTGATCAGCGACACCGCAAACGATTCCGGCGCGAAGCGAACTCACCATCGAGACTCTTCTCGGGATCGAAGTCCGCGCGTCGGATCAGGTCCGCGCCCGCTCCCCGTCCTCCCGCCAAATCTCGACCGGCATCCGCGCCGCTCCCTCGCCCTCGACCCACCACCACCGCTTTTTGCGCGCGATCTCCGCCCGGTACTCCTCCATCTTCCGCATCGACGCGTTGAGAGACTCGCTGCTTCGCCCCCAACGCCGCCGGATCTCCTCCTCGCACTCAAGCCCCGCGATCGGCTGTGGCGGGGCCAGAGTGCGAAATAGGGGCCCCGAGTCGAAGTCCAAGGTGCCGGGTTTGCACGACGAGAGTGCGAAGACGCGGAGAGACGGTACGGCTTCGATGAGCCGGAGAGGGAGCGACCGGAGGGTCTCGACGCGGCGGACCTCCGCGGCGCAGAGGTCGTCGGCTTCCTCCATGGTTGAGATGTGGGGGGCCAGGTCTGTGGGCGTGAGGCGGAGGGAGAGGTGGACGATCGAGGTGTATCGGAGGGTGGCGATGAGTAGATCCTGCATGTGCGGGAGGATCAGCGCTGGCCTCCTGCGGGGAGCAGTAAGTACGGCGAGGGGACGTACGGTGTAATCGCGCACGTTGCCCTCGGAGGCTGGGACAACAATTTCCAGGGAGCGGCGCTGCTACGGGAAGAGCGTCCCACATGCGGCTCAGCTCGGAAGGGACGGGCTTCGTCTGGAGTTTGAGGATGGTGGGTCGGAAAACCTCAAGAAGCGGGAGGAAGCCTTCGAAATCGTCCCCACCGGGCATTGCACTGCGAACCCCGAATGATAGCCGGTTGACGTGCTTGACGCGCTGGATAGTGTCCTCCGCAAGGGTGAAGTACAAGGGGAGGTCGAGCTCTTTTAGTCCGGCGGGCCATCGGTCCTCCGCCGACATGGAGAACGCAGTGTGGACGGAACTACGCATCCCAGTGAGAGGCAATGATAATGTGAGAAGGTTGGGACATAGCGTCATGATGCGTGCGAGAACGGACCCAGAGGGAGAGCTGAGAGTAAGGCGATGAATTGAAGGAAGTGTAAAGTCGTTTGAATTGGGTAGATGCGGGTAAGTACGGACGTAGTTGAAAGCTAGATCGAGTGTGTGTATGCTCGAGACGGAGGCGAGGGAGGACATGAGTGCAGGAAGGTCGATTCTGTCCCCACCCCTGTAGTAGCCAACGTCGAAACCCAGTGTCAAAGTGGTGAGTTTCGGACTGGATAGCATGACTGGCAGGCAAGAAACCGTCTTGGGGCCGATACGTAGCAGACGTGCCTTCTCGAGGTGACGCATCGCGCCAATGGCTTGGATAACGGGCCCTTCGTGACGGAGGAAATACTCGCATTTTTCGATGCTGATGGTGCGGGGATTGGAGGCTTGAATGATCATGTCATGTATAGGTGGCAATTCGACTATGTGGTAGCCAAGGGTAAGATGGCGGAGATGTTGGACGCGGGGCATTTGAGACAACGGTTCAGGCGCGCACATGTAGCGCGAAAGGATGTGGGCTCTGGAGAAATCGTCTTCGTCGGGACTGCGAACTGTACCCCAGGATCGGTGGGCGAAGACGCGAGAGATGGCGAGTCTATATGGTGGAAGCTGTGGCCAGTGCCACCTTGGAATCTAGAAATGAGAAAATCGCGAGGAGGACGTCATCATTGAGAGATAGGATGCCTGAAGAGCGATTCATCTCGGGGGACTTTAGAGGGACGTCTGGAACCACGAGGGCGAAGGAGATAACAGTACCATTCCGTGTATGATTGATTAGATGAGTTGGAGCCCGAGGTCGGTCGTCGAGCCGGTGTGCTGGTGACTTTGCTGGCGACCTAAGGGCGTGTTTTTGAGCCGCCTAGAAGTAGGGTGCGGTAGTGCGGAGGACGAGGAGGCAGCGAGCGCCGTCTCGTGCAGGTGCTGAGCGCTGAGCGCGCATTGGGCCGGGCGTCGTTAACGTCTGCATCGGCCTTCGTCTCTTCTCTTTATCCCTCCTTCTCCTTCTCTCTCCGGAGTCGTCCTTTCTCCGCTCTCTGGTCGGCATGAGGATGTCATGTACCGCGCTGAAGGTCCCCCCTTTCTACACACTGGCACATCGCTGAACGCTCAGCAGTCTCGCGGGGACTTGCTTTCCGGTTGGCCCATCGCATTCTCAAGCACCGCCGCAACACATCGCAGCGTACCACCTCAGGCCGATCTAGCTGTCATCGTCGGTGAGGGTGGCCGTCGCTCGCACGAGCTTACCGGCGATGTAGAAGCGGAGATTTCTGATCACTTCGGTGCGTCTGCTTGCCCTGGTTCGTTGCATCGTCTCCTCATCCGCCCCTATTCGTGTCCTCTGAACAGATGTCCAGGGACATCTGCGTCCTTCATTTCGTGAAGGTTCCCAGAGCATCGATACCCTCGCCTCTCTACCTTCCGTGGCATCTTTGCGTCGCCGCTCCGGACGGCCGTCGGTGGGGGGAGAGCGAGAGTGGAGGTCGGCGGAGACATGACGCTACAGCAGGGGTTGAAGGTGAACGGTGGCGGACAGCTGGGGCGGATGCAACGGGCGTACAACAGGGAGCGTGGTACGTATTCTGTAACATCGGCTATATACCGACTTTTGAGCACACTTCTTGCGTTCTACACCATCAGCGAGCTTTCACGCCAACGCATTCCCTTTGTCCTTCTGAACCCGCACCTCAGCGTTGAGCGTTCCCAGGAAGACTCTCCTCCATCACTTGACGACGATGCATATGCCCCTCCTTTCCCTCAACGACGGCGCTCTTCCCAATCCTCCCCCAGCGGGAGTCCACCGATGCCTTCTCAGTGTCGTGCGCTTCCCGTCTCGCTTATCGCGTTGGCACACCTCATGTCTCCTCAAGCCTGTCGTCGAGTAGAGCTTTCGAGGCGGAGAAAGACGGTGGCTCGCAGGCACAAGCGTTCTGCGAGTAGATGCCCGGACACGGTTCGGCGTCCCAGATTCCCCTCACCCTCACCCACCGCCTCCGCCGGTTCTGTCTCAACTATTTCGAACCTGTGGACATTCCGCCCGCGGCGTGGTGCCATCCTCACAAAGGGTGGGGGACGATCATCGCGCAGGACGCAGATAGATGGCTTTCGCTTCGTGAGTCGTTTTTCTTCTCGTGCACGTCCGTCCCTAGAGATCCGGCCTGTTTCTCCAGCGACAGCTAGTCTATATATCGCCATACCTACGGGGACCTCGCATATGTGACATTGTTTTCCCCGATGCTGCGGCCCAACTCCTTCACATCATCGTTGGCTCGTCGACTGAGACGTGTCGATGTTCACAGTGAGTCGTCTTGGGAATCGTCGATGCCGTTGTGCATCTCTGATGGGACTTTCCGCAGACATACCTATTGGCCGCGCTTCTCTACTTGCGCGTCAACCTCAACCGGGCAGCATCGATGATACCTGAACCCGACCGTATGGTCGCCATTTCCGTTCCACGTCCTCGCTTGAGGGTCGTATCACCCCGCCTCGTGCACTTGCGTCACGATCGACGACTCACGAGCAGATCGCGTCCCCGGCGGCGATCCGCCGAGAGCAAGAAGAGGATAGTACAAAAAGCGCATGCGTCGGTGCGACGCTCGTACGGTTGCGGGCGCCGCCAGAGTGAGAACGTGAATCCAAGAGGAACGGCTCGTGGAGACCTGGCAGTGGGCGAGAGGGCGCGCGCTCTCATCCATCGGCGGTGAGTACTTCCACTTGAGTGACTCTGCGATTTCCTGTCTTAGTGGTCAGCCGCGCTGCAGTCTGACCCTGCGGCTCTTCCTACAGTCAGTGATGCTGAGACGGTCGCCCGGCTAGACTCTCCCAACCGTTGAGACATCGAGACTCCGCCGATTGAACACGCACTCGACGTCCTCGTGAACTCGTGTCACCCGGGTCTGTCCCCCAAGATCGACCGCTCTCGATCACAGGGTCGGCCGCACCTCAACACGCAGAATGGCTATGCGTGGTTTTCAGGACACAAGTGTACATGAACGAGTGCTGGCTCTGCATCACCTGTTACTACGGTGCGTCAGAGCAATTCCTCTCTGGTCCCGACCTCATAGACCTCATTCTGACGCGCCTGTTGACCCCAGAGTTCGTCTGCGACGTCTTCCGGCCACAAAAGCGGCGAGTACACGTCTCTCGCACGCGCTCGGCGCCGCCCGCGCTGACCCTTTCGCGCCCAGACGCTTTCTTGTGCGTGATGTGCGTGGCGCACGGCGCCCGAGTGACCACCGAACAGCACGTTTACACGCATTCGATGGCCAAGTTCACGCCCGGCCACGATCCCAGCGCGCCGGACGACGGTGGGGGCGAGGAGAACGGGGCGTAGGCGCGACGGGTGAGCGGCGATGGGTGCGCGATTTGAGCGGCTGGAGGAACGGGTCGCGGCGCTGCAGGGGGAAATGGAGGAGCGGCTGACCCCGCGTGGCTTCTCCTCAGTACCCTGTATTTTATTCCGCCAAACCGCTACCTCCCGCGCACATCTCCACCGGATCCTATTCTAGTACTGCATATATGCGCGTTCGTCAGGCGTACAGTCCGGCAGAGCTCATAAGTAGGCGTAGTCATTGTGATCTATTGCTTCTGGAAATAAATTGCAAGTCACATCGACACCTCCGTAGCCCGATGATGCTCCAGCCCCAACCCAGGAAAAGATGGAAGTCCGAAGACCGTTCAAACATGGCCGGACGAGGCCCGATAGGGTAACATCTGCGGAGTGGGTCGGAGAGGGAGATCATTGCATTGAATTTGTAGTCTACTACACGGCGTAGCGACTCTTGTCGGAAATGCACCAGGGTCGCTACCGCGGAATCCCGCAAGAACCGACACAGGAGCACTCACCATCCAGCCATCGCCGGATCAACGACCGCGCTCGCTCTCGATGAGCCCGCGTGCCTCTTCTCCGTCCTCCCTCTTGCGGACCTCGTCCCTGCGCCCGTTCCTCGACCCACCACCACCGCTAGTTCAGCTGCATGACGCACCCTCCGACCTGAGCGGACAACTGGCCTTTGTCGGTGTCGTAGGAGGTAAACGCGGGCGCGCACGACGAAAGCACGAGGGAGAGAAACGTAGAGATCGTCCGCGCGAGGCCACGGAGCGGGGTTGTAGCAAAGCGACGGGGAACCTGTCGCCGTCGCTGGCGGTGCGGGGGGTGTGACAGGGGTTGTGAGGTCGGGAAGTCGGGCTGGAGGTGCAGCAAAGGGAGCAACCGAAACGAGGCAAAGAGCTTGATGGCGTGAAAAAACGAAAACGTGCGTGGGCGGCGCGATGAACGAGAGCAAGGACACGCACCAGAGCCAACCTCTTTCCAACACCACAGGTGCACGTCTAGAAGCATTTTCATCTCCTGAGAGGTCGTAGAAACGACGTTCCTCCGTATCCAGCGACAGTGATGACTTGGTTGGCCATTGAGGCGAGAGTTGGGTCGCTGGTCGCCAAACGAATGGGGCTTTTTGAAGATGCTTTGCTTACAGGGTGGAAGACAGGTTGCATGGCGCAGATGAGGAGTGAAAGGAAGCCGACGAGGTCGAGGGGCAAGGAGAAGAGACGCAGACGCGCAGGCACCCGCCCACAGCTGTCGCGACTCCTGCTCACAGACGCGTGATCTGCGCGTATCGATGGCCTCATCTTTCTCCCCTCCTAGTCCCTCTCCTCCCGCGACGCCACGCGCCAGTCCGCCGGCTGGTGGTCCCAAAAACCTACCCCGCACACATCGCCATAGCCAGAATATGGCTTCTACCTCCCTCCTATCGCTGAACGACGACGTTCTCATCGAAATCTTCTCCCTCCTAGACTGCAAGGAGGCACTGGCGACGTCGTACACCTCCAAACACGCTTATCGACTCGCCATATCCCATGCCTTTACCAGTCTGCGCTGGAGCAGAGACAAGTACAGGTCCGTGCCCGAAAACGATTCCTCTGAGGCCTATGCCCTGTGGGAGTACATGCGCGCACCAGAGCCGCTTTCTCAGGTCCCTCGCGTCCAACACCTCCAGCACTTCACCACGGGGTTCTTCGAACGAGCCGATGTACCGCTTCTGCACGAATTTCTCAGCCACGCCTCCAACCTCCGCACCATCGAGCTCTGGAACTTCGAATCCTTCGTCGAAGAAGACAAAGAAAGTCTCAGCCGAGCCATCGGCACGATGCGCTATCTCAAGCAAGCGAGTCTGGTGATCATCGCCTTTGAGACGATCTCTCTTCTGCCAGCCATGTTTTCAAGCTCGAAAATTGCCTCATTAACACTCCATTTGACTGACTCCTACGACGAACCATATCACACTCCCGAGCTTGCGACCCTCATATCCGTCCTTGCCTCCATCCCGAGCGTACAAACTTTTACAGTTGACTTCAGCCATGTCTCCGTGCTACCGAACGCCTTCAGAACACCCGATGAAAGCCTTCCCTCGATCCGCCACCTCTCTCTCACATGCTCCTTAGCGGTGGCCACGAGTTTCGTGACGCTGTGCCCCAACCTTCTCACGTTGTCCTTATGGCTGCAAGGCAAAGACCCGATATTATCTGTGGGGGTGGGCGACCGCTGGCCTACTGGCCTGAAGGAGCTCAGTATTCAATCGCCTCATTCTATCGTTACCAAAGACACCGCCCGACGCATAGGACACGTCGACCATGTATCGTTAGGGGACACCTTAGTATCACTATCCGGCCCCGGTGTCCTCGACTTCCTCCCGCTGCTCGAAGCAACCCGGCCCTTCGCTCTCACACTGCAGATGAGTCCTGTCTTGAACGAACCGGAGCACGTGTGGAAGTCCCTTTGCATTGCCGCGCCTCACCTCCGCTCCCTCGAGGTCACAGCGGAAGGGTGCAATGTGCGCGACTACGTGGTACGTCCGCCCGTCCTTCCACCCCACGCCCATTCTCCGTGCTAACCCTCCCGCGCCACGCGACTAGGACTCGCTGCTGCCCGCGCTGAAAGCCTCGGCGATTTTCCACATCGCCCTCCATTTCCCGGCGCCCACGCACCCATTTTTCGCCCCGAGCATGTCCGAGATCGAAGACCTGCGCGCGACGGAGGTCCGCCGCGTCGAGGCGCTCCTCTCTCTCCCTCCGCGGCTCGTCGCGGCCGCACCGTCGCTCCAGCTCGTCGCGCTGAGCTCCTGCATGCCGCGGCCTGAATCGAACAACTTCGTCAACCTGCAGGCCCGCGCGGAGCTCGCGCGCGGGGACGAGGACGAGCGGTGGTGGGGCCCGACGAGCGAGTTCGTGCGCCCCGCGTTGGGGAGGCTGCGGGAGCTCCGGGAGGAGGTCCCGCGCGACGAGCGGTGGTGGTGGGTCGAGGGCGAGGGTGCGGCGCGCCGGCCGGTGGAGATCTGGCGGGAGGACGGTGAGAGGGCGCGGGTACTGATCGAACGCGCGGACTTTGACGCTGCGAGGAGTTTTGACGGTGAGCGCTGGTGTCTGTCGTACATGCGGGAGCTGATCGGTTCTGTTTGCAGGGTTTTATTCCGCGAAATGCAGGTATGAGCGGTAGGCCGTACCGAGGTATAGAATGGACACCAGAGATAAGTGGAGGCGCACGTCCCAGACTAAGCGCACTGAACCTCTACGCAGCCAAGTGCGTACGATATTTTCAGCTGCGTCTACGACCCCGCGATCCAGGGGAAACTGAGCCCCGCTTCGGACGTGCCCCAGTTCGCGCCCCCACTACTCCAGCACGCGATCCCGCACGACTCACCGCTCTCAAAAGTCCCCCCTTCGAAGATGCCGACTGGGCCCTGGCCGTTCGCGTCCACCGGTGACGCGCACAAACGTGAGCTCTCGGGGATGGCCCTGTCGCGGCTCGTAATGGGCCCCAAAATAGGTGTGTACAGGTAGTCGTCGACTTCCAAGATACGCTCGAGATCGCTCGAGGCCTTGAGAAAGAGCCTCGCAAGCTCGCGCAAAAACTGGGTTCCAAATCTCTCTGCATCTCCCGCCCAAGTGTCCGCCGTAGAATTTATACGCCGGTCGTGCGGGGATCCCCGGGGGTGACGGCGGCTGACTTGATGTCAGCGAGATGGGCTCGCCACCCGGGGAGCGCTTGCATAATCGGGACCGTCTGCGGCTGTCAGCCAGGGCATCCTTAGTTGCAATGCAAGCCCCGGTACTGTGACGTCATATCTTCCGCCATGCCGCACAACCGAAGCTGTCCGCACGCAAAAAGCAACCAGTAAAAGAGCGGATATGATTACACCCGACGGCTATGAGCCACAAACGATGGTGGTGGTGAGCACATAATAAGCAGTTACTAGATACAGCAGACGTAGCATCGTGAAAGGGCCCCAGGCCCGTCATACCAGTCGTGTAGGCGTAGTCCAACATAGTTGAGTCCATGAATCGTGCCCATCCGAAACCATGCTGATAACGTCGTACTGCTGTACCGGGCAGCGAGGAGGATGTCCTTGTGCGGCCGTGGAGGTGAGGGGAGGAAATGGGGCGAGCGGGCGTCAGCGCTCAGTACTCAGTCCAAGAACGTAGCATCCGTGCCATCACGCGCGAGATGTCCCGCGGGAAGACGACCGCGTCCTCAGCGATGGCGCGCTTCTTGAGCTTGCGCCGGCTCTTCCATGAGCCATTGGTGAACAGGGAGCCGTTTCTTGTCGTTGTCACGGAGAGCCTGACGCGGTCTTCCGATATCCGCGGCGCCCTCGGTAGAGGTCGTGCCGCTCACGAAAGGGAAGGTCGAGGCGTAAGTGATCGCGTCGCCGGTGCCGTCGAATGTCCCGGCCAGGTTCGAGGGCGCGCCGCCGGAGAAGACGTAGTTGTCGTTGTCAAAGACGATCGGGTCGAAGATGCTAGGGTCCGTGTCGTTGTACGCGCCGGGGAAGGTAACAGTGTCGTACACAGTGCCGTTGCCCGAGCCGCCAATGCGGACCTGAGTGTAGGACGGGTAGAACTCGGCGCCGCCCTCCGTCACTGCGGGGTGGAGGGCGTTGATCTCGTGGCGGATGACGCATGGGATGAGGTTGTCGAGGTGAAGGAGTCGCCATTCACTGCGAAGGTACACGGGTCGGGATGGGTGCGAGACAAGGAGCAGAACACGACTCACTGGTATCCGCCTGCGCTCCGTCTCTCTTCTTCCCGACCTGGTCGATCTTGAATCACTGCGCGTCCGTCGAGTTGAACTTATCGCGGGTGACGTTCCCGCATGATACCATGTAGGTGATCAAAGGATCCGTGTTGTGTGGCCACTGCATGCGCGTCGATCAGCACCCCGAATCCGGGCGACCAAACTGGGGCACGTACCTTCTGGCTCGCACTGCACGACCACTGAAACGCGACCGTGCTCCCGGAATTCGCGGGGGCAACGATCTCTGCCGGCTGCGCGCTGAGACCACAGAAGAGGTCCGCACCCTTGACCGGGCCGATGTCTGAGATGAGGCGGATGAGACTGGGGCTTACGCGTTGCGGTCAAAAGCTGCGCGGGGAGGGGGGAATAAAAACACGTACCCTTGTAGTTTGGGGCGTTGCCGAGGTACTTCGTACTATCGATCTCGACCCAGCTCACGAAGCCATGGCCTGCGAAGACGGGAAGCGTGACGGGGGGTGAGGCGGTAAATGTGGCTATAGCAGCAGAGGTCTTTATGTTGAAGGCAGCCGGAGGGTATGGAGGATGAGAAGGGGTATGTCAGCCAGGATCGGGAGACTGAGGTTCGCCGGTCGTGAACTTGGGGGCTCGGCTCGTTCGAGAAGTGTGAAGGAACATGAGGCCCACTTGCAGAGGAAAGACGACCCTCATACGCCCGCTCGCGTGAAGAACAGAGCGTGGTGGAGGTACATAAAAGAGAGCATGGTAAACTCTGTTGCTTGCCGGTCTTGTCGGAAAAGCACCAAGGTTGGTACCGCGGAATCTCGTAAAAACCAACACGGGAGCACTCACCGTCCAGCGTCGCCCCAAATCGACGTCCGTACCGTTTTCAATGAGCCCGTGTGCGTTTTTTCCGTCCCCCCCTCGCAGACCTCGACCGTGTTTGTCTCTGCGCCCGTTGCTTGATCCACCACGACCGCTGGTCCAGCCACTTGACGCCTCCGTCCGCGGCCTCCGAACTGAACGGATGCTTCGCCTTCTCGGTGGCGTAGGAAGTAGGCGAAGCTGCGCACGGCGAGAGCGAGAGCGCGAGGGCGAGAAATGTGGAGATCGTCCGCGCGAGAGAACGGAGCGGAGCCGCAGACGCGACACTTGTTGCCGCCGCCGGCCTTGTGCAAGACGTGGCGGGTGCTACGTGAGGTCGGGAAGTCGAGCTGGACGTGCAGCCAAGAGAGCAATGGGGACGAGGCAAAGAGGGCTTGATGGCGTGAATGGAGGGTGGTGGAAACGTGAGTAGGCGGTGCGATGATCGAGGGTAGGAACACACACCGACAGCCGCTAGCTCACGCTCCAGATCGTCATCTACGGGTCCGACCATCTCCCGCGAAACCGTACGAATGACGGTGCTGATCTAGCGATGACTCCAGACTCCAGCCTGAGCATGAAGCCGTACGGGGCCCGCCAACAAGCGAGGGCTCGGGCATTGGGGAAAGGGGAAAGGGGCATATGGACGGCGCTGTGTTGACAAGATTGGAAGAGCGTGTGCATAGCGGAGACGAGAGGCGTAAGACGAGGATGAGGAAAGAGGAGGCTTTTTATTATTATTATTATGATCTGCTTATCCCAGTATCTCACAAAGGTCGTACGTAAGTACCGTATCGAGAGTAAGATGCCGCTAAAGCTCTATCCCGCTTTCGTTTGACGCCGAGCGGCACGGGACCCCTGCCGTAGCAAGTTGGGGCGAGTGAGCGGGCCGCGGGCGCCCGAGGAATGTCCGAAACGAGTCGTGAAGCGAGTGCGGATGATACGTAGTCAGATTCGTCACACTTCTTACCTGGTACCGTGTTGGCCTATGACCGACCTGCCGCCGGCCTTCCTTTGCGTGGGTCGCGCGGTTGCGCACCCTGCGGGTGGTGTGCGTCATTCGCGCCCTGCGCGGCCGGGAGGCGGCGGGGGCACGATGAGTCGAAGGCCGCGTGGCTGCCGGAGCAGTTCGCGCACTTCAACTCGCGTTGCAGAGGGCCAGGCACGCGGAGCGCGTGTAGGCGGGTGTCGTGGGAGCCCGCACACATGCCGCACGTCGGTGGTGCGCGGCAGCGGGGCGCCACGTGCCCGAACCGTTGGCAGTTCGAGCACTGGGTGCGAAGGGGGGCGAGGCGGGTGGGGGTGCACTCACGCGGCCCGTTGTTGAAGAGGAGGCGCGTCCCGTGGACGGCCCGGAGTACCTTGAAGTGAGCGTCGTCGTCGAAGTCGACGAACAACGCGGCGGTGGTGGAGCGGTCAGGGTGTGGGCCCCAACGGATTGCGTTAGGGGCCTGGGAGACGCGCAGGAGGGCGTCGTCCCAGACCCGGGACTGCGTGTGGGCAATAGCGGCGCGGAGAGCCTCGGGGGCTGCGATCCGGCCAGCTTCGCCATGGGGGGTGATGTCCTCGCACTCGACGTGGGGGAAGACCACGGAGACGCGATGGACGAAGCGGGAAAGTCGGAGAGGCGTGCCGAGCACGGCCTCGAGTCGGGAGTGGATGACGCGCGCTTGAGCGTCGGCGTCAATGGTGTGGCCCGGCGGCGGGGCGGTCGGGAGCACCGTCCAGCGCGTGCGCGCCGGGTTGGTGGAGATGCGGGTGATGGGAGCGCCGCACTCCTTTCGGAAGATGTCCAGGAGGGACGCGTCCGACAGGCTGCGTCGTTGCGCCGTGCCGGGGTCGACCTCGTGGAAATAGAGGATGCGGGCAGAGCCCGCGGGACGCCGCTGGCGGAGCGCCTGCAGCGTGGCCTGGAGGAGGGAGGGCCTGGGCGGAGGGCCCGCGGCCTGCGTGGGGGGTTGGGGCGCGGCGGCCTGCTGTGCACCTGCGGGGGGCGGTGCGGCAGCGGCCCGGCCCGATCCCCGACCCCGTCGGCGTGCAACCTTCGCCCAGGTCATGGGTTCAGGGACGGCGGCAACGGGCTCGGGGCGCGGCGGCAGAGCCGCCAAGCCCGAGGGCTCGACGGTCATGGGGGAGGGAGGCCGTGTGGGCGTGGGGGTTGGGGCGGGAGAGGGGGAGGGAGGCCGGGTGGGCGTGGGGGGCGAGGCTGCGGGAGGGGGCGCTGGCGGGTGTGCGTCCGCCGCGTCGGGCTCCGGGGTGTCAGCTGGGGGCGGTGTCGCCATCTCGACCTCAGGGGCATGAGGGGCCGGAGAGGGGAGGCGGACATGAGGGATGGGGGAGGCGGGGGGTGTGACCTCCATCCGATCAGGGGGGTGAGGGGAGGCAGGGAGCGTGGGCGCGGGCGTGGGGGCCGCAGGCGCAGAGGGGGCGTGTGCCGTGTGGGCGTGGGGGGGCGTGGGGGCGTGGGGGGCGTGAACGCCGGTGCAGCAGGGTCGAGGGGACGCGCGGCCGGGGCGTGGTGCTGGATGGCGGCGGCGGCGTGCTCGCGCGTCAGCCGGATGAGGAGGGGGAGGGCGGCGATCAGGAGCGGGTGGTCGCTGATCAGCTTCTGCGCCTCGAAGGCGGAGTGTCCGTGCGCCAGGAAGGTCTGGGCAATGCGGCAGGAGACGAGGTCGGTGGTGACCTCAAGTCGGTCACGGAGGAGGAGTCCGAGGACCTCTTGCAGGATAGGCTCCAGGCGGATTTGTTTCGCGCCCGAGGCAGGGGGAGGGGAGGGGCGGCCGGGCCTGGGGTAGGGGCGGCGACGCTGGGTGGGGGCGTGGAGGCAGCCGGGGGGGCCACCAGCGGGGGGTCAGTGGCGACGGCCAGTTGCTCCCGGTCGGGGAGACGGACGTGGTCGCCGATGGAGGCTTGGAGGGCGTCGCGGATGCGCAGCCACTCCGCGTCCCAGACGAGCCAGCGGGGGTCCCCGTTGGGCGGCATCCGGAACGGATTGTTGTAGGGGTGGAGCCCGTCGGGTTGGACCGCGTCGGGTGGGAAGGGAGGGGGGGTCGCGGGGGCTTGGGGGCGGGAGGAGGGACCAGCGCGGGAGCAGGAGGGCTGCGCGCGGTGGCCAGGGCGAGCGAAGAGGGACTCGGCCTCGAGGGCTTCGTCCTCGTAGTAGTCGTGCCATTCGGCTTCGACTTCCGGGTCTTCCAGGTCGTCCAGGAAGTCGCCGGGGTCGCGGAAAACGGGCTCACCGTTGACGTAGTCGAGGACGCCGGGCGGTGGCTGTCGGAGTGCAGGCGGGGGGCTCATCATCGCGGGGATGGGGGCCTTGGCTTTCTTCTTGCCCTTCTTGTTGGAGGGCGACATCGTACCTGGGGGTGAGGGCGTCGGCAGGGAGAGGGTAGACGCTGGAGGAGATGGTGGTGGTACGAGGTCAAGGAGCGATGGGAAAGAGGAGGCCGTGGCTTGATGGGATTGGGAGAAGAGCACGACGAGTCACGAGACTGCGTCGAGCGTTGACGCCCTACGACCCAGGCGCAGCATTTGAAATTGCTTCCTCCTACTCCCGGCCCTCGCTTAGCCTCATCTCTCTCTCCAGTCCGTCTTTCTGTCTCTCCTCCTACAAGGTCCAGCTAGGGTCACACCGCTTACAAGAAAATCTCGAGATATCGACGACGACTCGTGAACATGGACCTCATCTCTCTCTCTCTCCATGACGACGTCCTTCTTGCAACATTTCCCCTCCTGGACCGCCAAAATGCCCTCGCAGCCTCTTCCACCTCCAGAAGCGCCTAATCCCTTGCTATATCCCGCGTCTTCGCCAACGTGTACTGGCGCAGAGACACCGAAGTGGACGAGGAGGACGCCTCCGAATCCTGCCATCGCCGAGCCCCACGCGACACCCACAATTGCGGACCCGGATCGTGTCTGGGACACGCTGTGTGGTGTCGTTCCCGGGCTGCGATCGCTCGAGCTCGTGGTCACGCGGGGCGAGTGCGACGTGCGCGAATACATGGTTCGTCACGGCCTCGCCGCGTTTCCCCCCGCTCTTTTCCCTCCGAACGCTGACCCCCGCGCCTCACTCAGAATCCGCTCCTCGCCGCACTGTGATCCGCATCGCTAACGCTCGTCCCCCTCCGTATGCAGCCCCTCCAGGCCGTCCCGACGCTCCCCTTCCTCTCGCTCTCCTCCTGTCTCCCTGGTTACGAAACCAGGCGTCCGCAGCCGCGCGGCACACTGGCCTCGACCCAGAGGTGATGGAGGAGCTCGTGCACGAGACCGCCGTCGAACGGCAGTGGGGGTCGACGAGCGAGTTCCTCGGCCCCTCGCTGCGGAGGCTGAGGCAGCTGCGGACGGAGATCTCGTGCGACGAGCGGTGGTGGTGGGTCGACAGCGACGGCGCGGCGCGGACCCCAGTGGAGATCTGGAGGGAGGCCTGGGAGACGGCGCGCGAGGTCATCAAACATGCGAACTTTGACCCTGCGAGCAACCTCGACGGTGAGCGCTGGTCATGCTCGCCGTGTCTATCATGTACGCAGAGCGCCGATCGATTCTGTTTGCAAGGTCTTATCCCGCGAAGTGATGGTATCACGCATGCAATGCACACAAGACATAAGTGATGGTGCGGGTGGACGGATGCGCAGTATTTACCTCAAGCGTGGCAAACAATTGCTCGGGCGCGCCATCGGCGCGCGAGGTATGACGTACCGTGTACTCGTGCACGTTGTGCGCGCTGTGTTTCACCACGACTTGGAGGGTGCGGCGCGACGGCGCGACGGCGAGGCCAGAGGAGGAGGGGGAGATCTCTACCGGATACACCAGTCCCAGACGCCTTTTCGTTCCTGATCCCGGCCTGTGCATTGACTATAAGTGTGCATCCTCATGAAACGCGCCCGCTGTCTATGCGCCCTTTTCTGGATTTTGACTGCATCCCACGCCCCACGCTTCCGGTGGAACCATCGTCGTCCTTGGCTCTGAGGGGACCCTCTGCTACCCTGATTCCGTCTCCGGTCTCTCGGGATTATGGCGAGTGCGATGTGCGTGAATACAAGGTCCGTCCCCTAGTCCCGAAGCTCACCCCTGCTAGCCGCACCCTGGTCCACTTCCGAGCTTCCCTAATTCTCTCTGCACTTCCCTGCCGCCGTCCCTCGCCGCCACGCATCGAGCATCACCGAGGTGGACAACCAGTGGTGCGCGAGGCCCGCCGCGTCGTGGCGTTCCCCCCACTCACGCTCCAGTTCGCTGAGACCGTCCCGTCGATCTGCGTCGTTGCGCTCTGTGCGTGTCTCCCCGGATCGACCGGCTTCGACACCAGACGTGCGCACGGGGGGCGCTGGAGGATATTGCCTTAGTAGAGCTGATGGCCCAGCGTCGAGCGGCGGTGGGAGCAGACGAGCGAGTTCGTTAGCCCTGCGCTGCGGCGTCTTCTGGAGCTCAGGTTGAAGGATATTCCGCGTGGCGGGCGGTGGTGGTTGGTAGGGGGAAAGGGCGCGGCACGCAGGCCGGTGGAAATATGAAGGGGGGATGACGAGCAGGCGGAGATATTCATGAATGCGTGGACTTGACCTGGACGAGGAGCTGCACGATGGTGAGCGCTCCCCAGTGATGGCTCAATGCGCGACATACAGATGCATTTATGCGCGTGATTCGCTCATGAAGCAAGGCAATATACGGCAGATGATGTTCTGCTCTCTCATTCGCACGACTCCCTGCCCTAGATGCTCATCTGTTATGACGTACACTTTCTTCGTGTCCGCAGCGGGCACGCTTTCTGTAGTAGTCCGAAAATGTGGACGAGTGCATCACAGTTTGAAGTTTCATGTGCTACTCTGTGGCCTCCTCTTGCGTTCGTCCTCTTTGTGTGACTAAATTCAGCTCAGAACGAGTCTGAACTCAGGGGTGTCATTTCGGCATGTGCAAGAATAATTAATAGATACATCATAGCCTGGATGCAGCACCGCACAGAATCCGCAATACATACAATTCGAAAATCAGAAAGCAAGAGACACCGCCGCCGTATTTGGGCCATCGCAAGATAAACAAGCCAGCACTACGGAATTTCCAGACTTTTTGTCGTGTTTTCCGGTCCATGATAGGTTCAATCTAAAGGGCGATCAGCTTTACTCAGAGCACGGTTGGTGCGCCAGGCTCCGCACTTCTCCCGAGGTCAGGTTCCATGCATCAAGTTTTCAACAGACGTGCCTATGCCGTGCTGTCCACATCCACCCTTCCCCGCGTCTCTTCGCCTGCCACAGGATAGTCGTCTTCTTCCAAGCCGTTGACGTTGTCCAGAATCCTAAGGTCGGCTCTGATGGATCCCATAGCGTCCACCGCGAATCGCAGGGATCCGATTCCGACCTGGCAATCAGACGCAGACGAGTGGAGTGGGTCGTCTGAACCGAGCTTGATGGTCCGCTGATGAACCTCCTGCAGGTCAAGCAGAAATCGCGAGACGAGGATCGTGGTGAGACTGTAATGAATGATATGAGAATTCAGCAGTAATAGAAACACTCCAGGTTATACTTACGGATCGCCGAAACTGCCAATCAAGGAGATTTGAATAGGAGATATGATCTGGTACCCATCGAATTAGGGATAAACGGATGGGACACCACATACTATGTTGCTTACCCCTCTCAAGGTGGTTGCCATGCGGAGAGTGTTCAAAATGAGAAAAACACTGCCCAATAAAGTGCACATTGGACAAGAGTTTGAAGGAAATGCTGCGCAACATACACGAAATACATGACTCCTGGGAACGAGTCGTAACTCAGCATATTTTCAGAGACAGAAATTAACTTAACGGACCGTTGTGTAGCATGATGTTCGCGAATGTTTGCGGAGGACCTGTTACCCCTCTATCATTCGGTTTCATTCCCGAAGATCGGACAGTTTTCCAGGTGAGAAAGATAACGGTTCCATCTGCGAGCATCAGCAGTGACCGAGAAAGTACCTCCCCTGAAGCAGACCAGAATCCAGATAAAACGCTACAGTTGAATATACAACTGCCAGGAGTACGTACCACTGTGTGATCAGAGGTGTTAGAAACCACAACCACCACACTTCGAGAGCATACTCACGATACCAGGAAGGGCCTGGGGATTGGAAGGTAAGTCACGACGCAACCGAAAATGGGATCACTGAAGCTCTGCATCCGATATGCAAGAACACCCTGTTTGTAGGACCAACATTACGAGCCGTTTAGATAAATAAATGAAGAGTTTACACGTACAAAGTTCAAGCCCACATTCATGATGGAGAATACCAGCACCAGTATCGCAAGTGGGCGGCTTTGACTCAGCGCTAATGCGCGCATTGCGGAGAATGCTAGCGGATAATGCTCGTCATTACTATCAAGTGATGAGTAGTGTCATACAAACCTGCAGGAGGAAGGGGTTGCATGTATTCCAAGACAAACACGGTGTTGTCCAGCGTAGTGCAACTGTTGTACATGAACTTGAGCTCAAGGAAGTTAATCATATTAAGCATTAAACTGACGTCTGCAAAGCACGAGAAAGTGAGTGCCGACATCTAAGAAGTTTTCATGAATACACACCTGGTCGGTAAATGGGTGAAATATAATGAACAACGAAATTCGGTAAATCAGGGCAAGATAGCGATTCAAGATGAATAGTACTGTCGGTCCGGACACGCGCCGGTTCCAGAAGAAATTGACCTCTCGGCTGAACGTGAGGAGATGGTCGAAGACAAGGATGACTTGTAGATGTGAACCTCTTTCCAAATCTCATATGAACAGAGTGCTGACCAGCTGCTGCGATGGGTACGTAATCATTTGAGTAACTATATAGGCATACCAGGGAGGTAATGAGAAGCGCTTTCATTTCTGCAGAATGGGACATACAGATCTTGATATTCTTCGATCACTTGCGAAACTTGGTCACCGAGGTCTTTCATTGACATTGTGTTGTGGGGAGAGGACGGTGTAAATGCCAGTGTAGATCTTCTCTTTATACGAGGCCTTGTGGACGCACCATATACACAAACCTGGCGATAATGATGTAACCTTTCCATTGGTTCGTCTCTGCAGTGGTATGGAGTCCAGTGCTCTGACAGATGTACAACAATCTCTGAGAAGCTCTAATACGTGGAAACAGACGGTGCATTCCGTGCTGATTAATTGGTTTCCTTCCGTTCTAACATGTGCGATGACACCACCCTGCATAAAAATACTCGCCAGCCAGCGAGACCATCGCCATGCTCATCAGAAAGCTGTCACCGAGCATTAAACACATCGGTGTTCAGGATGGGACGCGGGACGGCTTCTAGGAAAGCTCGCGCGCATACAACGGGCAGCTCGCACTGCACGCTTCGCCGCGTGAGCTCTTTCTTCTCACCAACATCACCAAAAAAGCGCGAGGTACGGAAGAGCATAAGAACGACTCCTGGACGAGTGTATTGGGACACATAACATGAAATCCTTGTCATTCCGTTCTTCCCGCCGTCTTCTCCTTCCTTGGCCGCAGCGATTCACTAGCCATGTCCCGCCCACCACCCTCGAGATCTACACGAGATCCACTTTGGCCGACCTATTTAACGCTGCCCCTAAGCCCCGCTCCCCCCGAAATCGTAGCCATAGCCCAACGTGCATGATTACGTGGTACATCTCCTTGGTCTCTCTTGCCACTTTCGAGTCGGTTTACCGGTGCTGATCTCTTCCCTTATCCACTGCTCGTCGCGCTTCGAGCCACGCCGCTCGTCCACCTCCCCGCTTCGTATCCCGCCTCTCCTGCAATGGTACCATGCATCGAACATCACCCAACTTGACGACTGGTCCACCGCAAAATTTAGCCGTGTCCACGCTCTCCGACCGCCCCCGCGTCGTCTCGCACAGGCCGTCCCCTCGCTCTGCGTCCCCGCGCCGTCCTGTGCACCGCCCCGGGTCCACAGGCTTCGATATCAAGCACGCACGCGCGCAGTCCGTGGAGTGCCACCAGAGCTCGTCGCGGAGCTCGTGCGCGAGGATGACGTCGAAGGGCAGCAGGGTCCTAAGAGCGAGATCATCGACCCAGGGGTGCGCAGGCTGCAGGCGCTCCGAGAGGAGATTCTGCGCGAGGAGCGGTGGTCGTGGGTCGAGACCGAGGGGCTCTCGCAGTCAAGGCCAGGGGAGATAGGGCGGGAGGACGGCGGGCGGGCGCAGAACTTGATCCAACGCCCGGACTTTGATTGGGGGCCCGGGCAAGACACTCGAGGATGCGATCCTGAATGTGTGCGCGCGGTCGCCAATCGGCTCATTGCAAGGTTCTACTCCACCAAGGTTCGTTATGGGCGGTGACTTGACATGGCAGTCTACGTTCTACCTATGACTGTATGCGCGTCATGCGTCGCTACGGTCGCTTCATAAGCAGTATCGTAGCGCGTGATACGGATGAAGTCGCGGCTCCATGGGCTCAATAATCTTCCTGTATGCCCAATCGCCCTGTCGTTCCAGAAGATTTTCCTCTCCAGTGAGATGTGAGCCGGAACCTGAAATCGTCAAAGCCATGGAAATACGCACAGCCTCGTAATTATCGGAGAAGCTCATTTCCATTCCCCGCACCAAGGCGTGCATCCGTGGCGTCGAGGGAGACGCTCTCGAATCACCGCCCGGTGTCACTCGCACTGTGCGGGTGGCCTCCGTGATATAGGAAGCCGGTCGAGCACGCGGTCCTCGCGGAGAAGCACCGCCGCGCGGCACGTTCCACTCGTGCACGGGCAGATGGAAGCATAGTTCGAGCGACGCCGGTATGGCCCTGGAGCGTGGGTGCGCGCACCGCAGGTTGATACGCCCCACAACAGGTGGACGAAGTCGGTGTGGGGGGGCTGTACACATGCAGTGATATGTCCGCCGCATCGCAGACTCGGCCACATCTCAGCAGAACAGCTCCATCGCCTGGGCACTGCACCTCAAGTCAGAACTGAGTCTTGATCGCACTTATCTGAAGACTCACCGGATCGTGGATGCAGATGCGTGGCTCAAGTCGCGTACGCGGCCCGCACCTGATAACTTATCTCGAGTCTCCTCATTGTGCAAGGACGCACCAGGTCCGCAAGCCCACTCGCTGATCGACTCAGCAAACCTGCTGCCGCGGACGAGTTGAAATACGGAGACTTCCAGAGATCTGCTACAAGCTCTTCCAGTACTGATGTACGGTACTCGCGCGAGAAATAACGAGGCAGCTCACCAATCGGCGTCGTCGCCGCGTCAAATGGCCATCCTCGACGAGCTCGCGCGCGGTCTCCACGTCGTCTCTCCGCTCTCCCCTGCACCGCACCTGCGCCCCCGCCTCGTCCCCCGACCACGTATAGTCATCGCCATCCGAGACGTCGTCGCAATTGAGCGCCCGCGCGGGTGGTGAATGACGATACGCGCAAGCTCGGCGGGGAAGAGGTGGACAAGAGCGATGTGCAGGACCTCGTCCACGCGCATTCCGTTGCGGTGGTGGGTAGCGCGGCGAAGATGGGTCCTAGAGATGTGATTCAGACACGGACGAGCCGAGGACTCACGGCGATGTTTGATGACGACGTTGATATCGGCTGACGAGGTGGCCCGCCGTGCGCTAGAGTGCCTTCGGTGGCACGATGGCGTTCGAACCGCGCACGAACGCACGGAGGAAGTGCTCTCGCGCGGTGTCGTAGACGAAGAGCATTTGATGGAGAGCGGGGAGAAGTTAGCGCAGAGCGGCACACTGTGGGCTCCTCCGGGGCTCCCTGACGTTCCGCCACGAAGCGTTGAGGAACACGCTCGCGGGCCACATCGCCTTGGGATCGTCCTCACGATAGAGCCCCACGACCAATGCTGTGGGCACGTCCAACACTCCATGTAGCCCACGTACGACGAAGCTGGGGGCCCAAGCTGGCGTGGTGAGAGCGCAACAACGGGAGAGACGGAGACGCGGCGAGACGGGCCGCACCGAGAGTGAGCGCGGTAGGCCCCCGCGACGGGGAAGCCACCGACTTAATGTGTGCTGGACGCACATCCGTGGGCGAGGGTGGGCGGGCAGGTGGACGAGCTGCGTAAACTTCATCGCAGCAAGCAGCGACTGCTGTAGCACGATGAAGACCAGCGCGCGGAAGGTATGACGCAGAGGGGAGTCGGAATTTGAACATACCATGTACTCTCGTGCGTTCCAGTCGCTTTTTCCGTCCATATCTTCGAGCGGACGGAACTGCGGCGCTGCGGATATACGGTAAAGATGGGGGAAGGGACGTTGGTGGCGTGCTGGTCTCTTCCCAGCACAAGGCTACCCCAGAGAGGAGCCCCATGAACGACCAGATCGAGTACAGAGAGGAAGCGCAGAGGGCGACGAGCGAACGCTCACCGTTCAGAGCCATCGCCGAATCAGACTCCTTACGCTTTCTCTGCGCCTTTGGACAATGACCGCGCTCCGCAAGTCCGGCCAATCCACCACCGTCCCTGGTCCTGAAAGAGGCTATATGTTCGCACTGTTCACAGCAACACTTCCTCTACAGCAAGGGTGTGTACTGCCTCACCGCCTGGTTCTTCGAGAGCCGCGGCATACCCGTTGACTCTTCTAATCCTGTGGACTACCGGTGAGGCGGCGCCGCAGCGTGCACCGAGCAACAAACAAGTCTTGAACTGACGGGTGGGCGTTGTGGAAATGCTGCAGGTCGTCGTGATAGAAGACTGGGTGAACAGCGAAGAGAATGAAGAAGGGGACGGTGAGCTGCGACGCTGCGTTGCGTGGGGCTGGGCATTTTGCGCCCTGATGTGTAAGCCGTCCGCGAGATAAGATTAGATAATAGGGAGCATTGCAGACGCGTAGACGCCGACCTCGGCCCGGCGCCCCGCTTGCAGCCTCGAGGCTTCTCGGATGTCTACGACTCGTTCCTCCTCCTTTTCCTCTATGCTCCCAATCATTTATACCCCTACAGCTCAGATACAGACAGATAAACAGCGCCAATTCCGCGCGCGATTATCCGTCCATCCCGGACAAGCCGTGAGTGCTTCGAAAATGAGCTCCACCTCCCTTCTCGCGATATTCTCCCTCCTGGACCGCGACGATGCGCTCGCGACCTCTTCCAGCTCCAGACGCACCTACTCCCTTGCTATATCCCGCGTCTTCGCCAACGTGTACTGGCGCAGAGACACCGAAGTGGACGAGGAGGACGCCTCCGAATCCCGCCGTCCGGCCTACCGCCCTCGAGCTCCACACGACTCCCACGATTGCGACCCCGCTTCATGTCTGGGACACGCTGTGTGGGTCGCCCCCGGGCTGCCCTTGCTCGGGATCGTCGTCACGCGGGGCGAGTGCGACGTGCGCGAATACATGGTCCGTCACGTTCTTACCGCATCTTCCCCTCGCTCCTTTGCCCCATGATGATGATGATGATGATGGATTCGTGCCAGAGCTCGTTAACTACACGCGTAGTGCTAAGTACGTTCAGTAATCGGAACGGGACGGCGGCTATCCCGCGTTCGGTTGACGCCGTAGTGGCACGGGACCACGGCCTGAGCCAGTGTGGTGAGTGCAGGCCCTGCAGGCGGCCGCGTTTGGAGCTGGGGAGCGCATATGAAGGTAGTCCGAGGCCGAAACAAAGTCCATGCGCATCTGAAGTCCCACCGAGTCCTGCTACCGGACACTGCGGGGGGGTTGGCCTTGGCTACTACCCTCCGGGTATACTAACGTGAAGGTTTGTGAGGTCGGGGTTTTGTCACCTCCCGTGGGTGTGGATTGGCCACGCGGAGGTCGGGACTTGCGGGGTGGAGCAGCACCCGAGCCGCCCTTCGGCAGGCGGTGGGGGCACTTGCGGTCGTAGGCCGTGTGATCGCCTGAGCAATTCACACAACGGACCGGCAGAGTGGGGGCACCAGGGGTCCTCACAAGGAACCCGTGGTCGTGTGAGTGGTGGGTGCCGGCACAAACGCCACACGCTGGAGGCGCGCGACAGCGGAGAGCCACATGCCCGAACTTCTGGCAGTTCTGGCACTGGGGACGGTGGGGGGCGACGCGCGCCATGAGGCAAGCACGTGGACCGTTGTCGAAGATGAGGCGCGTGTTGTTGAGCGCGCGGGTGGTGGTGAAGGCAGCATCATCGTCGATGTCGACGAACAGCGAGGCGGTGGGAGCATCGGGGGCGTGGGGGCCCCAGCGGATGGCAGTGGGTGTGGGGGAGGCATGGGTGCCGGCTGTGGTCCATGTGGGGACTCCAGAGCGGGCGATCGCATCGCGGAGAGCAGAGCGGGGGTCGACCTCGGCTGATGTCCCGTCTGCATTGTAGCGCAGGCGCTGGACCTGCGGGAAGAGGGTGGATGACCGGTTGACGTACCGGGCCATGCGGAGGCGCGTGCCAAGCAGCACCTCCATGTGTTGGTGGAGGGAGGCGGCCTGGGTGTCCGGGTCAGCCGACACGCCTGCAGCCGGAGCCGTCGGGAGGATGGACCAGCGGGTGCGAGCGGGATTAGAGGTGAGGCGCTGGACAGGTATGTCACAGCACCGGCGAAGGTTGTCGAGGACGTGGGCGTCATGACCAAGGACGGGCGGGGCCGAGGCAGGGTCGAGGACGTAGAAGTTGAGGATGCGGGCGGAACCCGCAGGGCGGCGCTGGCGGAGGGCAGTGAGGGTCGCTTTGAGGACGGTTCGCTCCTTTGCCCCGACCGCTGACGATCCCCGCGCTGCACCCAGGATCCGCTCCTCACCGCACTGCGATCCGCATCGGTAGCGCACGTCCACTTCTCCCTCCACTTCGCGCCGGTCGCGCAGCACCATCGCGCGTCGAGCATAGCCGAAGTGGACAGCTGACGCGCGACTGTAGTCCGCCGCGTCAAAGCGCTCCGCCCGCTCCCTCTGCGGATCGTGGAGGTCGTCCTACGCTCCGCATCCTGGCGCTCTCATCTTTTCTCCCCGGTTCGACAGGCTCGGGCACGCGCGCAGCACGAGGACCGGGGGTGATGGCAGCGCTCGCGCGCGAAAACGACGTGGAGCGACGGTGGGGACCGACGAGCGAGTTCGTGAGCTCCGCGCTGCGTGCACACGGAGATCCCGCGCGACGAGCGGCAGTGGTGGGTCGAGGGCCACGGCGCGGCACGCACCCCGGTGGAGATCTGGAGGGAGGACGGCGAGCGGGCCCGCGAGGTCATCGAACACGCGAACTTTAACCCTGCGAGAAGCCTCGATGGTGAGTATTTTATCGCACTTGACGTACCTGTATCCGTAGTAGCTGATCTGTAGTGCTTGCAGGACTCTGTTCCGCGAGTTGCCGGTATGAGTGGTAGCGCGCACGTACGCAATGCACACAAGACATAAGTCGAGGTGCGCGTTGGCGGACACGCGGTATGTACCTCAAGCGTGGCAAGCAGCTGCTCAGGTGCGCCTTCGCGCGACGTATGATAGCGGGACGTAGCGTGTACTCGCGCGCGTTTCGCGAGCTGTCTTAGATCACGACTTGGAGGGAGCTGCGGCGCGGCGCGACGGCGAGGCCAGAGGAAGAGGCGGTGGAGGAGAGGGATCTCTCGAATCTCATTGTCCCAGTCACTGTTTCTTTCTTTATCCGGGCCTGCTAATTAACCATACGTGCGTAAGCTCATGCAACGCGCCCGCCGCCTATGCACCCTTTTCCGGATTTTGACGGCATCCCACCCTCGCGCGTCCGGTGGAACCATTATCGTCCTTGACTCCGAGGGGACCCGTGCATGCATCTCGTCTCCCTCATGTTGACCAGTACATCTCCGACACGGACGACTTTCTCGATTTACAATCCTCCCGCTTCTCACAGTCTTACACCTTCTTCCCTGTGTTCGGTCTCGGTCTCTCAAGATCGTGCTGACAGAATGCGAGTGCGACGCTCGTGAACGCATGCTCCGTCCCCTCCTTGTCTCGAAGTCCACCGCTGCTCTGTCCGACCTTCCGCGATGCCCGGAAATCCTGCTCGCTGCGCTTCGGTCAACATCGGACTCGGCTCGTGGATCCAGATCTCCCTGGAATTCCCCGCCGCTGTCCTGCGCCACCGCGCGTCAAGCATCTCCGGTGTGGACGCCGTAGGCCCGCCGCGTCGAGGCGCGCTCCTCCACCCGGTTCGTCAAGGCCGTCCCATCTATCCGCGCGGTGGCGCTCTCTGCATCTCCCCTGGGATTGACGGGCTTCCAAACCAGTCGGGCGCGCACGGCTCTGGAGAGTCCGCCCCTGGAGGCTGATGACCAAGCCTCGAGCGGCGTTGGGGGCATGCGAGTGAGTTCGGAAGCCCTGCACTGCGGCAACTCAGGGAGGATCCGGGAGATCCCGCGCGTAGAGCGGCATTGGTGGGTAGAGGGTAAGGGCGCGGCGGGCAGGCTGGTGGAGATCCGGAGGTGCCAAGATGGCGATCGGGGGGCGCGAACTTGACCCGGACGAGGAGCCACGATAGTAAGCTTTCCCAAGGGATAGCTCGCGGCATGTATGCCAGTGATTCACTCATTAAGCGAGGTAATGTACGGCCGACGATATTTGGCCTTTTCATCATCCGCACAACTCTTTGCCCTCAATGCTCATTTGTCAAACTGCAGACCTTCTTATTGTCCGCGGCGAGCACGCTTCCTGTGGTGGTCTGCCTAGGTGAACACCACAAAGGAGTGCATGGGAGTTGAAATCTCGTTTGCTAGTACGCTGTGACGTCATGGCTCAGGATGGTAACAAGTTATATTTTCGCTCTCTTTTTGAGGCCAAGTTCAGATCAGAACGAAACTGAACTCAGCAGTGTAATTCCGGCGTGTGCAAGAAGAATTAATACATACATCATAGCCCTGCGCGACGATCGCCCCTCACCCTCTGTGAGGATGGTGCCACGCCACGGGCGGGACGTCTACAGGTTCGAAAAAGGCGGGGGCGGCGGGTGTGGCCGGGGAAACCTTCCCCGCCTGGGAATCTCGACCCCGGGGCGGGCTCGAGGAGGTATGAGGGATGGCGACGCGATAAACAAGACGGGAAGCGCACGACACTGATCAAGAGGGCGTCGCTGAGGGTTGGCAGAAAGATGCGAACAGCGCGTCTTCGTTGTAGAAAAAAGAGGCATGTGCGCCGTCGTCAAGTGACGGGGGTGTGCAGGTTCACAAGAACAGAAGGAGTGTGTTGGAGTGAAAGCTCATTGATGGTAAAGAACGCAAAAGATGTGCTCAAGAGTCGATACATAGCAGGGGTCATAAAAGACGTACCACGTCCTATCCGCCACTACCCTTCACCTCCTGCGCCTGCTGCAGCGTCATGCCTCCGCCAATCTCCACCCTCGCTCTCCCACCACCTGCGGCTGTCCAGAGCGGCGACGCAAAGAATCCACGGAAGGCGAGGTGAGAGCATGGATGCTCCGGGAACGTCCAAGCAATGAATGGCGCAGATGTTCCCAGACGAATAGGGGCGGATGAGGAGACGACGTAACTAACCAGGGCAACCAGGCGCACCTAAGTGATCAGGAATCTTCGCTTCTAAATTGCCGGTAAAGCCGTGGAAAAAATGGCTACCTTCGCCTCGCCAACGACGAGAGTCAGATCGGCCTAGGATGGTACGCTGCAATGTGTTGCTTCGATCCTTGAGACTATTTTGGGCCAGCCACATGGAACTGCTGAGCGATGTGCCCGTGCGCAATATGCGGAAGAACAGCCCCATTTCGTCCAGAGGTGGAACATAGACGACGCCGGGGAGAGAGGGAGAAGGAGAGAGAGAGAAAGAGGGACACTGAGGGGGGACAAGCGAAGAGACGAAGGTGGCTGATTCAGATGCTGACGCCCTCTTGTTTCTCGCCACTCGCCTACTCGCCACTTCTGGCCGAGATGGCGCTCTATACCTCTCCTTCTTTCCTTCCTTCCTTCCTCCCTTCGCGCTACCGCATCCTACTGCCAGGCGGCGCAAAACACGACCTTCGGCCAGAACACCGGCTTGACGACCGACTGCGGGCTCCGACTCATCCCTCAGTCCAACACAGGAAGAACTCGGCGCTACCCTCTGTCGCTGCGAGGTGGAGGACGATGATCTCGTGGCGGACGAGGTGGTAGCCGGGGATGAGGCCTGAGGTCGTCGTGGAACGTGATTCTGAAGAAGTTGCCGTTCAATGCGAATGCACGCGAGTCGGGATGGGTGCGAGACGAGGAGCAGAACGCACTGATGTCCGCCTGCACCAAAGTCTTTCCGTCGCTCTTCTTCCCGACCTGGTCGATCTTGAACCCCTGCGCGTTCGTCGGGTCCAACCTGTTGCATGTGCCGTCCCCGCACGACGCCATGCGAATCATCAAAGGACCGGTGTTGTGAGGCCACTGCACGCACGACGCCTCAAACCCGTGCAGCCGCACTAGGGCTAAGGGCACGTACCTTCTGGCCGCTATGCTTCCAGACTTCGCGGGGGCAACTAATGCCTCTGCCGACTGCGCGCGCGCGCGCTGAGACCCACAAAAGAGGTCCGGGTTGGATGCGCCCTTCAAGACGGGGCTGACGGTTCAGAAGCTGCGCGCAGAGGTGGAGATAGAAACACGTTTAATTGTTTGGAGCCTCTTACCATCGATCCCGGCCCAGCTCACGAAGTCATGGACCGCGATGAAAGGAAGTGTGGCAGCGAGCGAGGCGGTGAATGCGGGTTACGGAACGTGTGCAGATACTTCGCTCCACTGAGCGTCGGCTACATGCATATACATAAGTAGCACCAAGGATCTCTACGGCGCCGCACGTGCGCGCTACCGTTCATAACGGCACTTGGCCGAGAAGAAACCTACAAAACCCAGGCCTGATTAACATCCAGGAGAACAGCTCTCGCGCGAGGAACGCTCACCGTCGATGCTCTTGTTAAAATCCGCTCGTCGGACGATCTCACGTCCCCGCTCGCCGTCCTCCCGCCAGATCTCCACCGGCGTCCGCGTCGCGCCCTCGCCCTCGATCCACCACCACCGCTCGTCGCGCGGGACCTCCTTCCGGAGCTCGTTGAGGCGCCGCAGCGCCGGGCGGACGCACACGCTCGTCGGCCCCCACAGCCGCTCGACGTCGTCCTCCCACGCGAGCTCCGCCGCGAGCTCTGGGGGAAAGTCCCGCGTGCCCATCCTCTCCCCGCGTTCGCGCGCGTTGTCGAAGCCGGTCGTCTCGGGGCGGCAGGAGTGGAGCGCGAGGAGGCGGAGCGACGGGACCGCGCGCGCGAGCGCCGGCGGGAGCGCAAGCAGCGCGTCGACGCGGCGGACCTCGGCCTCGCGCAGGCCGTCGACTGCGGCCATACTTGCCGCTGTGCGCCACGCTTGGAACGCGGGCGGGAAGTCCAGGGTGAGGTGGACGAGCGACGAGGACTGCAGCGCGGCGAGGAGCGGGTCCTGTGTGGGCGCGCGACGAGGACTCGGACGTCAGCAGCGCCGGGTGGACGTGGACTCGTGGAGCGAGCGGACGCACCAGGTAGTCGTGCACGTTGGCGGGGCTGGCGTGCCCTTTGACGGTGACTTCCAGGGAGCGGAGCTGGCGCGCCGCGTCGACCAAGGGCCTCCATGTGCGCTCCGGTTCAGTTAGAGCAGGCTCGGGTGTGAGCAGGTGGAGAGCGAAGGGCTGGACCGCTTCCAGAAGCGGGGGGAGGTCGTGGAATTCTGAGCTGGATAATGACCGTCCCAAGCCTCCCACCACCAGTGAGTGGACGTGTCCCATGCGTCGCAAGGTGTCTTCTGCGATTTTGACGTGGGATAACTTGAGCTCCTTTAGCACGACGGGTCGCCGGTCGTCCGCGGCTATGGAAAATGTCACGGGACGATCATCCTCGCAATACAGAAAAAGTGAAAGTGTGACCAGATTCGGGCACAGTGGCACGATGCTCTCGAGCACCTGTGGCTCGCACAAGAGGGAGAGGTGGCGGACCGAGGGAAGGCTGAGGCGACTCGATTTGGGCGGTCTGCAGGTGTTGGGTAGCACTGCGAGCACGTTGTCGATATCGATCGACAGAGTCTGTATGTTCGGCATGGAGGCGAGGAAAGATACAAGGGCAGTGAGATCAACATCGTCCTTCGGCAGGCCCCAATAGTATTCGCCGAAGTTGAGTGTTAAGGAGGATAGCTTCGAGGATGAGAACATGGCCGGCAGGGCGGGAATCGTCCTGGGGTCAATGCACGACAGGCAAGCCTTCTCGAGGAGGTGCAACGCGCCCAACGCCGGAATGAAATCATCGAGGTGGTGCTCGAGGAGGCAGAGGTCGATGGTGCGCAGGTTGGGGGCTTGGAAAAGGATTGCACATAGAGAAGGTATATCGTCCAGTGCAAACTCTCCCAGGACGAGGTGCCGGAGATGTCGGACACGGGGAATCTGAGAAACCGGCTCAGGCGCGCGCATGTAGGCCCAAAATGCGTCGGCTTCAGAGGATCCGTCGTTTTCATTGCTCTCGCGGGTCCACTCCACGCTGGCGAATACGCGGTAGATGGCGAATCGATAGGCCCGTTTGGATGTGGAGGCGACTGCAAGTGCCTCTCTGCCGCTCAGCAGGGAGAAGATTTCGAAAAGGACGTCGTCATTGAGAGAGAGGAGGGAGATGAGAGCCATATGCTTCGTGGTGTTTGTTGGACATATGATGAGGGGAGCAGGAACGATACCGACAGCACCAGATAGGGCCAGACTAAATACTGAGTAGCAAAGAACAAAGACTATAGACCTGATGGTAAAGTCGATAGAACGCGTATTATGAACCATTACAGATGCGATACAAAGGACAATGAAAGGCTATAAAGATAAGATAAGATAAGATAAACGAAAAAGGGAAGCGATACTAGAAGCGTCATATCACAACAGTATTGACGACTGGGACGAGACGCGGACTTGCGCGGTGTCTGTGAGCTGCCTGGACCTCTCTCGGAGGACTGGAAATATTGGATGGGTGTCAGTTACACAAGTCACGGGTTGTGTAACAGGGCTCGCGGCGCGCTATCTAATCCGACCATAGATTAGCGCGTGACCAAATTCGCGAGCAACTGGTCTGGCGTGGTGTCTATGTTTCTTCCTCTAGAGCTCCCATCTCATGGCCTGGACATCCTCCGTCATCGCCCTCCCTCCCCCCTCATCTTCACCATGCACGCCTGGCCAAAAATCGGCCATCTAGTTCAAGCTTTTCCCGGGTGAATTCAAGCTTGAGTCGCTGGATAGGGGCACACCAACTGGTTCAGGTGCGTCGTTATCCTTCGACTCCTCGCTTTATCTTGTCCTCATGACAGAACGATCCGGGAGTCCCTTTCGCAAGATTTCATTGGAGCTCTCCACAATCACCAATATTTCTGTTTCCGAAACAAAGTCTTTACCGCACCTCTAGCGCAACTTCCCGACCACCTCGGTAACCGGATCGCTCTCCGTGAGGCCCGCGACACCTACAAGTACCGCGTCGCCTTCCTTCAGGTCATCCTCGTCGCCTGGTGCGTACCCTTCCCCACACTTCGCATCCTCGTCCTCTTGTCGTGCACCCTCGTGCCCGCCTGTTGCGACACCGACAGGCTCCGGATCCGTGCCGGGGGTTCGGACGATCGGTGCTTTCCGGGCCACTTCAAAGACTCCCCGGACAACTACGAACACGGATGAGTAGACGAGTCGTGTAGACGGCGGAAGCACTCGCAGACGTTTGAGGCAGGAGAGGCAGATGGCGGCGCGGGAGAACGGCGATCGTGTGGCCGGCGGTGCGGGTGGATCGAGCGCGACCAGGTATGACCGTGCTCGCTCCCTGGAGGGACGAGGTCTGAGGAGGGGCACACGAGCTGGACGAGAGCGCGGGTTTCGATTTGGCTGCGAGTCTGAATGGTGAGTGCTTTCTCGCTGCCTTTCTGCGCGAACTTTGTGGGCCGACCCAGCACTTTCATAGGGTCTTATGCAACAAGCGTCGCAACGCCATGTAGTAGACTATAGCAATGACATCCCCGTCCGCTACGCATATACTGCCATGTATGTCAGGCGCCCAATGCCAATAGCATGCAAAGCACAAGGAGCGGTGGACGAACGGGCATTTTCTACTTTTCGGCGAATGCACAGTGAGGCGGGCTCGCCAGCGCAGTGGGGCGATGCAGAGCTGAAACGACGTATCGGTACGTACCTTGGCACTCTCCGTGGTTATATGCACCCTCAATCCGCGTTTATGATAGAGCACCGAGCGCAGCTACGCGCTTTTTCACTTCGGCTGCTTCAGACTCCCTGTTACGGGATAGACGGGGATCACGTTCCGATGCCTGCATAGTGAGGGCGGTAGAAGATGCTTCGTGGGTTGGTTGCGGAGTCGCGGGTGAAGGAGATACGTCTACGTCTCACCCCGGTGTTTCCTCCGAAGTCTTGCTTTCACCCAAGATACTCTGCTTGGCTTGGCTGAGTCATTCTGATTCACAAGCGTCCGTTCAAGATGGGCATCACGCCGTACACGACTCAAGATCGTGCCAATGAAATACGCAGACAGGGGGTATCCCGAGGTTTGTTCGTGCCTCCCTACCACTACCATCTGTTGTTGATGTCTTATCTAGCACGAAATTCCATTACTTCCTCCTCGAGGCCTCCGACGCCGAAGCCGACCAGGCGCCGTCGACCGCACCTCGCTCAGGTTGGCAGGCAGACGCCCGCGCGGGAAAGCGGCCGAGTGTGAACTCTTCCCACCCCCGGCATCGGTTTCGCCCGCGAGTTGCCCCCACATTCGCCTCGGATACGGCTCCTCTCCCCATTCCAATTCCCCGGCACGAACCCGTCGTGTCGCTATAGGTACCGCGTGAGCTCCTGGTGCTCCTGCGCACGTACGAGGAAACGTCATGGGCATGTGCAGCACGCGCTTCTCGGGCCTTTTCTTCGGGCCATCCAGTCCGTTGCGCCCAAAGATTCCGACGCGAAATCCGTCCCATGACACACGGACGTCGAGGAGGGACAGAAGGTCCTGCAGTTGTTGGCGGATTTGCGCGCCACGACATCGCAGCTGTGCTCGCCGACATCAATGCCGTCTCCCCACACTCAAGCGTCCTTCTCTCCGACACATCTCTTTTCTACCTCCCGAAGGCTCTCTTCTGCATCTTACCGTCCATCCCCTCACTCCACCTCCACCCCATCATCCAGTCTAGCCACGACCCCTACAGCATCGGCGAGGCCTTCGCGGCTGATAGGTCGCGCTTTGCAGAAGCGGGCCGCCTCACCCTCCTCAAACTGCCCCCTGCTGAGCTCGCGCGGACGACCCCTGCGCTCCGCGTCCTCGCGCGCTCCACGTGCAAGCTTAATCCCATGACCTCCTAGACGGCTGGGAGTAGGGAGCACGCGGGATCGTGATGGTAGCTGACCGAGGCAGGCGCGGAATGCTATCCCCTGTAGCGCGAAGAGAGGGCGCGCGAGCGAACATCGACTCGTGTGCTTCGACCGGACGACGACGCCGGAAAGTGAGAACCCCCGTCACTGCATCCGCGAGTCACGTGAACTAACGCGGACGTTCGAAGGGCTCTTCTCCGAGCAGTTTCGCTGTGTTCTGGGGTGGGCTCTGCTCTGTCTGTCACGCGTCAGTTACACTCGATGCACGGACTTGGACGGTAACGAACAGCGCATGCTCAGGATCGACTCGGGTCACCCCTTCCAGGTGTCTAAAAACGTTATAAGGTATTGCAAACAACCTGATACTACTGTCTGTCCGCGCAATCGAATGTCGGAATCGAACAGCGATGTCCATGACCGAAACGGTCCGTCCCAGCACCCTCCCCTCAACCCCTCCTCTCCTCTCCTCGCGCTCCTGCGTCCGACCTCACAGCACGTCCGGTGATATCCGATGGGAGTGTTCAGAAGGCGGTGGTTGGAGCGACGACGCTGCTGCTGAAGACGCTGGTCGCGAAGGTGCTGGAGGCGAAGGACGAGGAGCCGACGAATGTCCCCGAAGTGGACTCCGCGACGGACGATACGGCCACGGAGGAGGGAAAGGCGAAGGACGACGAGACCTCAGCGCTCGACGAGGGGGACGCGAAGGACGACGAAATCCCGACACTCGACGAGGGGAATGAGAAGGATGATGAGACCTCCGCGCTCGATGAGGGGAAGGTGAAGGACGACGAGACGTCGGCACTGGACGAGGCGAAGGACGATGAGACCTCAGCACTTGACGAGGGGAATGCGAAAGACGACGAAATCCCGACACTCGACGAGGGGAACGCGGTGAAGGTGCTTGCGAACGCCGAAGAGTGGCCGTGGCCGTGGCCGTACACCGGTGCGCACGAAACGATGGTGCCCGTGGGTTGGCTGCCGGAAAGCGTCACCGAAGAACCGACGAAGGTCGACGTGACGGCGCCGGTCGAGGACACAGAAAGGCTGCTCCCGATGATGGTCGTGCTCCCGATGACGATCGTGGTCGGCTCAGCGGTACCGGAGACGGTGACGGTAGTCGCCACCGCGGTGCTGGACGCGACGCTTCCGGAGACGGTGACTATGCCGGAAGACGCGGCACTACCGGAGGCGGTGACGATGCCGGAAGTCGCAGCGCTCCCCGAAGCGGTGACAATGCCCGAGGTCGCGGCACTACCGGAGGCGGTGACGATGCCGGAAGTCGCAGCGCTCCCCGAAGCGGTGACAATGCCCGAGGTCGCGGCACTACCGGAGACGGTGACAATACCGGAAGTTGCGGCGCTCCCCGAAACAGTGCCGAAGGTGGACATGGTCGCGATTGCAGAGCTTCCATATACCGGGGCCAAAGTCGACGCGAGCCGCCGCTTCTCGACGACGGCAGCATCCCCTGCGGATATTCCAATCAGCGTCATCCCAGGCCGATAGAATCAAAGGACGCCAAACCTACCTCCAAGGACAAAGAGGGCAGCAAGAACAAAAGACGAGATGCGCATCATGTTTGTCGTGGCGACGAAGGAAAAGTGCGGCGCAAATGTGGTGGGGTGAGAGAAGTGTGGAAGGAGGGGAGGAGAAAAGGATGTCTTCAGTCACCGCAAGCACATGAGCTTTATAATCTTCTGCGGCGGGCACGGGACGGCGCGGCACCCACGCGCTCTACGCTCCGCTGCGATTGCCGCGGACGCCGTGAGATCACCTAAACATATGCTGCGCCGGACTTCGCTGCAAAATTCCGTGATGAGGAACAACGAGGATGTTCAAGGAAGTAAGTATAACCGCACCGGAAGAAATAGCAGTAACTTGGCATGTCACCGAGACTCTGCGATGTTTCAGACAGCGGTGAAGCGGAAGGAAGCGTAGCCGTAAGGGAGCTGACAGATTGCAACGTTGGAAATCGGTGTTATCAAGTCTGGTTGAGGGAGAACCGGCTGCGCAGCTGGCTGCAGTAACGATGATCAACACAGCCACCACTTTTCACACGCCGGGCGTTGTGCCAGCGTGATGCTCGACGCGCCAACCTCCGCTTCTGCTCCGCCCACGATTCAATATTCATTGCTCCCACTCGCATCACTCACGTCGGGCATCAAGGCCGCCTCTGCGCAGTCACAAAGCGCGTCTCCTGTCAAGTTACAACGCTGCGCAGCATACACACATGCTCGGAGTCTCTCTTGGCGGCGGGCTCGCCGACGTCGTATTGGAAAGAAATACTATACTTAGACTGCCATCGATTTTCGGTCCCACTCGGAGGTAAGGGAGTTTCGCTGCGCGGACGCATTGAATCGACCTGGCTGACCGATGAGGAGCATTCGGTAGGGTCCCCGAAAGTTGAAGCAATTCGTCTGATGGTCTCAGCCACTGCCAGGACTGCGCAGATCGCACAGCGTTTGTCTTTCTAGACCACAGCTCATGTTGTGCCTGTGATCTAACCCTATCTCTCTCACACTATCCTAGGTCGAATCCATAAATGACAAATCGCGCTTTTGATGAACCTCGTTGCAGCACGCCAGTCTGAACTGCGGTCTACGGTCACGTCAGCCATATCGGCCTTGTTTGAAGCCCTCTGGATCCCTCCTCGGCGACGTCATTGGCTGCCGCCTGCGAAATATCTTTTTCGATCACACATGCGTGAGTGGGTGCATGCATACAGTCCAATACTCGGTGTTTTTCCGTCTATTCATTGCTTCTCTCACAGCTCGGACATGGCTGAAGGGACGACATTAGCCCGCCGTGCCGTGGTGCCGATTCAGAATTCATGGGTGATGTATGGACGAGGCGGGTTTATGTCCACAAGGTTGCGGTCTCAGGAATGCTGTACCGCGATGTGGGAACCCGCAGTTCACTCAGCTGACACTTTCGCGGTCGAGAAGAGACGTCGCAGCGCGTGGTCTGGATGCATGACGAAGTTCGATCATCATCGATCGAAGAGGGGCCAGTGCAGGGCCACGGGCCGCACTCCAGGATACATGGGCAGTTCATGAGGTGAGCGCGTGGTGACGTGGCGCATGGTGTGGGCGTGTTTGCTCACATAGTTGTCCAGCCACGACCCTGGTCTCCACTGCAGCCCCCGTGTTAGCACCCCTCTGTGCGACGGAAGGTGAGCGATCTGTTCCTTTGTCCGACAGCAATGGCCGTTGAGATTGATAATCGATTTTCTGGATACCTCGCGATCATCGACGGACGGACACTGTGTCATATTCTCAACCGCACGTTCTCGGCAACCTTCAACGTTAACTGTGTAGAAAAATTCGAGGATACTTCGTAGAATGAGTGCGGGTAAGCCGCGTACGGGTGCCGATGTTTCCGTCGGTGGGTTATGTAGTACGAGCTGTGGGGTCGACTTCGGGGATACGTTGTGAGTCTTTTTGCTTTCACGTCTTCTGCGCAATGTTCTGGCCACCGCGCTTTGTCCGTGCCGTCGAGTGGCTCAGTCACCCCGATCTGGAAACCGTCCCAAGCGAGCACCATCCCTCCCATTTTCACCTGTCTCTAATCTTACTCGTCTCATTCTCTCCAACCTCCATGCCTCTTGTTTGGACGTCATTTCACGTACGAATGGGCGTGTTGGGGATGATGCATGCTTCAGTTGCTTCACGGGAGGGCATTGACTCCTCACGGGGTCTTTGCTCGCGTTTTCAAGTCATTACTGTACTTCATTCGTTCGGATCCAGATTGATCAGCGCCGCAGGACAAAACGGAGTCCGTGGCGGGGGCAGCGGATGTTAGCGCCCATCGTGCGTCCCCTTCTCCCTTGACTGGCTGCCTGGCTCGCCTGTTCTGGCCACCCTGAGGCGGTGTGCACGCTTTTTTCTGGGATCCGGTGCTTCACGATCCAACTTTTGGTATGTCGAAGTGCGTGCGCACTCGTCTCTGCGAGACCGTCTGCCTCGTTGAGGTCGCGCGGCTGTGGCCACGGTCGCGCACCTCGACGGTGTAGACAGTAGCGTAGCCCTGGAAGTGACGGTGGACAAGGAAAGTGAGGCGAGGGTGTGTTTAGCGAGGGAAGAGTGCCACCCAGGCGCACTCTGCTCTTTGCTTTGATGTGGCCGCGATCCTGAAAAAGAAAGTGTCCCCGTCTAGCGCGGCGAGCGAGCGAAGCGGCGTCGCGCTCGCCCGGTTCGTGCCTCTGGTCCGTAGTTTCGCTTTTCTCGCGCGTGGAATGTGGTATTTCAGTCCGCACTTCTCGATGGCATGGCCACCATCGCTCCTCCAAGGTCGAGAGCTCTCAGCGTTTCATCCGTATCCTATCCACCGCCCCTAACGCCCGTAAACCTGTAAGAAATGGGAAGAAACGCGTCCATCAATAACCCTCGCATGGAACCGTGGTTTTAATCGGGCTTAACTCATATTACCTGGCTCTTACTATCGCACACAGCTTTGCTTTCCCGTACTGCAATTATACGAATATTGAAAAGCAAAACGTGACCGAGCACCTTGTAGCAAAGCAGTAGGTCTCTTCCATTTTACGTTCTTCACAATGATTCCAGGCGCTTCATGCAGGACCACAGGCAAGCCCCATTATTGCGCCTTCTCCGTTCCCGCCACGTGACAATGCCCTGAGCGGTTCAAGCTCGGGAAGAGCCTCAGCATCCACAAGCACGACGAATACAGCTCGCTCGTGGTCCCCGTCTCCGAGAAGAAACGACGTCTAGAGGCGGAGGCCCGTGCTCTTTCTCTTTCTTCGTGGCGGGAATCAAGACAAAAGAGGACCCGGACCCCGAACGTTTCCTCCGCGACCTCGCGCTCCCGCAAGCTTCGTAGTACCCCGCGCGCGCGCGGCGCCGTACGCCCGCTCACTGAAAGCGGAGGAGCGCGAGCCGAGCCTGTGGACGGCTCCGAGCGCGCGCGCGGTGGGTCCGCCCTCTGCGCTGGGCCTCGGGCATCCCGGCATCTTCGGCCCTGCCATCGCTCGCGTGAAGATGGAGGAGGTCTCAGCGCGCAGAAGGCAAATATATCTGGATTCTGATTCTTCCCCCGCGAACTCTGAGAGCACCGTCGCGTTCCGGTCGTCCGGCGGTGAGGGTCAGAAGGCACATACCCTGGTTCAACTGCACGGCTTTAAGGCGCTAATTCACACACGTGCAGTGCAACACAAATTCCGTCATGACTTACATGGCGTCGTGCGGGGACGGCACATGAGACAAGTTGAACTCGACGGACGCGCAGCGGAGAAAGATCGACCAGGTCGGGAAGAAGAGAAACGGAAAGATTGGGTGCAGGCGGATACTATCGAGTCAGTGACTCGTTGCGTCCTGCTCCTCGTCTCGCACTCATCCCGACCCCCGAGCTTATAGAAGGCGCGGGCTTCGATCCAGCAACGAATCTGCATGGTGATTTCTCTCGTTAGTTCTCGCTCGAATACCCTGTACCAATTCTTGACGTTCGCAGCGTTCTTCTAGATAAGTGTAGCTATGCTGTGCAGCGGAAAGTGGTCTCGTAGCTCAGTCTGATGAGTTGGCTACCTATTACGCACAGCCGAGCTTGGCTATGAATGCAAATCACGTCTTCGGACTCGGCCTATTCATATCGTTACATTTCAAGCAGATGTTTGTGTCAATACGTTCGGGGTATCCGGCCTCCATCACTCGCTCGCTTGCGCTTCAGCCGTCTCCGTGGTGGAATCATCCTCAGCGACCGACATGGGATGAACAAGGTCGTCGGGAACAGCTGGGGTATGCGCAGTGGCCACAGGGGGTAACTGCTCGACGGGCGTAGCGTGCGCAATGACGACTGCATGGACTTCAGAGGTCCCTGAATCCGGCGCTTCTGCATCGCTGGGAAGTGTGATAGGGGACGGGACATGATCCGGATTCGATGGAGGCACGTCCGTGTCAGCACTCGGGCTGTGCTGTGCTTCGGGTGGGGGCGGGGGATGGTATACTTTCGGTGTCAACCATGCCGCGGGGAAGGGAGTAGCCCGGCTGTGAGCTCCTGGAGGGGACAGAACGTTCTCCAGCAGAAAGAGAAGCTCGCTCTCAGAAGTGAAGATAATCTCCTGAATGTTCCAATGGGTGGTGACGTTGTACTTCTCGAGATATTTCGCCTCCTTGATCTGTACAATTTGGTCCCAGGACGACTTGGTCGGCTCAGGGTTGGTCCTTCTGATCCACCGTTGGACGGAATTCCAGTCTCTCACGTCGAACCTGCGGTAGTCATGAGTAGCGTGCCGGCAGCTTTGATTCCGTTTGAAGTGTGGACGTACCAGAAGTCCTTCCGCGCGAAGGAACCATGCCATTCACCTTTTAGTAATCTCACAATATCGTCAGATCGATCCCTCGGACTTGGAATTGGCAACACTATTGACACGCCCAGCCGCATGAGGACCATAATCACTCGAAGCAATGGCGACTTACAGAAATACAACGCTGTTCCCCTGCAAAGCGTGGCACAGTTAGCGAGAGGAAGTGAGAAGTTGCAAATGATCCATCACCAAGACTGACATTTGTCGAACACTTCGTGTTATATATTCCGCTTCGACGACCTCCGATGCGCCCCGTATCCGTGTCAAGAGTCGTGGTATGAGCGCGACGAGTTTGGTGACGGTCTTTTTTTCGTGCTCCACCTTCCGTGATGGGCGATCCCAGAGCTCTGCGAGGTTTACGATCCAGTCTCGCCGAAGCTCGAGGTTATGAAGCGCCGATGGCTTCCAGTGATACCTGCTTGCGATGACGATCGCAGAGGCCAAACCCTCCGCGAGGCGCCCAATGACGATGGCACGGAAAGAGGAGTCGATTAGAGTGGTTTCTTCCGCCATAAAACTGCGAGAACCGCATCAGTGTCCAGGCCGGGAGCAGACGGTGCATCCGGCGGCGACCAAGTAGTACAAACCTCAAGTACAACAGCGCACCAGGGACGTATTTCCATTCATCGGCCGCCCAATGGTTGCAATAGAGGAAATTTTCAAAGACCTCGCTGTCCCAAGACATGCTCCCATTCACCGCATGTGCGAGCGGAGAGTGGTGATCGTGGGCTATCGTGTCGAGAATGTAGCTGAGATGTACCGCCACCGGAACGGAATTCAGACGAGCGCGATTTGGAAACTTTTCGTTGCTTGACGAGTCGACGGGCACGAATAGTATCTGCGCGATCCAGTCCCTCAGTGTTGTCAGCGCAGCAGCGAAAGAAGGGGCCATGCTGATGTCAAACATGGACGGGTCCCCAAGGTCGAAGAAGGGCACTTGAAGGCTGTCCCAAAGACAACGCATCCAATAAATGCTTGAGTAACATGCGTAAGAGGCAGTGAGGTCTCAGCACAGCGCATAAACGCACCGTTCGCACCAAACGACGCCATCTACATCACGGATGGCCGTGTCGTAGGCGCAGATGTGTCTGAGATAGAGCTCGATTCTGCGATGCAATCCCTGTTGATCAAGAGGATGTGGTACGTCATGATGCTCCCACTCGCATCGTTGGAAGTCGTGCTGTTTGCAGGAGCCCGACAGAGAAAACCGTACGCAAGGACCGAGAAGGACGATCTGTTTGTATGCCTCATTGACCACCGACATCTTGCCGCACAGACGCATCTTGGTTGTAGCCCCCATGAGCCGGGTGAGCGAAGGTGTTGAAAGGACTTTGTCTGCGCCGTCGCTTTGCCGGATATCTGCCGAAAATGTGCCCGCGTACTTCCAGAGGTAGGCATCTGTAGGAAGGGTGTGCGTGCCGAGACTAGGAGTGTTCTGCAAAATGCCGTACGGAATCTTCCAGAGACGGGTGTCGCTAAAGGCGCGGAGGAGACCGATGTATGTCATGAACGTGTTGTGGAACTCGAGCTTGTCGACTACGACGCTGAGATCGACGTCGTCTGGTGTGTTGTCAAGCAGATAAACGTATGCATAGTCGAGGGCGAGAAGGGAGAGACCGAGGCGACGTGAGGCATGGAAAGATGTTCCATGGGCGATCAAGCTGCTGTAGTCCCTGTTGCAGATGGCCAAGTAGACCGAGAGCTGGATACAAAGTTGTATGATAATGAGCGCTCTAAACTGCACCGACTCGAGTTGCACACACCTGTTCGCGGAGTTCGCTCGGAGGAGCATGACCATTCAGTCGCAGTCTTGCCTCCGCAAGATCGTAGTATTGTGATAATCGTCCGCTTCTTGCGATGACATTCAGCCCGAGACCGAGCGTGACTGAGCTCGCGAGGAATTGAAGCAGGATGGTCGTCCCCGTCTGGACATGTTCTGCGCCGTTCTCGTCTCCAGAGGCGCGGAAGCACAGCTGTATTGCGCGCAACGGATTCTTGAGGGCCTCATTCCATATACGTGCGGCTTGCGAGTACTCTTTATGCTCTTCGTAGTAGGTTGCCAGGGGTGCATTCAGCTTGTGACGCTGCATAAAGTCGATAGCGTCCTGTGCAGACGAGAACATCTTCATGGCTCGTCTACTGTGTGTGAGTATGGTGATACTCTCCGTCAGAGCACCTGTCAAGCTCACCCGTCGTGGTAACTTTCGAATAGCTGCAGACATACAGCCTCGAAGATTGCTTGGGGGACTTCATCAGCACCATAGGCAAGTATGAGTTCGTGCACGTCATCGATGAGACCGGCCTTGTAGTATCCCTTGCACGCCTCTCCGATATCACCTGCTTTGAGGTAGTGGTCGGCGCTCTTCTTCGAGTCTCCACCTCTCTCGAAGCACTGGGCGGCCAGTACAAACAGACGCGGCGATTTTTCGAACCCATCGCCGCCAGCATGCGCGCTGAAGGCGTTGGCCACGTCTAGCCACTCGTTGATCGTGGACGCTTTCTGGTGTAATTGGTGCGTGCGTGCGAGGTCGCGTTCGCGTGTGCGCGAGGCGCGTTCGAAGCACATCTCCGCGAGGCTGTATTTCTGCTGTTCCATCATCTGGTGACCGCGTTTAGCCCAGCCGTCGGACATGTCGGCGGGGGTGGAGACGTTCAGAGTCAGTGATGGTAAAGCGACGGCTGGGTCGTGAACTTTGATGTGGTCCTCCCGCGCTAGAAGTTCCTACAGTATACTGATCAGTACACAGGGAGCGCAACGGATCTGGGTCACCCAGCCACTCACCAAGAGCGCAATCGAGTGCAGTGGCCCGTCTACAATCCAGAGACGGGACCGGGCCCTCGTGATCGCGACATAGAGACATTTCATCTGTCTCACGAATCAGAAACGTGGCCGATATCGTAGTTGGCAGCAACATCGCAACGTTACCTCGTGGCAGACTAGAGGGCTGATATATGGCTGGATATCGTTCTCGGGGCTGCCGCATGTTCGACATGCCGCCCGCCAGCCTTTCTGGGAAAAGTTGTTGGAGGAGCAGAAGTTATACAGAACGACCTGTGTCGGTTCAAGCTGAACTGAAATGTTCACCAACACAAGATCAGAGGGGCTCACATCGTCAAACTCTTGTCCTTTGCTGTTATACACGGTGCTTTGGAAGTGCTGATCAATAACCAAAGCGCGCTAGCTCTGAAGCACGCTTACATGACGAGACCGTCCACTATCCCATGACTTTTGAGTTCCTCCATGTCGTTCTCATCGCGCACAATCACACCTGGATGGCGATAATACTCCATCAGTTTCTGTGCTGCCAGTTCAAAACCTATCCGACGCGGCGACGCGACTCACATTGGTCGGGACCAAGCTTGAGTGGTCTGGAAATCGTCAATGCAAAACTTAGGAGAAGGAGATTGAAATTTGAGTATAACCACTGACTGAGAAACGGTGAAGTTAGCGTCGAACGTGGATTGTTGCACATATAACGGTCTAGGGCCGTTTCTATATGCTACTTCTTTTCCCGGGGAGTCGACGGATCCCGGCCAGAACAAGTTGATGATCCGAATGACGACTTGAGAACAATTAGTAATTCCGGAATGCGAACGATAGTTGATGGCCAGTTGAAACTTCTTCGGTTGTATGTGCTCTGAGTTCTGGCGATCCTTCTGGAGTGAAAGATGAGCGACAGATACGTGGATAGCGAGAAGACGAAATGCACCTCGATGTCAAACAGCATAGATTGAAGCTCAGTGAACTTGAACGTGCTCCCGACTACAATGGTCTGTGCGGTGTCCCCAGCCCAAAACAGCCCGTTTGGATTCCCGCATAAAAGGCGAAGTACCATGCGAGACGTGAGCATTTGAGAAGAAATTTTGCACCAATGTTGCTCACGGTACAGGTCGATGATGAGGCAGTCTTGAGCCTCGTCAACGTATCTAAGTACGATCAGTCTCGTCTTTGTGACCCTAACCGAGAGACCTTACAGGAAATCCATGGTAACTCTTCCAAGGAGGTTACTCGATTCTATCGACTCAATCAATCGATGGGTTCTAATCGCATTCAGTCAATCACAACCCATACAGCGGGCTTAAGACACGAGTACCTGTCCGCTTCGTCGAGCTCGTGATCCTTCCGCTTTCGAGATTCGTACTTGGTGAACAGGTCGTAGATCTTCTCGCGCTGCGACGCGAAGGTAGGATACCTTCGGGGGCTCAGAGTGTTGAAGTCTGTGTACATTTCTCGTGTCAGATACGGTCGTCGGGGATTGAGCGTTCCTTCGGAGCCCTTGATGACGCCTGTTGAATGCACGCGCGTCAGCGCCGTGTTGAATATACATGGTTGACGCGAACTCTTACCGATTATCTCGCTGAATACGGAGAGGGGATCAAGGCCCCTGGTGAGATCTTTGGGGAATCTCTTCCAATATACGCTCGCGAATCTTTGCCCCGTGACAAGAGAAGTCAATCGGACGTCCTGTCTGTGAGATTGTCAGCACCAGAACTCGTTCAAACGATTAACGCGTTAAGACCTACCCAGCCGCCAACATATCTCTCTGTAGCATGGAGTAACACTCGTCGAGCGTGATAACGAGAGGAAAATAGGAGTCTTGAACTTCACTCCAACGCCGCGGAAGGCGCCGAGGGCGAACGACGCGAGGGATATCGCCGACGCCGTCACCGGAGGATCTCTCTGGGGCCATGTCAACCGCCATGTCAACCGCTTCGTTCTGACTCAGGTCCCCGATGCGGAAGACCTCCGACAGGCTGCTGATGTTCTTCCACACCTGTTCGGCAAGGCTTTCCGACCGCGTCACGAAGAGCTGTCGAGGACGACGGGAGATGCCCAGAGAAGGGTGCCACGATCTGTCGATCGTGACGATTCGGTATGTGATGCACAGGGTTTTCCTGACACGGTACCGGTTGTGAGTAGGGTGCTGTTATTCCTGGTGAACAAATCTTACCCTGTGCCCGCGCGCCCGATCACGTAGCAAGAGGACGAGTGCAGGATTATCTCCTCTTCCGGTAGCCTGAGAGTGAAGAGGAAGTCACAAGACGGTTACACGTGCAATCGTTTCACCCACGAAGGTTTCATGATCGGTAGAACGTCTTGGTCTGCGAGAAGAGCTAGAAAGAACCAAGACATCAACGACTTCTCATCACGTCTTGAGTCGAGAAGCGCACAACAGACCATGGAATAAGGCCTGTGAGTTGCGCCGCGTTAAGCGAGCGCATATGGCGTGCCAGTGAACGGGTCGGGCGCACCTTTGACAACGTTGTCAGTCTGAACATGGACGACATGTCTTCCTCCTGAAAAGTATGTAACTCTCAGACAGGAGCCGGCTTCTGAGGTTCAACGCGTCCTACATCCATATCGAAGTCCGGGACGAATCGTCTGTTGACCTCGGCGTGCTCTTGGGCAGGGAACGACAGAGGGAGGACTGTGTGATCCCCCTGCCCGGATCGGGGTTCGCTTCGGGCCCGACACCTGCGTTGATCGACCGCATGAGCATCCACGTGAAGTTGAGACGGCGAACACGAACCTGTTGCGGTATACACCCCCCAGGTTTCCAAGAGTGCGACTGAGCAAGTTCCAGTACGCTTCTCCGAGGCGATTGAGTTCGGCGTGGTTGTATATGCCGAAAACACGAATGCCTAACGACAAACAGTAAGCACCCGCTATAACGAGAAACGCGCCGAGCGAACTTTGTTCTGTGAACTGCCCGTGTGAATTAGAGGAGTTTTCTGTCGGCAGGTACGTCTGTGCACTTACTGCCTCGCCGTGTCCCTCTTGGCAGTCGACTTGATACTGATCCATTCTGTCTTCAACGACCCCGTCAAAATACCGCCCGCAATCAAGCACGCACCACGATCCGATTGTCTCCGTCCACGCGAGCCTTGTAGATGGGCACGCCGGACTCCACGTTTGAGATGGGCGCGTGGTTTTTAAGCGAAAAGTTTCCCTTGGAGAGGGCGCTGGGTTCATGCCGCGTCAGACGCAGGGACGTGCGCACCGTACGGTTAAGCGCCAAACTTACCTCAATCGTGCAACGACTTTCTCGAACAAGCCTCGTTCTCTCCGTCTCAGGTTGCGCATATCCGACAGGGCGTTGTCGGTGAGGTTCACTCTCCACGCCCCAAAGTAGACAGGGACGTCGAAGGAGAGCGGCGAGAAGGAGGACTGCGACAACGAGTGCACGGCGGCGTCCTCGTGACGTCCGCGCTCGAGCGTTGGCGATGGGGGAGCTGAAGCGGAGGGGAGATCTTCTGGGGCCGCGTCCTGTCCTTCTCCGGGCCGTGTCGCCTCGCTGGACACGTCTTGTGCATCCGAGGCGAGCTGGTCTAAGCGTGCGGCAGCGCCTGGGCTGCGCAGCGCCCGCAAAAGGTTCTCCTCGACTGTGAGCATACGGGCACCGTGGTTCGGGCGGGAGCGTCGCTCACTGTCGCGTTGGCGGTGCAAGATCGATCTCGCTAACACGGGGAGGTCGGATTCGTTCAAGGGAACATCCACCCCGAGGTCCGTAAACGGTCGTGCACGGATATTCCTTTGGAAGCTGCCGCGACGGGTCTGGAAGCACCACGTTAGCGACGCGTCCACGATCGCCAAAAAAGGCGTCTCGACTCACCGTCGACCCTGTCACCCTCTCGATTTCCTTGAGGGCTGCCGTAGAGAGTATGACGATCGTGTCACAGTCGTCGGGTTGCAGATGCTCCTTGAACGCGCCGGATATGGAGAACGACAGCCGTTGGATGATCGCATGCGCCGCACTTCCGAGAAAGTCTGAGGTGGACGCGAAACAGGACTGGAGCGCGTCGTGGATGGCTGCAAAGTTGCGCTCTGGGGTGTCTGTCAAAACGTGAGTGGGGCGACGGGGCCGACTCGCATCAGATTGATGCTCACTTGCGAGTGATCTCTCCAGAGCGAAAGGCACATCGCTGCTCAAAATCCGAGCAACGAATTCGCGGACTGCGGGACCAGGGTCGTCCGCGGAGTACCGTGTAGGGTTCATATGGTAAATTACAGCTGTCTGGGTACCGCAGTGAGGAGCAATTCGTGAGACGACTGGGTGGAGGACGGTGTTGACGTTGGTGCAAGACGGGACTCACGTCGGCCAACGAAGTGTAGCTGCGGTAGGTGGCGTGACCGCGGTCGTCAGTGTGGAAGAAGGTTTGTTTTGACAACATATCCACTGGCTTCTTTTTCCACACTGCCCGGAGCGCCTGCCGTGGTCACGGCTCGTTCAGAATTGAGTGAATAGTCTGCTCGACATACTCATCAAGCTGACGACGACTGGGCGAATTACAATCCTGTTTCATTTCCGTCTTAAGCGAAATGTCGCGGACAGACAGACGACGGGCACCTATATCTGCTTGTAGCAGTGAGTAAATACTGCGGTCATGGTCAACGTGAGTCGAAAAATGACTCACCGGATGTGCCACCCACGCCCGAATTGGCAGTTGTTGCTACTTTATGCATCCAAGGCTCCGTGAACGGCACTGACATAAGTTAGTGGCAGGCAGCGCAACCAGCAGCAAGACGCCCGTCACGGTGGGCTCAACGCAGACACGCTCCCACGCGTCTCACGTGCGGCGACCGCGCGATCTCGCCGTTCCTGCAGCTGTTCAGGCCCAAACTTTTTTCACCGTTACCAGCGGTCGCTCTCCGTCTCTTCCTCGTCTCTCCACACTCTGCTTCACCTCTCCACTTTATCTCTGTAGCCATGACCGTCGACGCGGTCGCGCCCTCGGACACGGCGCCAGCCGCGAAGAAGTCGAAAAAGAGCCGCGAGGAGAAGCGCGCGAAGCGCGAGGCCGCAGACGGTGGTGTGTATGTCCAGACGCTGTCCGCCGTCTACCCGGTGCTCACTCTGCGCGCGTAGGTGAGATGGAGAAGGAGAAGAAGAAGAAGAAGTCCAAGAAGTCGGATGCGGAGGCGGGGGAGGTGGAGGACGCGATGGTGGTCGACCCTCCAGGTGTGTACGCTCTGTCATGGGGCGCGGTTTGCGCTCATATAAGCTCGCAGTCGAGCCCGCGGAGAAGGAGAAGAAGGATAAGAAGAAGCGCAAGCGGGAGGACGGGGATGGTGTCCCCGAGGGCGAGGCTGGGCTCTCGAAGAAGGAGAAGAAAAAACGCAAGAAGGAGCAGGCGCAAGCACAGGAGTCCGTCGAGGCCCCCGCCGCCGAGGAGGTCAAGGAGGACTCCGCGCCGGTGAAGGAGAAGAAACAGAAGAAGGACAAGAAAGACAAGAAGGACAAGAAGGACAAGGACGCTCTTCCTCCTGTCGCCTCCACCTCGGCGTCGGCGTCGGCCACTCCACCCTCTCCCGCAGATGTGGACGCATTCTTGCAAAAGAACGAGATCACGCTCAACGTCCCGGCCGGGCACCCACCCGTTCAGCCCGTCATTTCCTTCGACCAGCTCGACGTCCCCGCCGAGCTTCAATCCGCCTTCGACGGCTTCAAGGAGCCCACGCCCATCCAAGCGTGCTCATGGCCACCCGCGCTCGAGGGACGTGACGTCGTCGGCATCGCGGAGACTGGCAGGTGCGTCTTGTCTCCCTCTGCGTCCTTGGCGAGTGCACGATCAAGCGCATACACCTAGTGGGAAAACCCTTGCGTTCGGCCTGCCCGCACTCGCGCGCCTCGTCGCGTCCCCCCTACCCGCGTCCGATAAGAAGTCGAAGGGCAAGAGCAAGGGCCCCGCGACGACCGTATCGGTGCTCATCGTCGCACCCACGCGCGAGCTCGCGATCCAGACGCACGAGACGTTGGAGAAGCTCGGTGCACCGCTGGGGATCGCGAGCGTCGCCGTGTTTGGTGGGGTTGACAAGGCACCGCAGATCAAGATGCTCAAGAACGCGCAGGGCGGCGGGCTGACGACGCGGATCGTGGTGGGGACTCCCGGGCGGATACTGGACTTGGCGAACGAGGGCGCGTGTGATCTGAGCAGGTGAGTGTTTTCTGTCCCTTTGTGCGCGTATGGACGTTGAAGATCGCGATGCGCAGGGTCTCGTACCTCGTCCTCGACGAGGCGGATCGGATGCTGGACAGGGGGTTCGAGAACGACATCCGCAAGATCATCGGGTTGACGATGCAGGGTGCTGAGCGACAGACGCTGATGTGTGAGTGATCGCCGATAGCGGACCCATTTCTCGAGCTCACGGTCATGCGTCCGCAGTCAGCGCGACATGGCCGGATTCGGTGCGCAGGCTTGCTGCGACATTCCAGCGCGACCCAGTCCGGGTCACGGTCGGCAGCGAGGACCTGACTGCGAATAGCAGGGTCGAGCAGGTGGTGGAGGTGTTTGACGACACGAGGGAGAAGGAGTACGTGCTTTCTCTTCCGTCCGCTGCGCGCCGCAGGCTGAACCGCGCCCCCAGTTCACGGCTGCTCAACCACCTGCGGACGCTAATGCCGAAGAAGGCGAAGGGGTCTGCGGAGGAGTCGCGCGTGCTCGTGTTCGCGCTGTACAAGAAGGAGGCGGAGCGCGTGGAGGGCATGCTGCGGAGCAAGGGCTTCTCCGTAGGCGGGCTGCACGGGGACCTGTCGCAGTCGGCGCGGATGGAGGCGCTGCAGCGGTTCAAGACGGGAGAGACGCGGCTGCTGGTCGCGACGGACGTGGCGGCGCGGGGGCTCGACATCCCGGACGTGGGCGCAGTGGTGAACTACACGTTCCCGCTGACGATCGAGGACTACATCCACCGGATCGGGCGGACGGGTGCGTTGGCTTATGTTGATTCGTCATACCCGATGCTGACTTGTGCGCACAGGGCGTGGTGGGAAGAGCGGGAAGTCGATTACGTTTTTCACGGGCGAAAAGCACGAGCGGGCGCTGGCGGGGGAGCTTGCGCGGGTGCTGCGGGAGAGCGGGTTCGAGGCGGACGGGCTGCAGAAGTTCCCGATGACGATCAAGAAGAAGACGCACAGCGCGTACGGCGCCTTTTTCCGCGACGACATCACCGTCCCCGCAAAGCCGACCAAGATTGTTTTCTGAGTCGCCGTACTTGTACACTTGTTTGTCGATATATAGAGATTAGATGCGGATCGCTTCACGCGCAGTGCGTCACCGGCAAAGCGCGCGGTGGCTGTGGCCTCAACCGTCCGCTGCCGACAGACCGCGACGCCTGCGCCTTCTCCATCCACCACCTGCCACTCCAGGCCACCACCCCGCACCTCTTCCCGTCCCCAGCGCCGTCGCCGGGCACCGCGCTCGCCTACGTGCATTGCCACACGCAGCAGCGCCCGCATATAGTGACCCACACGCCGGTCGCTGCCTGATCCACGCCCCCACCTGCCCTTGCCCGGACCCCGCGCCGTCGACGACCAGACACCATGATGGGCCTCTTCAGCTCGGCGTCCAAGATGTACAAGCCTCGAGGCTCCTCTGAGGAGGACAAGATCCCGGACGACACCGAGCCCGATGATACTTCCATCCTGTGCGTGCCTCTCCTCTTCCTCTCCCTCCTCCTCCTCTTCCTCCTGCCCTCCCGATGGTCTCACTCCGCCGTCACTACTGCCCCACTGACATACCGCCCGACGACGTCCAAATCAGTGATGAGAACGAGGGCTCTATCATCGCATCGCTCATCTCCCAGCTCCGGTGAGTCCCTCCCTCCCGCCCGCCACCACCCCAATCGGTCCGCACTCCGCCCCCAGCTGGTCCGGTCGCCCCCACCCCGTCTCCACGCGGGATGCTGTCGGCCCACAGTGCCAGTGGTCCCATCCGCCCGTGCAATGTGCCGAGCACTGTCTGAGAGCAGCGTCTCCGTGCCCCGGGGCGGGATATCGCACTCGATGTCTCATGTATGCGCGCCCGCCGGCTCCGTGGCTGACTCTGCCTCATCATCCACAGAGTGGGCATGGACCTGCAGAAGGTCACGTTCCCGACATTCGTCCTCGAGCCCCGGAGTATGCTCGAGCGCATCACCGACTTCATGTCCCACCCCGATCTCCTCTTCGGGTGAGTGCTCGCTCTGCTCCAGTCCGCTCCCAACGCACCCGCTCACCGCACCCTGCGCGTCTTTACGCTTACTGCTTCTGGATCATATCGCCCGTGTCATCGACGCCACCGGTCCCCGGTGCCGCCCACAGCGCCGAGAACTGCGACGACCCCGAAGAACGCTTCATCCGCGTCCTGCAGTACTACCTCGCCGGGTGGCATATCAAGCCCAAGGGCGTGAAGAAGCCGTACGTCCCCCACGTGCCCTGCCCTTGTCCGTCGGTGGCGCTCACCGCCCACGCCCACCCGCCCACAGATACAACCCCGTCCTCGGCGAGTTCTTCCGCTGTCGATACGACTACCCCGACGGCTCGCGCGGGTTCTACATCGCAGAGCAAGGTGCGTTTCCCTCGCCCCCCGCACGCACACACGCACCCCCTCCTCGCGTCCTGCCAAATCGCGCGATCGTCGTCTTCTCCCCGTGCCTCAGAGAACACCGCGCTGACGCACGTTTCCGGGGCTGCGCGCCGCCAGTGTCCCACCACCCGCCCATCTCCGCCTTCTACTACGTCTCGCCCGCGAACAAGGTCGCCGTCATCGGCGAGCTCCGGCCAAAGTCCAAGTTCCTCGGCAACTCGGTCTCGACGGTCATGGAGGGCGAGAATCGCGTGTACCTCCTCGGCCGCCCGGAGGACAAGGGTGCGTTCGCGTCGTATTTTTTCGTGTGCCGGGCGCCGAGCGCGTGTCCGCGCTGCACGGACACGACGCGCGTTCGCGTTGTGGCCCCTGCGGCAGATCTGAGCGCCGAGCTGACGTGTGGCCCTGGTGCGCAGAGTACGTCATCTCGATGCCGAACATGTACGCGCGCGGGATCCTGTGGGGCAAGATGTTCCTCGAGCTCGGCGACTCGTGCACGGCGAAGAACGAGCAGACGGGCCACTTGGCCGAGATCCAGTTCAAGACGAAGGTAGGTCGACCCCCTTCCCTCTTGACACCGTATGCGCGGGGCTGATGGACGCGGGGCCTAGGGGTACTTTGGTGGGACGTACAACGCGATCGCGGGCCGCATACGCCGCGGGAGCAACGACGTCGGCGAGGTCTCTGGGAAGTGGAGCGCGGTGATGGAGTACAACCGGACGAAGGTGCGTCTCCGTTCTCCTTGGTGTCTCTGCGTCATCGCTCTCGCTCTCGCTCCCCCGCGTTCCTCCCCCACCCCCAACCTGCCACGCACGGCCGCTGACGCACGCCGCCGCCCCCTCCAGGGCGACAGGCGCGTCCTCTTCGACGCCCTCAAGGACGGCCAGAACGTCGCGCCGAAGTGGGTCGCGCCCGAGGACGAGCAGGAGGCGAACGAGTCGCGCCGGCTCTGGACGCGGCTCACGCGCGCGATCGTCGCGAAGGACATGGACGCGGCGACGGAGGCCAAGTCCGCGGTCGAGGACGCGCAGCGCGAGGCGCGGCGCACGATGGAGGAGCGCGGCGAGACGCACGTCCCCCGCTTCTTCCACCTCAAGGACGGCCGCTGGCTCCCGAAGATCTCGTGAGTCGTCCCCCTCCCGTTTGAGCAGAGCGATGGCGTCTGTGAGACGGGGACGTACATGCTGACGCGCGCGCCCAACCTCCAGGCTGCCGAACGACCCTCAAGAGGCCGTCGCCGCCGTCGAGCACTTCATCTGGCTCACGCTCCCGCCGTCGTACGCCCCGTGAGACCGTGCCCGTCCCTCGTCCCTCTTGCTCTCCTCCCCCCCCGCCCTACGCCCGTCCTCCCTCCCTCCCCTCTTGCTTCCCCCCGTGCTTGTGCGACGACCGACGACGAGAGATGCGATGTACAACATATACAACATACAGGCCTTGCCCTCCCCCTTAGCAACTATAGCTATCCAGGATACAATATACCGCGCCAGCCCGAGACGCAGCCGCGGCTTGGCCACGATGACGAGTACAAGCGGGGGAGCACGCTGCGCAGACGCAGACGCAGGTGCAGACACGCACGCCGAGGGGGTCCTGAATTAATGCAATATATTTCCAGAGTGTAAGAGCGGATGTACAGCGGGATGCGTGTGCGCGGGCGCCCCGCGCGGTGCTGGCAGACACCGCGCGCGGGCTTGCTCGTGCGGGACGTCGGGGGGCTGCGGGTGTTATGTGCGGGCGGGTACGGTACGGTACGGTGTGGGGTGGTATATGGCGGAGATGGGCCTGCTTAGATACACTAACTTGGAACGGAAACAAGAGGGGAAGAGGGACGGGGCAACGGGGAGACCATGCATAATGTGAGAGCAATCCGACGGGAAACGACAGGGATATCTGGTGATGTGGACAAGAACGACGAGGAAGCCAAGACGGGGGCGGGACGGGGGGGACTTATGCAAGGATGGATACAAGAGCAGCTTAGCCTAACCTAACCCGATCGAGAGACCTCTGCTCCTGCGCTATTACAAGTGCGAAATCTACGACCACCAGCCGTCCTCGCCAAGCGTGGGCGCGGCGGAGACGACGCTCGGCGACGGCGACGGCGCGCGGAAGTTGTGCTTGCGGAAGTGCGTCGGGTACAGCGACTTGGGCGTCGCCACGGGCGTCGCGAGCGCGGCCGGCTGCGCGTGGTAGCTCCGGGGCGCGTGGATCGAGTCGCGCACGGACGGCTGCGGGGGCGTGACGGCGCGGACGTCCGTCGTCGTCCCGTTGTGCGCCTGCGCCTTGGGCGTGCCCGCGCGGCTCTTCTCGTCGTAGATCGTGCTCGCGCGCGAGTCGGGGCGCGGGGGCGGGTGCGAGAGCCCGTGGCCGTTGGCGTAGCGGCTGGCGGGCTGGCGGACGACGCCGTTGGGCTTGGCGGCGGTCGTGTTGTTCGCCTTGTCGACTTCGGCCTGGAGGCGCGCGACCTGGCCCTCGAGCGCCGCGATCTGGTCGCGCAGCTTGTTCTGGCGGTCCTGCGAACGAGATCCGCCGTCAACATCATGCAGGCGAAGCCAAAGGGGACAGCACACACCTTGTCGAGACGCTCCTCGGCGTCGCGCTCCTCGAGCTGCAGTTTGACAAGCGAGTAGTCGGCGTCGAGCTGCGAGTGCGTCTGCTCGACTTCGTCCAGCTTCGTCTGCGTGACCTCGAGCTCGTTCTCCGCCTCCTTCGCGCGCCGCTCCCACTCCTCCGCGCGCTGGCGGGACTGGAGGAGCGTCTGGCGGGACTGCTGGACGACCTTCTCGTGTGTGGCCGCCTTGTTCTCCAGGTCCTTCGAGCGTCGCTGGAGCGCCGCGTGCTCGCTCTCGAGCGCCTTGCTGCGCTCGCGCGCACGGCGAAGCTCGTGCAGCTCGTCCTGGTCGACCTGGCCGACGAGCGCGGCGAGCGCCTGGATCTGGTCCGTCGCCTGGCGGAGCTCATCCCAGTTGTCGCTCTGGGCCGACAGCTCGTCGTTCAGCTTCTTCTGCGAGGCGACCTCGTCCGACAGCATGTCCTTCTCGCGCTCGACGAACGACATCTTGAGCTCAAGCGCGTCAACCTGCGCGAGACCGTGAGCACGACGCGGTCGTTCCGCCCGAAAGAAACGCACCTTTGACTTGAGGGTCATCTTCTCCTCGCTGAACTCCGCGTTCGCCTTCTCGAGCACCACAACGCGCTCCCTCTGGCTCTGCGCCTGTACGTCCGCGGCCTTGAGCCTCTCGAGCGCGCTCGCGAGTGCCTGCTCCAGCTCGATGTTCTTCGCCTCGACCGCCGCCATCTCCTCCGTTTTCCGCGCCGCGACGTTCTGCAGCGCGTCCACGCGCGCCTCGAGCCGCTCGCGGTCCGCGTCCGCGACCTTCATGCGGTCGCCCAGCAGGTCCTTCTCGACGCGGACCTGGCCGTGCGCGCCGCGCGCCTTCTGGAGCTGCACCTGGAGCTCCGTGTTCGCCGCGACGAGCCGGCGGATCTCCTCCGCGTCCTTCTGGGAGGTGTCGCGCGCGAGGATGTCCGCCTGGAGGTCGTGGACCACCTTCGTCGCGTCGACGAGGCAGTTCGGGAGCGTGTCGACGTGGTCGACGATCATCTGGCAGAACGTGCGCAGCTCGTCGTGCTTCGCGAGGAGGTGCTTCTGGTCGTTGTTCACCGTGGACGCGAGCGTCTCGATGTTGCGGAGCATCTGAGCGTTGGGCGAGTCCTTGGGCGAGCCCTGCGCAACCTTGGCCGCGAGCTGGACTTGAGCGGCGTTGATGGCCTCGGTGGCGGTCGACAGACGTTGAGGCAGGTCGGAAAGGGTACTGGAGAGCGCGGCGACGAGTTCTTGTTTGATGGATGCGACGTCGACCTCGGCGTTGACCACCGCCGGCGCGGCGACGGGCACTTCCTTCTTCGCGAGCTCGTCGACCGTGCGCTGGACCTCCGCGATTGGGTTCGCGAGCTCGAGCACCTTGTCCGCGAGCTTGTCCGCGAGCGCGTCGAGGTTGAGCGCGCGATCGCGCACCGCGAGACGCGAGTCCAGCCGCTCGACGACGAGGTCGGACACCTGCTCCTTCATCTCGTGCGCGTCGAGCGGGCCGACGAGCGTCCTGAGCTCCGCCGTCAGCCGTCCGACGACGGCCTCGAGGTCCACCGGGGGCTGCTGCAGCGTCGCCAGCATCGGCACGAGGCTGTCGACGATCAGGCCCGCCGTCTCGCGCTTGTCCGACGCGAGGTCGATGAGCTGCGAGATGTTCGGCTTCACCGCCTGCGAGAGGCGCGCGGTGAGGACGTCGTAGTCGATCGGCTCCTGGCGGAGCGCGGCGATGTGCGGCATGAGCTTCTGGTAGAGCTCCTGGAAGAGCTGGTCCTGCATCCCGGGGCCGGACGCGCGGCCGACGTCGACCGACTGGATGTGCGCGCCGAGCTGGGCCATCGCGGACGCGAGGGTCTTGACGGTGCGGTCGCCCTGCTCCTCGATGAGCCTCTTGAGGTCCGGGTCGCTGTCGCGCGACATAGACATGCCGTGGGCCTGGCTCTGGTTGAGGACGAGGTCGGCGATGTCGCGCTGGAGGATCACGCGGGACTCCTCCTGCTTCTGCTCGATGATGTCGCGCAGGAGCTCGAAGTCGAGATCGCCGCGCGCGTCCATGTGGCTGTTGTCGAGCCCCTGCGCGGCCGACGCTTGAAGCTGAGCGCGGAAGAGCGAGATGACCTCCTTGACCTGTGCGTCCGTGGAAGGGTCGATCGACTGGCCGCGGGCCTCGGCGGTGTGCTTGAAGTCGTCGAGCGCGTCGCGGACGGCGTCGAACTTGTCCTCGAGGAGCCGCTCGAGCCGCTGCTCGTACTGTTGCATCTCCAGACGGCGCGACAGGTTGAGCGGCGGGACCGAAACCTCCGACATGGACTCCTCGTCCTCGTTGCGCCTCGGTGGTAGCGACGACCTGCGGGGCCGGCGAACGCTGAAGAGGTCCTCCGGCGACGGCGACCTATCGCGGAACCCAGGGTCGGTGAAGAGGCGGCCACCACGTCCGAGTCCACGTGAAGAGATGGGCGGGACGTGGAGGTCGTCGAGGCTCAGACGCGGACTGTGCTCGTAGATATCGCGCGAGCTGAGACGGGATCGGACTGTGCGGCGCGTGCGCTCCCCGTCGTCGTTGTTGACGAGCGCCTTGAAGAGGCCGGCGGGAACCGTGTTCGTCGAAACCGGGTGCTTGAAGTCGAGGGGGATGGGCGCGCGCTTCGGCTTGGACGCCGGAGGGAACGGGAGCTCCTCCGCGCCCATCTGGGGCACCGGCATGGCCATCGCTGGCTGCGGGACCGGCATCGGCATGAGTGGGCGATTCTCGTCGTTCTCGTCGTCGTCCTCGCTGAGTCCGGGCGACTGCGGCACGTCCTCCTTCTTCTGGTGGAGGAACGGCAGCGAACCGGTGAACGTAAAGGGCTTCGCGGCCACGTTGAGGACGGCGCTGTCCTTCGTAATCGGTGGGCTCGCGGGCGCGGAGTGCCGTTCGCCGGGAGGGGGGAAGCGGAACGAGTGCATCGTGCTCGCCCCATCCTCGTCCTCTGACGCTTCGTCGTCGAGGTCAAGGCTCGAGCGCCGTTGCCGCTTTTCACGACCCTGTATCGCACGGGCGGGCTCGGGAACGGGCATGGGGGGCGTGGGCAGCGGGCGTGGCGCGGCGGGCGGCGCAGATTGAGGTTGGAAGGAGAGCTGGGGTGCCGCTGCGGGAGGGCGGAAGGTAAAGCCGCCGGGCTTGAACTCCATCGCGGCCGCGTTCAGCGGTTTGGCCAAGGACGCCATTCTCGAATGGTTGGGGGGCGTTGGCACCGTCGGAGGTGTCGCTGACGCACCGGAGAGCGCGCCCGGGGCCCATGATCCAGACTGGCGTGGCGCGGAACCGAAGACGAACGGCTTCGCGAGGGGGTTGAGGGACTCCGAGCGTACATTGGATGCGACGGGCGGCTGAGGAGGTCGAGGATGGAGCCCGCCAGGCGTGAGATATTGCTCAGACGCACTGCGCGAGTGGGCGAGCGCGGGATCGTGACCGGTATGCGCCGAGTACGTCGAGCCGCTGCGAGAATGCGGGAGCGGAGGAAGTGGCCGCCTGCCAGCAGCCGTCTCTTGCGTGTAGAACTGGCCGTAGACGCCGTGCTCCTCGTCGCTGGGGTTGGAGACAATGTCGTCGTCGGGAACGCCGGCTGGAAGGGACGGCGGCCGCGGGAACTTGGGTATCCTCCGCGGGATCTCGAGCTCCTGCTTGACCTGCTTGACACGCCGCAGCATACGACGGTGCGAGCGCTCTTGACGCGCCCGCTCCTCGTCCGATGGATTTGACCACTCTCCGATGCTCTGCGGCGACAGAGCTGAGGACCATGACCACACCATCAAGAAGGGGTAGGCTCACCTCGTCGTCTGACGTCTCCCGCAAATCTTCCGACCCAGTCCACTCTCCGACCGCATCTTGGTCTGGATCTCCCTCCCCATCAGCCTCGATATCCGCGTCGTCCGCATCGAGATCCTCCACGGCATAACACCGCCTGGGCTGCGGAGCGGAAGCTCTTCATCGTGAATGACAATCTCCTGCCCTTCATCTTCAACCATGCCGCCAACAGACCGTAATGAGAGCGCCGCAGAGAGCTTCGAAACGTGTCGGGAGTGCACCCGGCTTTGCGCAACTGTGCTGAAACCGTCTTGCTCTGTGCCGTCTTGCGAGGCCATGGTGGTATCTGCATGTGTGTCCTCGACTTCTGAAACGTCGTCATCGTGGTGGTGTTGCACAGGCTCTTCTTCGGGCTCCTCCTCTTCCGGGATTTCGACACCGAAACCGCGCATGAAATCCGGTCTGCTCTCCCGGCTGTCGGGACGAGACAGAGATAGCGGAGGGGCGAGGGAGGCGACGTTTGTTGGTACGCGGCCTTGGGGAGCGTGAATCATCTCGAGACCAACGGGGAGCCCTGGAGAGTGGCGAGCGAAAACTTGGTCGGAACCAAGCGTGGCATTTGGCCCGAACGGGTTGAGCGCACTGGGGACGTTGAGCAGAGGTGACTGCGAAGACGGCGGAGCAAGCGAGAAGCTGTGTCCGTGACGATTTTGGAGGCGAGGAGGAAGCTGGTTCGGCGACGGAGAAAGGTTGACGGGCGGCTGTGGTGAAGTGGAGAGTGAGCTGACAGTCGTTGCGTTCTGTGACTGCTGCAGCTTGTTGAGCTTGAAGAAGAGGAGGGCGGGATCGGCGGGAGAGGAGATCTGCGACGGGGCAAAACATGAGGAGGCAATTTCGGAGGTAGTTCCAGAGACTTGAACTCACCGAAGCTGCGCGCGCATGCGGGGCGTGTATATGAGGGACGGAGCTGCCACTGCCGCGCTCAACACCCAGCTTCTCCAACTTCTCCTCGATGACCTTCTGCTTGAGCCCATCCCACGCAGCCTGCAACGACACTGGCGTCAGCACGATGCCACGATAAACGAGAGGTAAGTCGGAGATAGAAGCGACAGCACATGCCCCACGGCCGTGTGGGATGATATCTCATCCGCGTCAAATGCAAATAGTACCCTGGAGCCAACGTCACGACGACGAAGCGTATACATACGACGTTCGCCGTGTTCTCACCGGGTATGTGCAGAATTGACGCGTCGTGCGTGCTGAATGCGAAACCGTGGCACCCCGCAAAACCCGAACAAAGAGCAACAGAACCACGAACCTTTCCTGGCAAAAACACGTCCACCGTCGGCGGCAAGTGAAGCCTCCACGAGTCGGGCGGGTAGAGCTCGATCGTGCTCGTCTCTGGGGGCTTGAAGTCCACGACCGGGGGCACCTCAGCGTGCGGCACCGGCTCCCTCGCAAAAGACGCGCGCGTCGCCGGCGCATCGCCGTCGCCCGGAACCGTCTCGCGCGGGAGGTTGACGATGACCTTCTTCGTCTTTGTCGGCGGAGGGGCGACCGCCACGGGCGCCGGCGTCGATGGGACGACGGGCGTGCCCGGGAGCGGGCTCACCTTGCGCTGGGGGCCACCGAGGACGGCCTTGGGTGGGCCCCCGACGCTCATGCTGGCCGCCCGCTTACTCCGCGGCACGAATGGCGGGGCGAACGGTGGGAGGCCCATTTGAGGGCCGAAGCTCTGCCCGAGCGGGGTCATGGGCACGCCTGGCGGGGGGAGGATGCCCGCGCGGCGAGCTGCATCATGCTTGGGTGACTTCGGTGCATCGGGCGGTTGGGCGCGTTGGGCGGGATGGGGGCGAAGAAGTTGGCCTGCATCGGGGTGTGGAGCGGGTGTGGGCCGCCTGGAAAGCCGAAGGGCGGATGCATGTTCGTCTGGATGGCGGTCGGGAGGGCGGGGGAGAAGAGCGGGGGGTGGGGCTGCTGGGAGTTGAGGGAGGGCGGCCCCGGGATGAAAATCCGCGAGAGCTGCTGGCGGTGTTGAGAGACCATGGCGAGAAGCGGGAGGAGAGTGTGAAGAGGGTGGAGGGGCGTGCGCCGACGGCGTCGACGAGCTCGACGCTGCGCGCAACAGCGAGGAAGGGTATAAAGATGGCGACAGCTCGTTCCGCTTTCGATTCGTCTGTCCACTCACGGCCACGTGGTACGGGCGCTTGAGTCACAAATGAAGGCGCTCTAGCGCCGAAACCAGCGCCCATCAATGCCATTGTCTTCAACCCTGGATTCTCAAGCACAGTGCAGATATTCACTGGTGGTCATTAAGAAGGTCTCCTTTAGAAGTGTCACACCCTGAAACGTTTTGCAGGAAGTCTCACCATGCAAGACATCAGACACCACTACGTGTGGCAAGTTTGCCTTTCCCCAACTTCCAAGTTCCAACAAGTTCCAAGCCCGCTACGTGCCTTCTCGTGCTCCTCCTTTCTCGAAAACGCATGGGACGCGTGCCTTCGTTGTCGCGTGAGGCATTTCTGGAACAGTGAGATCGCAAGGTAAAGTCATCGCGAGTTCAGAGTGGAAAGCGCTTCATATGATATTTGCCCATTGGAGGGTTCGAACGCGTCGCCGTGACTTCGGCAGGCCACCATCTCGGCGGCGCCGTCTCTTGGACACAACCGTCGTGATCATCGAGGCATGTTCAATGTTCCTTCTTGCTGAGGACAGCGACTGACCGTCTATTTATGCCCGCCTATTTCGGACCCGTGAATGTTATGTCCGTATCCGTAGTCTTCCGCACTCACGCGATTCCGCAGCGCCCAGAGATTACTTAGCACGGTCAAGACATCCGGCAGGTTGAAGCATGCACGATGCGACTCCGTTCTTCTCACGAGAAACGCATCGGCACTTTGACGAAAGGCGATTTGACACATGCTCGCCTGCTCACCGGGCTACACGTGTTCGACATCGCGGCACGTAGGGATCTGCGTGACAAAGATCGGGTATGCTGGTAAGAAGGATACAGCAGATCGGGAGGACATTGGCAGGGAGATAGTACGGAGAAGTAGAGCCGGCTGAGTGAGTCCTGTTCCATTCCTTCCTTCGCCGAGCTCATCGGTTTTCCGAAAAGGGATAAGAGCCGGATATATTTGGGACAACCGTCCGTCCACCTCTACCGACACACGCGGGGCCCCAAGCTCGGATTCATCCGTAGCCGACATGCGGCCAGAGCGCCATCCCCGGCCCCTGCCACTTGTCATCCACAGTACAAAGTCGGCGCGCAAAACGCATCAGCGGAAGTACGAAAGGTTGCCATGAGCTGCCGGGACACCTTAAGCTGATATGTATGACCAGCTTCCGGCGGGGTAGGTTTGAACTTGAACCTGGTCCCAAAACCATAGCACACGCTCACTTCGAACGTTGTAGGATGCTAAACTTTGCCTTCTCCGGCGTTCCCATAGCGCCATCGGATCGCTCAGCACTGGCGCGCTCGTGCTCAACATATATCAGTCACTGCCAACAATTTCTCCAAGCATCCCCGGGGAAGCCCTACCAGAGGATGTCATTACAGGCAGTGTCTGCAGACCTCTCACGCGCCGCATGTCCCCGGCCACTGCTGCCAGCAAACCTACTCCATGCTTCCCCGACGACCGCACACAGACTAGAAGCGCCAAAACGCGGCGACCTGCCTTCCCGGCTTCCTCAGCCCTGCGATGGCGCCTGATACAGTTCTTCCCCGAGGCCATACTTATGAGCTCGTCCCGGCGCGGAGCGCGGCGCGTGCATCCCTCCAAGCTCTACCCGTACTCCGACTCCGAGGATAGACTGTGCCGGCGCCACGCGCACTGGTACCTGCGCTCTCTCCTTCTCCCCAATTCCCACCCCGCTCCCTCTCCTCCTCGTCCTTCACGATACCGGGATGTCTTCGACCTCCACGTCGGCCCTTATTTCAGCGTACGCTGCAGGGTGCGTGCTATTGTAACCACCCCCAGGTGGCAATGATCACTAATATTTTCCATCGCGACAGGTTGGTGGACAACCGTTGCGCAGTCGCCGTACAGAGTAGGCTTTTCATTTATGCCAAAGACAGCATTGCGACGGCTGACATTGAACCGTGCTCACAGCGTTCTTCATTTACGAATGCATCCTCGAACTTCCCCGTGAAGTCGAGCTCTTCTGGAAACGCCCGTGGACGGGGGCGACGGTGCTGTTTATCGCAAACAAGTACCTCTTCCTGCTGCATCAAGTATTAAGCGCAATCGCACTCCGGACCACGTTCAGCGCAGATGTGAGTTTTCTGAATTCCTGTCCGCTGACCGCTTCAGAACTTAAAAAATTGCAGGGGTACGCGACCCCAACCGCCCTTCGATGTCTCGAGTGATGGACTGACGCTTTGCGGTGTCGATAGGTGTGGTGACCTGCTAAGGGTAATCATCATCGTAGACCTTATCCAATACGCCGTCTGGGCTCGTGAGTCGGCCTGCCGATGCCTATTGCCATCTTACAGAGCGTGCTCTTATCAGAGTTCTCGGCCTTGCGTGCGTTTGCGCTCAGCCAAAGCCGGCTCATCGCCCTAGGGATTTTCATCCTGAGTCTCACACCTCTGGGGTTCAATGCGGTAAGCCCACGGTCTCACTCAGCACACGCACTTCTCTCATGTCCGTGGTGCTTGGTGCAGCCAAACCTAGCATTCGGCTTCGTCGGCACGACTGACCCGCTGCTCGGTTGCGCCTACTCTCAACCCACCTTGCCGTCCAACTTGCCGTTCAAGTAAGTCGCTACTCCTCGGATGAAAATGAGGCCCATTGAACTAAGTTCGTACCCACGCATGCAGATGTAAGCATTTCGTGGTGACTTCTGTGGTGCTTAAAGCACGAGCTGACGTCGGATACGGCGTAGGGCTGATCACAGTCCGCACGTCGCTCATCTTTGCAGACGCCTTCCTCGTCGGCCTCACATGGTATCGCCTCCGTCGCTCCATCGGACACTCTCGAGGACGCTTCTCCCTCTCGACTGTGTTCCTCCGAGACGGTGCGTTCCTCCTCCTCCTCCGTCCTCTTTTCGTTGTTGTCTCCTGATCTGGCTTGTCTCGGCCGCACAGGCTCCATATATTTCATGTACGCCCAAACGTATCCACACACGAAGGCACGGGGACTGACCACGAGCCCACAGTATCCTCTGCATCCTAAACGTCCTCCACATGACGCTCAGCCTCACCGCGGTACGCGCGCCTCTCTCCTAGGCATGCCGGACTCTCTAAATCCCCCGCCTCCACTGTCCAGACATTCTCCGACCGCGCCGGCGACGTCGGCCTCTCCGCCGTCCCCCTCTTCACCGAACCGTGCGTCCTGTCTTCCTCCCTCCCTCCCTCCCTCCCTTCCGCGACTTACCCGCCCTCCCCCTCAGCATCACCGCCGTCCTGATCTCCCGCTTCCTCCTCAACCTCCAAGAAGCGAACCTGCGCGCCACGCTCGACCGCTCCGGCTTCCTCACCAGCACCAGCGCAGGCTCCGACTCCGAGGGGACGAGCACCGCCTACGCGAGCGCGACGGACCGCGACTCGACTGTGTTCACGTCCGCGCCGCGCATCTACGGCACGTACGTGGGCACGGGGAGCGCGCGCCTCGGCACGAACCTGACGTTCGCGAGCTTCGCGGACGCGGTCGGCGGCGCGCTCGAGCCGGAGGACGTCTGGGGCGGGGGCGGTGGAGAGCGGGGGTGGTACGGGGACGAGGAGGAAGAAAAGGCGAAGGGGGAGGGGAGGCGGGGCGCGAGGGAGGAGATTGAGCTGCGGCCGGCGGAGCGGGAGGGGCGCGAGTCTCCTCGGTAGCAACGTTGGCGGGTTGGAGTGTTTGTATGATTACGGTGGTGCTAGGGTGGCGGCCACGCAACGAATATCTTTGCTCTGCAGGCCTGATGAGAAAAGGAAACATATGATTGGAGTGCATAATATAGTACATTCAGAGCTCGGAGAAGTCATCAGGCAGGCAAGAGGATCGATCGATCGAGAAGCCCGTATCAAGCTAGTACGCTGCGGGTTCCAACTCGTCTCTAAGTACGTGTATCAGATATCGTAGTCATCATAGTCGCCATACTTGTCACGGAAGTACTCGTATGCCTCATTTCGTTCGTCGTAGTTGGGGCTTTCGTCATTGTACGGCCCATTCGACTCCGCGTATCCTTCAATGCCATCGTCGACGCCATCATCCAGGTGGTCGTCCGTGCATACGTTGAGCTCTGGCTTAGTCGGCTTCTTGGGCGGCTTCGGGACGGCGACGATGCCCCTCATCGCGAGCCTCATATCCTTCTCGCATTCTTGCGTCGCCGATGCAGGCAGGCTTTGCATGAGCTCCTCCACCGCCAGCGCCAGCGCCTTGAGCTTCGCGATGTCGCGCTCTTGGTGGACGACAGCAGTCGGTGCCAGGTCCTTATGCAGGCGGTCGGAAGTCTTGAACAGGGCGCTGCGGTATCCGGTGTGAGGAACACCCGGCACGCACGCAGAGAAACACGGCCACTCACTTCATCCGCGTCAACGTAGACCCCATCGTCTCGAGCTCCAGGTGCTTCGCGATGTTGAGCTTCTTCCGGAGCGTGCTCCGCGTCTCGTACAGATGGTCCTTCATCGTCTCAACCGCCGACGCGAGGTGCGGGACCGGCCCGAGGAAGAGCATGCGGTAGTGCGCGCGCGGCCAATCGACCGTGCGCGCGTGCGCGGCGTACTTGTCGAAGATCCGCTGCCATCGCTGGCGCGCCTTGCTGAGCTTGGGGACGCGTGAGCGCGCCATGTGGCGCCGGTATGCGGACGCGATTTTTGCCGCGGCGTCGACCTCCTGAGCAGTAGGAGCCATTGAGACGGCGGGCGCTCGGTCCTCCGCCGCGATCGCTTGAGCGATCGTTTCGACATCGTGTTCGTCTGGTGCTTCGCCCGTCTCGTCTGGCGCCGCGATTTCCTCTTCGTTTGCCTCGGGTTCTGCAGCTGCTTCTGCCCCATCTGGGCCGTCAGGATTCGAGGCATCCGCCGGAGTGGTGGCGGGAATGGAAGGCAAAGTATCCACACGGGGGTTCGGTGGCTGGGGCTCGAGAACGACCCTCTGCAGAAACCAAGGGAGATCTTCGAGGTCTCCGTAGACGATACGTCGAACGCCAGGTAGAGGAGGACTGGTGATCGGGGTAGCAGTGTGGTGCAGTTGGATCATTTCATCGAAGCTCGAATCCGCTGCGGAGTGTCGAACAAGTCGCGCGAGTCTGTCCCAGTTCTTGGCGGCGACGTACCTTGAATGTTTGGTCAGCATGCAGGGGCTCAGAGAAGGAGCTGGGCGACTCACGGTTCGATCGACGAATGGAAGATCCGACTGGGCCGCCGCACCGAGTTGATTGCTCGCGTGACTTCGTTCTTGATGGCAAAGCGACCCATATTGTATCCCCCTATGGATTAAATCAGCTTTTCCGGACTTCACAATCGCCCATCACACTCACACAGACATAGATTCTTGCATCTGACCGTAGAATATGAGTGGTACCACTTGCAAGAACATAAAAAAGAACTCACATTCTGAGAAAGATCACATTTCGGTAAGGGTGTGCCAGAGTCGCAAGGTCCCGATTCTCGAATAGGAAATGTTCTATTGGACGGTAAGAACCTGACAACACCGCCAAGACTATCAAAAAACATACCACTCTGTATCCCTGAGTAGATTTGCTCGAGAAGCTCCGCCATGAGGTTTCGGAGGTAGAACTTAGACATTGGGGTCTCTGCTGTACGTAAAAACTCGATGCGAGGCATGATCTTAAAAAGCCAGCTCTTCGGCAGCGTTACGTTGTGCAACGTGGCTGTACTTTGAAGCCTCGTGGAGATGATCAAGCAACTGACCACGGTGTCCATGAGGTCGCACAAGATATTGACGTCACAGGCTACCCTGCGCGAGACAACATGGCTATCCCGAGAAGCATTAGTGTGGGGTTGGAGAGAGCGCGTTATGGAACTACGTACTTGATGAAGAGAACACCTCGACTCAAAGCAGTCTTGTCGTTGTTGTGCATGAAGCCGATGGCGTCTTGGACGACGTAGCAGTTGTCGTTGCGTAGAAGGTGCGGTGGTCGGAACAGTGCGACGGCTGGGATACGGGAAATGGTGACAGACGCCGCCGGCGCGTTGAAAAGCAATGTCAAGCGTACGGAGCGAAGAAGCTTCGTGAGGAACAGATGTGGACTGCCGATATGTGGCCGGAGTTCGTAGAGCAGTGCTTCCGCCCAAAGCCGAGAGATGGTCACGCCCTGGCGAAACTCTGGGATCAGTTTCGCATTGAAGATATGAAGGCCGCCGAGCTTGTAGTGAGCTGGGAATATGGCATCGTGGAGCTCGCGAAGCCAGTGCCTGACCCAATCAATCAGCATGCTTTCGAATGTGTTAAGGGTTGCAAGTACTTACAGCTGCGATTTCGCAAACTCCGGTTTTTGTTCACATGTGCGCAGGCCGTGGTAGATGATGATCTGCAATAGAACAACTCGAATTCGGAAGTGGTACGTTGCAACGTCGTTGTCTTTGGCGAAAGTGTGCTGGCGGGCGCATTCAGCGCGGTTGCATTGGCCATGAGCGACGAAAGGCAGGCAAGGGTGCAGCGGACGCAAATTGTGACAGAGCTTGTTCTCTTCAGTGATGGCGTCCAACAGCCGAGCTTCCAGTACGACGTTGATAAGCCGGTCCAACTCCCAACGAGGTACTGATATCCCCTGATCGATGACGCGGAAGTTGGGTGTGGAGCGGGGAGTGCATTGGGGCGCAAGGAGGGAGTTGGGAGGAAGAACAAAGACGTCCTCGGAAAATGGAAGAATTGCCAGAACTTTGCGCACGTCTGCGGATTCGCAGGGCGTTTGCTTGCCTAGCAAAAGGCCTAGATTTTGTGTGTATACCATAAAGACGTGTAGCTTGTCGGCGATCTCTCGAAGTGACGCGTTGTGAAGTTTGAGAGGTATTGAGAAGAGGTGGTCCATGCACAAGAGAACCGCGGGTTTGTTTTTGACCGCCACGAACTTGCTCACGAGCGCTGCGAGCGCTGGATAGTCGTGACGTGAGATGGCGATGAACATTAACACCTGATTAACTGATGAGCATACGGAGTTCAGTAACAACTTCCTATTCGTACCTCGTTTCGAGTTTCCTCGTCAGTAACAGCCCTTTCGAGATTTTCGGCAAGTCGAAGAAGTTTGGCCGTGGTGCTGGATCCTTTGAGCTCCTCCTGAGATACATGAACGCCCAGAGATAAGCGCTGCCACAGGCCACCAAGAAGAAATTCAAACGCCCTTTTGGTCGATGAGGCGTTGTGGATATCTAAAGAGAGCAGGCGGATGGCTTCGAGTACATTCCCTTCCGCGAAATGTACATCCGCGGCGTCTGCGAACTTGCCCATGTCTTCCAGCAGCGACGCCCGCGCGATATCTAGCCCGAAGTCGTCCATGTATTCCAGCGCCTCTTCGTCTGTCTCGAACAGCGCCCGTGCTTTCCTGAATCACCGGTGAGCGACCTAGACATAAGCCAAGATGACGCATAACCAGAACGTACTTTATCTGCTTCTCGCGCAAGAAATACAGCTTCGATACGCCGAGGATGCTGTCCGCCACCGCGGCCGCGACCAACCCCTTGTGAGACTGGATCACGTCGATCGCATCGTCGAACTTGCCCGCCCTCCGGAAGTGCTGTGCCGCCAGAGTGTACTCTTCCGCCGAACGGTACGCCTGCGCCGCCTTGACGTCATCACCACCTGCGACGAAGCACTCGCCCGCGATGCGGTAGTACGCCTTCTTCTCCGTCACCGCGGCCGTGGCAGACGAGACGAACGCGTCCGCGGCCTTGACGAATGCCGCTGCCTTCGCGGTGCTCTCGCCACGCGTCACTGGGGTGCTGCGCGCGAGTTCACGCAGGTGGTAGGCGTGGGCGACGGCCTTCTCGCGCGTGAGCCCCGCCCTCTCGTAGCAGTGCATTGCTTGCATGTACCGGCGATTGTTGAAGAGCGAGAGCGCGGTCTTCGCCCAGTCCTCCGGGGTCGACGACATCGCCAGCTTCGGCACATCGCTTCCCGGGGTGCAGCTCTGGATTTGGTTCCGCGACGACCACACGATCTGAAGATCCATCAGGGTCAGACTCGTGCCACGTCATCGGCAAATGGACGACGCACTCGCATAGGTTCCCCCTTTTCCGATCCATCTGCGATCCACAGGTTCTTCCGCGCTCTTGTGATCGCGACGTAGAGGAACTTGAGCTGTGGACGGTATAAGCATCGCGCACAGGGAGATGATGTACTGGAACACGCACGTCTCTGCACACGCCACTGTGGCGCACGTCGTCGAAGCGGGGCGCGGGATGGTTGACGCGGGATTCCGGCGGAAGCGCGTTGAGGACGACGCGCCACTGAGAGAGGTCGACGGTGGAGTCTTCGAAGAAGTTGTACAGCAGGACGTCGTTGAACTCGAGACCCTTGCTCTCGTACAGCGTCATGATCAAGCCAATGTCCCCAACTTGTGCTCTCAGCTTGTCGCGCGCCGCTTCGTCCCGCACCAAGATGCCTGAGCGATAGATGAGTATGGCGACACGATAGTAGTCTATGGGGACCACCCACATTGCTCGGCACCAAATTCTATGTGATTCCCACTTGCGATCAAGTTAGCGTCGAGTCCACATCGGCGATCGGCGGGCGACTCACGATTCTCCGAAGAGGAACTGCTCGTAACGGACAGTGTTCTGGTCCCACCCATGGAAGAAGACCGGCTTTAGGCCATCGATCATGCCCGTCTCTTGCCCGAGCGCGTCGATGGCGTGCGGCCAGAACTGCGTGATGAGCAGTATGACGGAGTGAGCGCAATTGACGATGCCTCCATGGGAACGGTAGTTGATGGCGAGGTGGAAGGATTCAGGGGTCTGAGGCGGTGCGTCGACCTTGGAGTTCATCTATGCCAGACGATGACGTCAGGTCGGGATCAAAGACGAACCCGTGACTATGGAGATACAGACCTTCTCGTACCGATACAAAAACGCTTTGAGGTCGTCGAAGCGGAAGGCACTGCCAACTGAGATTGTCTGGGCGGTGTCACCGGCCCAGAAGAGCCCATGAGGGTTCCGACAGAGTTTTCGGAGGACTGCATAGGAAGGAAGGAAGTGAGTTACGCGAAAGTCCTAATCCAAAAAGAAGCACGTACTGAGAGCGTCGATGAGGAGGTTGTCTTGAGCCTCGTCTACGTATCTGAGCGAGCGTCAAGAGTGAACAAAGCACAGTAGAGCGCAATAAAACCCACATGAAGTTGATCGGCAAACCTGGCACGCCGTGCGTTCGCATCGCGTTGATGAGAGCATGCGTCCTATGGCCCGGTTGATGGTCAATACGCAACCAGACCTTCACAGCGGGACATATACTCTACCTGTCTGCAGCGTCATAGTCTCCGCGCTCCTTCTTTCGCTTGACGTACGCAGCAAAGAGCCTATAGATACACTCGCGCTGGTTCGCGAACGTGCCCTGAGTGCGATGACTAAGCTTGAGGTACGTGTCTTCGTCCAGGTATCCATCGGGCTTGTCAAGCGCGAGCTCTGAGCCTTTGATAACGCCTGAAGACGGGCGTTGTCAGCCGAAGAAGGCGCCGTGTCGACTGAACGTACCCATAAACTCTCCGAAAACAAGGGTCGGATCTAATCAGTCACTGCATCAGCTCCTGGCAGCACCGTGGTTGTTGGGAACACTGACCTAGACCCCTCGTAAGGGCTTGTGGGAAGTGCGACCAGTACTCTTCGATGAAAGTGCCGAAGGAGACAAAGGAAGCACGCTGTTGTTGCATGTAGTCGTTCGAAAGGCCCTTATCATGCGACTCCGACCCCTGCACGCTCAATGCACTGTCCAGGGCACGAAGGCCGGAAGCCCTCTCCACGTTCGCCACTATGTGGTGGTTCAAATCATTCTCCAAGAGTCGGCAGATCTGTGCATAAGCCTCGTTGAGTATATCGACTTATGCGTTCCAGAGGTTGACCCACATGATCGTACGTGACGAACATCGGAAAATGCTCATCCTTCAGCTCCCCATATCGCTGAGGAAGGTCTCCACGCCAGTAGATCTCTTCGTCACGATCTACAAGACCCTGTTCCTGCTGCCGCTTCTTCCGCGCGGCAATCTCCACGAGCTCAGTGTGGGAATGACCGGCGGTCGCAAGCGACTCGAGGAGCTTGACGAAGTATTCCTCGACCTTCTCCGCCAGCACACGGGACTGGGTGACGAAGAGTTGGCGTGGTTTGGGCATCACGTCCCGGTGGCTTTCCCATGCGCGTTCCATGCCGAGCATCTTGAAAAGCATGGTGGTCGTTTTCCTGAAATGCCCCCTAAGCCAACATCGCTGGATTGAAGCAGGATGGGACTCTTACCCGGTACCACTCCGCCCCAGGACGTAACACGAGGAAGGGTGTTCGATGATCTTCTGCTCCTGTGGACTGAACGACACAATTAGTTAGTAGGGCGGGATGAGGGAGCTGAAAATCCAGCCCACTGACGTGACATTGAAGACGTGTGCAACCTCCTGGTCTGCGAGAATGCCTACAAGGTCCGTGTGAGACGGGTGTAATGCCCTGAGACGTGCCCTTACTATTGAGCAAAGCTTGGGAGAACGTCACGAACTTCTCGAGCACGAGGAGTGAGTGGATCTGATATTCCTGTTGAGCGACGGTGCTTTTGCGATCAAGATGCTCCTCACCTCTTCCAAGTCTTCCTTGCGCATTTCTGCAAGACCCGACACGGGTTCGATTGGCGTCGGCTCCACCGGAGGCCAACAGGCGGGTGCGTAAACATTGTCACCGCGGTTGACCGGACGATTTCGGAAGGTGCATCTATGGACGTGGTCAGGTGCATCCCGGAGGTTCAATCCTGATGGAACGTACCTCTTGCGATACTCTGCGCCACGACGGTCAATGTGTTGGCTCATACAACTCCAAAGCCGGCGGTCCAGTTGCGTGTGGGTGTAGATGCCAAAGATCCGTAGGACTTGCCTCTCCACCTGGGACTCATTTTCAGCATTTTGGTATCTTCCTCAGAACGACACGCTTACTCACCGGACTCTGGAACTCAGGGATGCAGTCGACTTGGTACTGCACGTTCCCAAGCATGAGCAGGTGGGAGAAGACCACATAAACCGACTCACGACAAGACGCGTATCCCCAGTCATCTTGGCTTCGTAGATAGGGATGTCGACGTCGAGCCCGGTCAATCGCTTCTGATTGTCGTCCGAGAAATGACCGTTCGAAAGCTCCCTGCGCCATATGTGGGGAAGAGCGCGCATACAGCTGAGCGTGCACTTACTTGATCTTCTTGACATAGATCGCGAACATCTTCGCGTCTCTCTTCCGCGCTTGACGTAGGTCCCGGTCCGCGCGCGTCGAGATGAGGACGCGCCATTCTCCGAACCCGTCTGCGCTGTCAAAGTATAGGGCCGCTTTCATGGGTAGGACTGGAGGGAGGTCTTCAGGGACGGCGGAGGTCCCGTCAACGACGAAGGGTGCGGGGGACGGATACGGAGCTCCGTTTTCGTATTCCTCTTCGAGGGCGCCGTCGACAGCTTCAGAGGTGGGGAGGGAGTAGTAGGCATTTGTGATGACGGCGGAAAGACCGTCGCGCCGAAGCATCTTGAGGAGCTCCTTGAAGGAGATGAAGCGCAGCGCGTATGAGGAACCTGAAAGCACGCACCTTGAGAACATCCCTCCGCTCCTCCAACATGCGCATACATAGATCCATCGCCCCTTCCTTTGTTGACGGCACAAAGTCCGCTTCGGGGAGACTGAGAATGGTCTTGCGGTCGGCGTCCGAGACGAAGGGGTTTTGCGCTCTCGATTGCTTGCGCTTGTGTCTGTTCTTGGACTTTCTCTTGACCGCGTCGCCGGAGCCGTCGATGTCTTCCTCACCATCGTAAACGGCGTTGGAGAGACGAAGCCGGTTGAGTACTTGGAGTGCCGAGATAGTTGTCTCAGTGAGAGTGCGCTGCTGCGAGAGCCAAGCGAGGTCGAGGGATCGCGCGTTGGGCAGAAAGAGGAAGAAGATGGGGAGCCTTGTGAGCAAGCTGTGGGCCACCGAAGACGCGAAGGTCTCAGGCGCGAAGGGGAAGTTTGCAGAGATGACGCTGACGACGCGGTCGAAAGTCGACTTGCTTACGGCTGGTGATGTCAGTCGCCGGCGTCAGAGATAGGCGGCGGGCCGCAGTACTCACAAGCGAGGACCAGCTCCAGCGCTTTTGTGGGCGACTCAACGAGCTCAGCGACGACTCCCTCAACATCGACATCGGGACGTCCAAGGAGACTGTCCACATCGGATATGACGACTTGCAGAATACCATCGTCCCTCAGAAGCGTCGTGTCAAACAATGCGGGGATGGCACTGAGGACTCGACGACTTCTCAGAGGAGAGAACTTCCCTCCAGAAGGAAGTGGCATTGCGACGGTCTGGCCGATGGACTCTGCTCGGCGATCTGGGCAGGAGGCTGGTCCACCGAGTGCGTCGCAGGCGCGGTCCGTTTGAACCGTGGTGCACTGTGGCCCGTGGGTAAACCGGTAATTGGTGGGTAGGTTCGAATATGGAGAGCAACGGAGAGAAGCTGCCAGAGGGCACAGTAGTGTGGGGGAAGCCGGTGTGACGACTCTTCGCGTGGCCAGTGAAGGTGGAATGAGAGCGATGGTTGTGCTGCGGCAGTCAAGACGCTGCGTGCGCACAGAACTCAAAACGCGTTAGTGCAAAGTCTTGTTCTGGGCCAACCCCGAGTCCGGTGGAATCGGAGAGTTCCTCCCTCCGGTTCGGCGTTTGCAGTCTTGGCTGGTGCGATACGAAACACAGGCGGTTGAGATCGCGCAATGGTATATTTCGAAGTTGGAGGTAGTCTCCCCAATTCCTAATACTCATCCTCGTCCGTAGTCTCGCCCTCATCGGAGTCTGTGTACTCAGTGCCGTCTTCGTCCCCGTCCTCGTCCGAGCACTCCCCATCCTCGTCTTCTTCAGCCTCCTCGTCTTCGTCGTAATCACTGTCGCCCTCGTTGACTCCATCGATATCGCCGTCCACCCCTACATTGAGCTGCGGCTTGGGCGGCGCTTTGGGCGGCTGGGGAACGGCGACAATGCCCCGCGTGGCAAGCTTCATGTCCTTCTCGCATTCTGCCGTCGGAGGGAGCGCGCGCGCCAGCTCTTCCGCTTCGAGCACGAGACTCTTCAACTTCTCGATGTCACGCTCTTGGTGAACTGCGGCAGTCGGCGCTAGGTCCTTGTGGAGACGGTCGGATCTCTTGAAGAGTGTACTGTGTACGATGTCCAGCATGAGCGACAAGCGCGTTATGTAACGGACGCGCGAAACTTACTTCATCTGTGTCAACGTAGACCCCATCGTCTCGAGTTCCAGGTGCTTCGCGATGTTGAGCTTCTTGCGAAGCTGGATCCGCGTCTCGTACAGGTAATATTTCATCATCTCGACTGCGGACGCTAGGTGTGGGACGGGCCCGAGGAAGAGCATGCGGTAGTGCGCATGCGGCCACTGGACGGTACGCGCGTGCGCGGCGTACTTGTCGAAGATCCTCTGCCACCGCCGGCGCGCCTTGCTGAGCTTGGGGACGCGTGTGCGCGCGAGGTAGCGCTGGTACGCGCTCGCGATCTTGTTTGCAGCGCTTATCTCCTGGGCGGTAGGCGCGGCGGCCGCCGTGCGCTTCTGCTCCGCGGCGATGTCTTTGGTGATCGCGTCGACGTCGACGGCTTGGTCGGGGCCCTCTGTCACCTCCTCGTCCACCGCGTCGTCTTCGCCCTCGGCCACACCGTCTTCCTCGCTCGCGCTCGGCTCGACTGCAGGGGTGGGGGCGTTGACGGGAACGAAAGGCAGTGCGTCAGCACGAAGACCCGTGGTCTGCGCGCCGGAACCGTCCGTCTTCAGCAACCACTGGATGTCTTCCAACTTGTTGTAGATAATGCGGCGCACGCCTGGTATTGGAGGCTTGTAGATCGGCTTCATGGAGTGATGGAGTTGAATCATCTCGTCCAGCTTGGAGTCTGCTGCCGACTGCCGAGCCAGTCGAGCCAGCTTGTCCCACTTTTTGGCGCTGATATACCTGAGGGAGAAGTCAATACCGGTCAAAGTCTCTGCGACGTTGCACGCGTACTTCTCAATGGTGTGATGGAATGACCTGTTGGGTTTGTCCACGGACGAGATTGATCGCGCAATTAATTCCCGAAGGCCGTACCATTGCGTGTTGTAACCCCCTTCAGAATGATAGTGAGTTACGGGGTGAGCAACAGGACTGATGTTACTTACATAGGCACAAGTTCTTGCATCTGCGCGAAGAAATGTAGTCAGTTGTGAACACCACATCACGAAGGCATTTTCACATGCTTACACTCTGGCGAAGAAGGTGTTCCTGAGGGGAAATCCCATCTTCGGTAGCTCACGGCCTTCGAACTGAAGGTGATCTGTATCGAGGTGAGCATACAATGTGATCAACGATGCTCTCGTGACCCACCGGCCCCCACTACGCTATAGATCATCTCCAGGAGATCGCCCATATGATCCTTCATATATAGCTGCGCCATGCGAGTGTCAGCAATGCGCACGGAGTCGAGGTAGGGCATCGCTTTGAGGAGCCAACTCTTCGGTAACGTGACGTCATGAAGAGTCCCTCCCCCCTGGAGCCTCATAGAGATGATGAGGCGGCTGCACACATCGTCCATGAGGTCGCAGAGGAGACCAATGTCAAAGGCGACCCGATTGGCGAGAACGTGGCTATGAAACGGAACGTGTGTCGGAGGAGTTCAGTTAACCAGTGTGCTTGGATACGCACTTGATGAAGAGGACGCCCATGCTCAAGGATGCTCTGTCCCTTTGGTGCAGGAAGCCGACCAGGTCGTTGATGACGTACTGTCGATCGATTCCGCGGAGAAGGATAGGAGGTCTGTACTGGGCGATTGCGTTGATGCGAGGGAGGTATCCCGTGGCGGCTTTAGAGTTGAACGACAACGCTAAACGGATCGTTCGAAGGAAGTTCGAGAGGAAATGCCGCGGGAGCTCATACGGCTCGATTTCGTAGAGCAGCTTTTCGACCCACATCTGCGTGATGTGCATGCTTTGGCCAAATTCTGGGATCAAGCCTGGGTTCAAGAGGTGGTAGCCGCCGAGTTTGTAGTGGGCAGGGAACAGGGAGTCATGTAGCTCGCGAAGCCAGTACCTATCAACGATCCCAGTCAGTAAGTGTTCGACGGGATATACCGTCCCAAACGTACATTTGTTGAAGCGAAAACGTCGTCTTGTGCTCGCCTATATGCATGTTGTGGTAGATTATGATCTGTTGCAGGTGCGCACGTACGCGAAGATGATACGAAGCGACATCGAGGCTCGCAGCTGGAACGTGTTCGTGAGGACAGCCGCCGCGGTTACAGTGTCCGAAGACGGCGAAAGGAATACAAGGTTTCAGTAGACGGAGATTGCGGCAGTGTTGGTCCTCGGCATTCACAACCTTCATAAGCTTCGTCTTCACCACGACCTTGATGAGGTGCTCCAGCTCCCAAACCGACACTGATATGCCCTGGTCGACCACTCGGTAGCTTGGAGTAATGCGTGGGTGACACTGCGAAGCAAGAAGAGAATTCGGAGGTAGGATGAAGGTATCTTCGGAAGACGGAGAGAAGGCAAAAAGCTTCCGCACGTGGAGACTGTCGCATGGTTTCGCCAGGAACCAGATTCGGTGAAGGTCTGTGACGTAGCTGGAGAAGTCGCGCTGCGCATTGACAATTTCCTGCAGTGTAGCATTCTGGAGCTTAAAGGGTACGGAGAATCGATGTTCCATGCAGAGAAGAGCGGCCGGCTTGTTGCTATGAGCCTTGAACTTGTCAACGAGAGCGGCCAGCGTGTTGTGGTCTCGATGCGCGATCGCGGAGAACATTGTCACCTAAGTATTGTGGCTGATCAGGTCATGGCCAACACATAAACGTGCCAGTCCTCGTACCTCGTTCCGTATGTTCTCATCTACACCGGTAATTGGCAGACCATCGGAAAGCCGGAGTAATTTGGTGACGATGCCAGAGCTCTTCAAGTCGTCATCGGAAATTATGGCGCCGAGAGATAGGCGCTGCCAAAGACCTTCCAGGAGGCAGTCGAAGGCTTTCCTCGTCGAAGCGGTGTTGTCGGTGTCTAAAGAGAGCAGGCGGATGGCTTCGAGCACATTCCCTTCCGCGAAATGAACATCCGCGGCGTCTGCGAATTTGCCCATGTCCTCCAGCAGCGACGCCCGCGCGATATCCAGCCCGAAGTCGTCCATGTACTCCAGCGCCTCTTCGTCCGTCTCGAACAGCGCCCGTGCTTTCCTGGATCACCGGTAAGCGACCGAGACATAAGCCAAGATAACGCAGACCAGGACGTACTTTATCTGCTTCTCGCGCAAGAAGTACAGCTTCGACACGCCGAGGATGCTGTCCGCCACGGCCGCCGCGACCAAGCCCTTGTGGGACTGGATCACATCGATCGCATCGTCGAACTTGCCCGCCTTCCGGAAGTGCTGTGCCGCCAGAGTGTACTCTTCCGCGAAACGATACGCCTGCGCCGCCTTGACGTCATCACCGCCTGCGACGAAACACTCGCCCGCAATGCGGTAGTACGCCTTCTTCTCCGTCACCGCGGCCGTGGCAGACGAGACGAACGCGTCCGCGGCCTTGACGAATGCCGCTGCCTTCGCGGTGCTCTCGCCACGCGTCACTGGGGTGCTGCGCGCGAGTTCACGCAGGTGGTAGGCGTGGGCGACGGCCTTCTCGCGCGTGAGCCCCGCCCTCTCGTAGCAGTGCATTGCTTGCATGTACCGGCGATTGTTGAAGAGCGAGAGCGCGGTCTTCGCCCAGTCCTCCGGGGTCGACGACATCGCCAGCTTCGGCACATCGCTTCCCGGAGTGCAGCTCTGGATTTGGTTCCGCGACGACCACACGATCTGAGGATCCACGCGGGTCAGACTCATGCCACGTCATCGGCAAATAGACGACGTACTCGCATAGGTTCTCCCTTTTCCGATCCATCTGCGATCCACAGGTTCTTCCTCGCTCTTGTGATCGCGACGTAGAGGAACTTGAGCTGTGGACGGTATAAGCATCGCGCACAGGGAGATGATGTACTGGAACACGCACGTCTCTGCACACGCCACTGTGGCGCACGTCGTCGAAGCGGGGCGCGGGATGATTGACGCGAGATTCCGGTGGAAGCGCGTTGAGGACGACGCGCCACTGAGAGAGGTCGACGGTGGAGTCTTCGAAGAAGTTGTACAGCAGGACGTCGTTGAACTCGAGGCCTTTGCTCTCGTACAGCGTCATGATCAAGCCGATGTCCCCAACTTGTGCTCTCAGCCTGTCGCGCGCGGCGTCGTCTCGCACCAGGATGCCTGAGCAAATTATAAGTATAGCGATGCGATAGCTGTTTATGGGGACCACCTACACTGCTCGGCACCGAACTCAAGATGATTCCCCCTATCTTAGAGTCAACATCGTTTCAACATAGAGGCGTGGCAACATTGTACTCACGATTCTCCGAAAAGGAACTGCTCGTAGCGTACGGTGTTCTGATCCCACCCGTGGAAGAAGACGGGTTTGAGACCGTCGATCATTCCAGTCTCCCGCGCTAGCGCATCGATGGCGTGCGGCCAGAACTCGGAGATGAGCTCGATGACCGAGTGGGCGCAGTTGACAATTCCGCCGTGTGAGCGATAGTTGATGGCGAGTTGGAAAGACTCGGGGGAAGGCGGTACGCCTGCACCAGGCTTAGCATTGGCCTGAAATAATCGACTTAGTCTCATGATACATCATGTGAAGTCGCCCCCTCACCTCTTCGTATCGGAATAGGAACGCCTTGAGGTCGTTGAACCGGAAGGCGCTGCCGACGGAGATCGTCTGAGCTGTGTCGCCGGCCCAGAAGAGTCCTTGCGGATTGCGGCAAAGCTTTCTAAGAACTAAAGCGGGAACATCGGCGTTCAGAACCCAATGACGAGAGAAAAGCACGCACCGAGCGCGTCGATCAGTAGGTTGTCTTGAGCCTCATCGACGTATCTGCGTAGATGATGAGACTCGGTCAATCATCCAAGCATACAAGAAGACGTACATGAAGTCAATCGAATGTCCTGGTACACCCTGTTGCCGCAATGCACTGACGAGAGCGTGCGTCCTGTGGCCCAATTGGTAAGTAATGAGCAGTCGGACACCTTCGAGAGACCGACCTGTCTGCAGCGTCGTAGTCTCCGCGCTCCTTCTTGCGCTTTAGATACGCAGTGAAAAGCTTGTAAATGCATTCGCGCTGGTTCGCAAAGGTCCCTTGGGTGCGGTGACTGAGTTTGAGATAGGTGGCTTTGTCAAGGTAGCATTCGGGTGTGTCCAAGGAGGGCTCTGAACCCTTGATGATGCCTGTAGTCGAACACCATTAGTGAAGAAGAAGGTGCACCACCTCAGTGAAAATCACCCATGAACTCCCCAAAGACAAGCGTCGGATCTGGGCAACTACCTGGTAAGCCTCAAGCGATAACGAGGAAACTGGAAGACCAACCGAGGCCCTTGGTGAGGGTTTGTGGGAAGTGTGACCAATACTCTTCGAGAAAGGTACCAAAGGAAACGAATGAGTCACGACGTTGTTGCATATAGTCGTTCGAAACAGCATCTTCACGCGAGTGCGACTCGGAGATACTCAGTGCGCTCTCCAGTGAACGGATTCCGGATTCCTTGCTTGCTCCCGCGTCCATCTTGTGAATTAGCTCATTCTCCAAGAGTCGGCAGATCTGTAGATGCGCTCGGCTCGGTACCGCGACTGAATGCATTCGAACACATGTCACTCACATGGTCGTAGGTGACGAACATCGGGAAGTGCTCGTTCTGAAGAGCACCATACCGTTTCGGCAGGTCCCCGCGCCAGTAGATTTCTTCATCGCGATCGACGAGACCCTGCTCTTGTTGCTGCTTCTTCCGTGCGGCGATCTTCACGAGCTCTGTCGGCGATTGACCGGCGGTAGCGAGAGAATCGAGGAGCTTGACAAAGTACTCCTCGACCTTTTCGGCGAGGACGCGAGACTGCGTGACGAAGAGCTGGCGTGGTTTGGGCATAGACTCGCGATGACTTTCCCATGCGCGTTCAATCCCGAGCATCTTGAATAGCATGGTGGTCGTTTTCCTAGACGTCCGTGGTCGAACCCATCAGATTAGCACAAGCACAAGGATGCGACTTACCCAGTACCGCTTCGCCCTAGGACATAGCATGAGGCAGGATGTTCGATAATCTTCTGCTCTTGAGGTCTGATCGGTGCAATGGTTAAGCAAGGTTCAACAAAAGGGGAACGGAATACTTACGTGACATTGAATACATGGGCGACGTCTTGATCCGCGAGGATGCCTGCATATTACGGGTAAGCCAAAGACCCTGGGATTGGATCCAACCTCACTGTTCAGGAGGGCTTGCGAGAATGTCACAAATTTCTCGAGCACGAGCAACGAATGAATCTAACAACAGTGTCAAAGTCTGGATTGCATTTAGTCGAAGCACTGACCTCCTCTAAATCCTCCTTCCGCATCTCGGAAAGCCCTGATACAGGTTCCACGGGTACGGGCTCTGGAGGGGGCCACGACGCCGGAGAGTAGACATTGTCTCCACGATTCACTGGTGGGTTGCGGTAAGTGCATCTGCGGAACAATCAGCAAACATACAGTTGTCGATGACAGCATGAAAAAACACTACCTCTTGCGGTACTCTGCACCACGACGACCGATGTGCCGGCTCGCGCAGTCCCAGAATCGACGATCCAGCTGGGCGTGGGTGTAGATCCCGAAAATCCGCAATACTACTCGGAGGTAAGGAGGTGATGTGCGAAAGGATCAACACAACTTACCTTGTCGTTCGACCTAGTGCCGTGCTGTCAGCATTCTTCGTGTCTACTCAAACGACGATACAGACATACCGGGCTCTCGAACTCGGGGATGCAGTCAACCTGATACTGCACATTGCCGAACATGAGCAACTGGAAGAAGCAAGTACGAAGGGACTCACCACAAGACGCGTGTCACCGGTCATCTTTGCCTCATAGATAGGTATGTCGACGTCGAGCCCAGTGAGGCGCTTCTGGTTGTCGTCGGAGAAATGGCCTCGGGAGAGCTCCCTGTACGATAGATGTAGACAAACGCGCATACGTTCAGATATATGCACTCACTTGATCTTCTTGATGTAGATGGTGAACGTTTTGGCATCTCTCTTCTTTGCTTGTCGCAGATCCCGATCCGCACGCGTCGAGATCAGGATGCGCCATTCACCGAAGCCGGTCGCACTGTCGAAGTACAAAGCGGCTTTCATCGGGAGGACTGGGGGCAGATCTTCGGCGACGGAGGAAGCCCCTTCAGCGATGGAAGAAGCAAAAGAAGCGTCCGCGACGTCGTCTTCGGGGGTACCGTCAACAACTTCAGAGGTGGGGAGGGAGTAGAAGGTGTTCTTGATAACGGTGGAGAGACCGTCGCTTCGGAGCATCTTCAAGAGCTCCTTGAGGGACATAAAGAGCCGTACGCATAGGGAAAAGAATGTGCGCACCTTGAGAACGTCCTTCCGCTCCTCCAGCATACGCATGCTCAAGTCCATTGCCTCCTCCTTTGTTGATGGCACCTTGTTCGCCTCGGGATGGGCGAGGATGACTTTGCGGTCGGCGTCCGAGACATAGGTGTATTGCGCTTTCGACTGCTTGCGCTTGTGTTTGTTCTTGGGCTTCCTTTTGACCGCGAACTCGACCTCGCCGAAGTCGTCGACATCTTCCTCGGCTTGTGGAGCGACTTCAGGGAATCGAAGCCGGGCGAGGACTTGAAGCGCCGCGATGGTTGTCTCGGTGAGATTGCGCTGCTTTGCAAGCCGGGTTTGGGAGAGCTGGGGCGATCGCACGTCGGGGAGAAAGAGGAGGAACAATGAAAGTCGAGTGAGTAGGGCATGGGCCACCGAAGAGGTAAAGGTCTCAGACGTAAACGGAAAGTTTTCGCAAATGGAGGAGAAGATGCGGTCGAATGTCGTCTTGCTTACACCTTAAAGCAATGTCAGTTGTGTGTATCCAAAGACAGCACGAGAATCGAGACTCACAAGCAAGGACAAGCTCAAGGGCTTTGGTGGACGATTCAAGCAACTCAGAAATCGCCTCCTCCACATCAACATCGGGGCGAGCGAGAATCTGCTCAACAGCGCGAATTGCGCTTTGCAGAGTCTCTTCATCCCTCAGCGCCGTCGCATCAAAGACCACCGGAATGGCAGTCATGACCCGACGGCCTCTGAGAGGCGAGACTCCGCTGGAGGAACTCCATGGCATGGCCGTGGCCGCGCTTTGTCCGACGGTTGCTCGTCAAACGTTTCTCGATAGATGACGTGAGTCCCAGAGGGCCTCAGTCTGTCACAGGGATGCTGTGTGCACGAAGTGTAGAACTGCTCGGATCTCTGCGACGACAAAGGCGTGCTGAGAGCTGAGCAACCGCGTAACTCCAGAAGCGGAGTGATACACTCGACGCAATCTGAGATCTGGGGTGTGGGAGGATGCGGGTGTGACGTCCTCGCGCGTGGTTGAAGAAGGTGGGGGATGGTTGGGTGAAGATGGTCGTCGCTGGAAGGCTGCAGCTGCAGCTGCGGCAGGTCGCGGGCGCTCCACGCCCCGACACTCTGCATGGCGCTAATTCGTCTCAGCCCGCGACTCGCTCTTCGTCGTTAACTCTTTCATCAGTCTCTGGGAGAGAACTTCCACGCGACATATGTAGGTGCCACATCTGGCATGTTTATCTCGGCTAACACTCTATCTAAGTAGCGTTCCGGGATCGCCTCCGGTAGAGGAGGTGATTGAACTGCCCTCTCTCTCTCTCCATCGTAGGAGCCACGCATATACACATTCCGCGTACATAGCCGCCCGGGCCGCCTCAACAGACTACCTTGCCGCTTTCGCCAACTTCTCTTCTGAAGCACCGGTTTCGTGATGAACGCTCCGAGTCATCGGCAGCCCACATAGAACCACAAGGCGCCGCTGCCAAGACCATTCGCTATGTATATAAAGGCAAGATCGTCACCGCACGTGTCTCCTTCCATCCACCCATTGACCTTCATGTCCCTCTCTACTTTCACGCGACGCCTACGCAGATCACGAGGCAGAAGTCCTCTCTCAGCCTCCGAGGATCGTGGCGACGGTGCTAGCGAGACCTCGTCGGAACTGAATTCACCTGTCATCAACACGATCGACATCGGGGACGATGCACATCTTGACCTCGACATACCTAGACCTGAAGGGTCTGCAAGAACTGTCATTCCTGCGTCCGCACGCGTATCGTACGTAACAGATCGGGCGCTTGCGGACATCAGGCCACTGCGTGCACAGATCAACGCTGGTCCTCCGGGAATTCGACCGCGGCACTCGGCCGTGTTCGGTGAGTTGAATAGAGCGCTCGTACAATGCATCTTACTGATGCACCTCTCTGCACACACGCAGAGAAACGGATCGGTCGCCTAGCTACTCTGGCTACTACAGCAGTCGAGAAAGTAGTCGAAGGCTTGAAGGACGCGGACGCGGAGGAGTCGGAGCTCGCCGAGAAGATCAAGCGCGGTATCGAACGCTTCACCGACAACATCCCGTGGCTTATGAAAGCTCTCGACGAAGTTGCGAAGATCCACCCAGCTGTAACAGGTGAGACATTGTGACGGCGCCCGTGCTAAAAGCTCACGAGCACCACAACACGCAGTCGCGGTGCTCGCCTTCGAGGCTGTTTACTACCTCGAGTCAACGCGTCGAGCCAACGATCGACGCGTGATGACTCTCTATGTCATGATGAAGGACATGATGATGGTTCTAGTCCAGTGCGTTTCCCAGGGAGGTTCAAATGCTTTCGAAGGTGCTTACGAGGCTTAGGCTGAAAGACATCGAGAGTACACGCCATCGGGGTCTCGACGGAGAAGCTCTCGAGGACCGACTAGAGAGACTCTCCAACAAGACTGCCGAGAATATCAAGGCTTGTGCGAACGTCTGCGATACGTTCCTGAAGAAGCGACCGATCGTACGCGTCTTCAAGGGCCCCCTCTGGGCGGACAGGCTCGGCGAGTTTGTCGAAATTTTCGCCCAACGCAAAGGCGACTTCGAGTTCGCGCTCGCGATGCACACGGCCACGGGCGTGACCGAGATCAAGCGTCAGAACTACGAGATCGGCGCCAAGTACGTTCGACACATTACTTCATGGGAGCTGGGGTTAATTGGTTGGGCTAGGCTGGAGACTGTCGTCGCGCTGCTGACAACCTTCGCGTCCTGCGATGAGCTAAAAATTCAACAAGCTATCCACAATGCTGGCGGCTTCAAGAACGCACGCAAAGATGACGCGGTTCTCAAGTCGTTGCTTGCTCTGGACGCCTCGCTCCGCAGCGACGGCAAGGACGATGAGAAGAGTCGCCCTCCATTGCGCCACTCACAAGCAACCCAAGGCGCAGGACAACGCGAGAACGGGGACAAGACTAAGAGCGGCCAGAAGAAGGGTCTGTCGATGGACACTCTCGAGGAAGAACTGCTCGAGAGCCTAGACGAGTCGCTCGAGCGCAACCTACAAACGTTCATGGGCAAGTTCGACCTTCAAGTCGCCACTCTGCGTGACGCACTCGAGCGGTACATCCGTGTGGAGAACGATCGCGTGATTGATGCAGTCACTGAAGCGATGGCACTCGGTCCTCATATGCGGGTGCGAGATCTCGTGCGTTTGTCTCCTACACTGTTGCGTTCCCGCAGCTAACGGAGTGCCGCGCATGTAGGAGCTGAGGCGGATATGGAAAGCTATGGCAAGCCGTTGTCTTCTATACATGTTGATACATGCGCTCATTCAAATATCACGCAGAACTGGCGTGGTAGCGTTAAAGCACGCACCTTCGTGTTGATTTTGCAGGAGCATTATCGCGAACTGTCTGAGAACGCCATTCCGTTGGCAGACGCGAATAGCACCGACTCGTGGGCGCTCAAGTACCTCACCGTTTCGTGGCTGCGACCAATCATGGAGGCGTTTGACGAAGATGCGTCAGGCCACGTTACGATCACAGAAGTGAACAGAGTTATGGAACTGAGGCCGCCGGTGCTGAAGTGGAGGTGCGTGGACCCTGCCCTCACACATCGTCAGAAATTCTTACGCGATGCGGCAGCTTTCCGCATTGGATGGCGTATTGGGCTGTCGGTAAGTTGATTTTACCCCTGTTTTGCGTGGGTCAAGGGCTAACCCCTGATGTGTCAGGTTGTCGACTCGCCACCATCGAGTACATACAGAAGATAAAGACTCTGTTTGTAGAGATCGCCGACCTATCGAGAGCCGTCCTCGCGGTCAACCGGCAGAACGCGAGCATGTATATGGCCGATTGGTGGTGGATCGCGCAGTTGGTCAGGGGCTTTGAAGACAACGTTGCGACGTCCAGTGACCCGGCGCTCCTCGATCGATTTCGTGACATGGTCGACTTCGAAGAACACTCCCTGCGAGAGAACTTGACCAAAGTGAAGTATCACATCGACGCGTCTGATACCCTCTCTCTGGTTCTCGGGAAACGATCGTTCGAGAAGGTCGGTCTCGACTAAGTTTACATGACCCACATCGCTGACAGATGGAATAGTCTGTCTTCGCCCTGTTGTACCTGCTGCTGGAGTACGACTGCAAGAAGTTCTACGCGGCTCGGGTCGTGTCGTTCACTCACCGCGAGTGGACACGCTCGTTCGACTCGCTCAGTCAAGTCTACAATGCTGTCTCCAACAGGTACAGTGATCTTCAAAGTGAGTCCCGACTACGAGACTCCCAGTGCCTGTCGCTCACCTGCGACAGGCCTTTTTGGACAGCGAAACAGAACAGACCTCAAGGCAGAGTTCTACGAGCATGCGTTCGGAATGGTGAAAGGAATATGCGCGTGTAGAACGACCTTAGTGCTGATCCGGCTTTCACAGTACACACACCTTCATGATCCGTCGGCTTTCTGGTCTTTTGAGAACTCCGAGGTCTCCAAATGGCTTCAGCTGGCTCCTCTCCAGTTCGATGCCGTGTGCGACCTTGATGCGTACGAAGAAGAGGAGGAGTTTCCCTACGACTCCAGGCTCTACGATATCATTGACACCCAGACGGAACTGGATACTTCTGCACCGTCCCCGCTTGATGCGATGTGAGTATATGGGCCATATAAAGCTAGTTTACCCTACTGACATTCTATCAGCGTCGGCGAATGGAACGGATTCTGTCACGACGAAGTAGCGTACCCCTCTCGGCCCATGATTTCCTTCCACTTCCATGTTGCCGGCCAGGGGCCGATCGATGACGACGATATCGACAGCAAAAGCACCACAAGCGAGGACAGCTCCGACGAAGGCGATGAGCAAGATGACACTGCACAACCCTTCGTCGGCTCTGGAATCGACTTCGACAGCGACAACTTCGAAGTCACTGGTTTCTGCAAGTTCTCGGACGATGGTACCGTCCGAGTAGAGTGGAAGGTGTCTTACAAGTCCGATCTCAAGATATTCTATATCGGGAGACTGGTCGACGAGTGCACCATCGAAGGCGACGCGGCATACAACAATCGATGTGACATCGATCGCAAGTTCATCCTGAAGAAAGCCCCTGCCGACGTCGTCATCTTCCGACCATTCCCCGCGAAGCTGCAACCTGAAGCGCCCGGACGGTACCCCGCGCTATGGGCGTATGCGATCTCCGCGACTCTCAGCGTTGTCCGCCGGCGCCAGTGGTCGTGGTCGTACTTCGCGGCTCGCCGGGACGTGCGCCGGCGGTTCCTCGAAATCGACCGACAGAGGTACCAGACCCGCGCGCCGTTCACACGGGAGGACCTCGCCCAAGTCCACCGGTCATGCACGGCGGCAGACGCACTCTTCTACGAGACCATAGGCGACTACATCGCGACGACGGGGATGTTCAACGGGTAAGCGCAACTATCAAAATTTTATCCCTCTCTACACCTCGTCGTGCTCACGACCCGTCCGGCAGGGTCGAGGACTGCGCGACTGGAAACCAAGATGCTCATCCGCACGAGACGAGCGGATCGCGGTTCCTATGTCTCGACTGCGCCCCGAACGACGAGTTCCAGCTCTGGGTCAGCATCTGCGACAGAAACGAATGTCTCCGTCAGACGATAGACATCCGCGCATGGAAGGGGATCCCGCCCCGAATCCCGCTCGTCCACCGCCCGACGCATGACCTCGTCAAAGTCCGAACGATGGTCCACAACTACACGTGGCAGCGCCTCAAACTGTCGGCTCTCTCTGTTCTGCAGCAACTCCGGAGCGGAGCGCTCATGGGACCCCCTGCCAGGCCGCCTTCCTCATTTCCCTCCATCTCTCCGTCTGACATAGTAAACGAGGACGGCGAAAAGCCGTCAAGCTTGGCCTTCCCGTCGCATCAACCCCCAGAGTACTTCGAAGGCCCCCGTCCGGAGTTCTGGAGATGCCGCATCTGCGCTCAAGATGTTTTCATGGGCGATTGCTGGTACTGTATGATCTGCAGCGGTATGCATTTGGTAGACTCACTGCGCTTTGCTTCGTCTGAACCTCTGTTTCCAAGATTACGTCTGCGATAACTGCGAGGCCAACTCCCTCATTCGTTGCCAAGAATGCTCCAAGCCGTTCCCTCAGCCTACATGGTACTACGGGCACGAGTTCGGTAAGATGACGCCATCCCACCACATAAGGAGGAACATGTCTCACACGATTTTGCGTGCGCACAGACGACTTCCTCTGCGTGATGTGTAGCGCGAGAGGTTTCACGGGTTCCGACCTCAGCCTTGATGATCAGCACCCACACCGGCACGTCTACACGCACCCCCTCGTCCGCTGCAAGCAGCGCGACGCAGACCCCGTTCTCCCCATGACGCCCTTCGAGTCCGGCCCGCTCGTGAACCCGACGGACCGGTTTGCGGAGCTGGAGAAGCGCCTCTCGGCCATGGACGAGAAGTTCGACGTGATGAACGACAGGTTCGCGTCGCTGCAGACGAAGCTGGAGCGGATGGAGGCGCAGATGGAGCAGTCGCGACAGGCAATGCAGGACACGCTCGTTGCGCGGTTTGCCCATGTTCTCTCTGAAACGCTCGCAGGGATGGCCCCAGGAGGACGGAAGACGGAAGAAGCAAACGAGATTGATATCTCGGACGTTTAGACACATGTTTTCGAGAATTGTAGAATATATTTATGATCTGCACTGGCGTCTCGAGCCTGTTGAGGAGTTCTCAGCGCCGTCGAGTCTCGACGCAGTCGCGTCTACGGCAACACGCACCTGTGATTCATTTGACATCGCGGGGAACTTCGTAGATTTCCAGTATATCATGCGCCGGCGCATCGTCGAACCCTTCCTCGCCCCTCCTCCGATCACCGTCTGCGTCCCCGACTTCTTCCATCATGGCCATATTCTCCGAGCCCTTCCATGATCCACTGCTGAGCCCGGACAGGAAGTCTTCGGGCTCCAGTTCGGCCCCGATGGAGTCGACGAACCGCGCGAACCTGAGCGTCGCGGTCCCGCCATCTCCCGCAGCGCGGGGTCGGCCGAGGGTCGAGCGAGAAGTGAAGATGGGCGAGTCCTCGGTCGAAAAGTGCACCGGCTTCAAGTTGGCCTCTTGGATGTTCAGCAGGAAGCGCGAGATCAAGATGGCCGTGATCCTATGGGGAGGAATCCCTCGTCAATGGCGCGCTCAGAACCGAAAAGGGACCCGCGCTCTTACGGATCGGTGAATGCGGTGATGTTGCTTCCTTCCCCTCCGCCGCTGAAGACCTGGTGGGATCGTGGTCGGTACGTGTGAACATCAAAAAGCGACAAGGATACGTACAGATGTTAAGCTAAATGCCATGTGGAGGACGTTGAATACTAGTAACACTCTTCAGGATGGATCCGATGTGAGTGGGAGGAATTTCAGATAAGGCGAAACGCGTACGCACATGAAATATATGGTACCTGGTGGGTGGGAAGAGAGTCGTTCAGCAGTTGCTCCAAGGACCGCGTAAAGCTCTTCAACGTTACCATCTCGCAGAAAAACCTTGGCCAGCGTGAGCCGCTTCGTGAAGAGAGCTTGAGACCAAGTAAGCTGCCCACGCAGCCTCCACCAACTGATGGCTATGATAATGATATCTGCCACAATGAGCGGCGCCCTGGCAAGGACGATAACTACGGAAACATTGGGGCCCGAGTGAGTCGACTTGTAGTAAGTGAAAACAGAGCAGCGTACAGCTATCAATGTAGTGGTGAGTGACACACATCGAATGCTTACTCGAAACGGCTGTGCTCACATAGGTACCAGGTTCGGCGGGTACTCGGTCTCGTTGAGACACCCCACCAGAGGTTCGGGCAGACCCGAGTAGTGGAATCCTAACTGGGTCTGAACAACTAGCGTTATTAACCTCAATCATGGAGATAAGAACACAAACTAGGGCTCACATAGTTGACGCCTATTGGCGCACAAGAGAGGATGAGCACCAAAGTGCCGATCATCCAGCTCTGGCTCAGAACGAAGGCCCGTAGACCGGAGAACACTAATCGCATTCTGAGTTGAGGTAAAAGATCAATTTGTTGTGTGACGTACCAGCCCATAATATGTAAGAACTGAAATGAAACGCAAGGGTCACTATTCCAGAGTTGGTACATCTACACGTCGTTGTGGTGAGTAGGAGTTGGACGATATGAAGATTTGAGGATTCTACGTACTCCTGAAAGCCCTGTTTCCGCTCACGTACAACGCATGCAAAGAGGTTACCATACCTTGACTGAGAAGTTCGTATCCATCCCTACCATGCCGGAGATAATATGTACAGTGAAGATATACTTGTTGAGGAAGTATAGTGCGCCGGCACCGGTGATGGGGCGTCGCCAGAATAGAGAAGTCTCTTTGTCGAAGAGTATCAGCCAGTCATAGAAATAGAGGGCTGTCGACATGTATTATCGAATCTTCAACACGCACATTCAAACGTACAGTATGGCACTTACCTCCAACCGACATCTGGCAATACGTCGCCAAGATCCTGCGACAGAACGTCAATGAGCGCTCATGGAAAACATCGCGATTTCTAGTTACTCTTCAGAGAAAAAGGTGACGATTGCATCGACCTCCGCAGATGACATGAAGAGAACGGAAGCTGGGGAGCGGGGTGGTGGGTCTGGAAGCACTGTGAGACGCAGCCGTGTCGCAAATATACGCGCGGGAGCGCGGGCGCAGGGCGGCGGGCGCACGGACGTTCGTCCTGTTTAGCTGTCACGCCGGCAATATCAAAATTTCCGGTCATCAGATATGTTGGGCGGAATGTTATCAGATATGTTACGTTTCTAACCCCGTTCCAACTACGCACAAATGAAGTATTTCGTCCGTGCAGATATGCAATGTTCTGAGAAACATCCCGGAGGCACAGGAACTTGTTGTTTTTCGTTGCTAGGCATGACAACAGGAATTTAGAGTTCTAGAACGCGTGGAACTTTAAGTATCTGAGAGGAAGAAATGATGGCTCCCCATTGGTTCATCATTTCTCGTCGACAGAAACTCAAAGTTCCAGGTGCCTCAAAACTTCAATTTTCTATTGTCATTCCTCGTCGTCTGAAACGTTAAGTTTCTGCGCTTCTGAAACGACGTCTAGAATGATGTGTTTGTGAAGAGGCGAAATCCTTCGTGTTCCCACGTCTGAAATGTGTTCGGAAACGTAGCATTTCGGATTACATTTCAAGATGAATATCTGACGGCCGGAAATTTTAATAATGCCGGCGTGTGTGCAGCCTTGCACTGCGCGATGCCGGCAGACTGCAGTGATGAACCGTGAACGGCCTGCCATAGGTACATAGGGCCGGCCAGGGGCACAGAACCCGATATTAGAGTTCACGGACCTTGTTGTTTGAAATGCGAACCACGCCACGCCTGCGATGGCGGTACCTGGAGATTAGCTCTGAGCCTGTATTGGAGTACGCTGGAAGTGCGCCCATACGTACAGTTCGGCGTCACTGACGAATTTGCGCCATGGCAGCGTGCTAGCTTGTGGAGATAAGTACCCTGTGCACTTGCATTCAGCAAACACCCGATGGCATCGTTCAAGCAGAACGTACGACGGGACCTCTATCTCGGACTGCGCGTCGGCGTTTCCCAAGCCAGCTACATTCGATTTCCTTGATCACGGAGTAACGCCACTCTGTGATCTTCTCTCTCCTCTGTATCGCCCCGCCACTGTCGAATACAGTATGCACCGGTAAACCCTCAGATAGCATTCATCACCACGAACGAAGTTCTGTCAGACACCCTCACTACACGGCCTCCATCAGCTCCGCGCGTCGTGCTGAAAAAGTCGTAGTCAGCTTCTCGAATCACGATGGAACGGGCAGCGGGCGCACTCACGAGCTCGTGCTCTTCCGGCACCTCCGCGCACTGCCTATGCTCGTCTGGATTGCAGACGTCATCCGGCGCGAGCGCAGCGCCGATGGCGCCCACGGTCCGATGAGTACAGTATGTCGCCCGAGTCGAAAACAGGCGTGTTCTGGCTCGCTTCTTGGAGGTCGAGAAGGAAGTGTGTCATGATCACGTTTGCAAGCCTGCGGTTGTAACGTTGGCGGGCTGTTCGGTGGATCGGCAGGAGACACTTACGGCGTGCAAAATAGCGCCACGTGGGCGATATGGAGAAGGGCATCGTTGAGCTCCGAAGTGGCCCACTTGTGATGGAGTCAGATGGCGGATACTACCAGCGTGTTCCGATCGATGCGAACATGTACTCACCACGAAGACGGACACGATGAGCTGCAGGATGTCCACGATAAGTAGAATGCTGAGCGTACGCAGCGTCCGATCAGCTTCGCGCACGTCTTGATTGAAAGGAATGCATTTTACATGAAGTATACAGCGCCTACACCCAACATGAGAGGTGAGATCCACGATCCGCGAGGTAGAAGGGTCATTTCCGTACCGTCACGGAGCAGGACAGTTGAAATCGTCCTCTTCCTACGTAGGAACACGCTGGACCAAACATCATCATGGAAGAGTTTGCACCACGTCAAACCGATGAGGACACCATCCGCAACGACGCTGGCTACCAAGACGGAGATGGTAGAGACAGCAATCACTGTCAAGGAAAGCCACGAGATCAGACCGATGAGAGATTCGAGAGCGAAGACAACGCACGGCTGGATGGACTCTATCAGCTTTGACAGCGTTGACGCAGCATGTCCACTTACATGGCATCGACATCGAAGAACTTTCGGTCATTGATCTGGGCAACGCACCCCAATAACGGTCGACTGGCAGTCGGTATGAAGAACGCTGTGACCTGATCGTTCAGGTATGTGAGCGAGGAAGAGGTAACGTTCACGACAAGACGTACGATGTTCACGACGAGGGGGACGATGGACAAGACGAAAATTGATACGGAGAGGGTCCGCATGTGACTTAGAGCATACGCTCGAAGAGAGGTAAATACTACATGTGACGCTTGTCAGTGTGAGGACGAACGCTCGCCGATAAACAGGGACCTACCTGCCCAAAATACAGTCACAACGTTCTGAGAAACGGTCTGCGACGTGACGATGCCATGGCAGCTGATAACGGGGTTACAACACGTCGTACGAGTCGACAAGGAGTAACATACGCCTACCAAAAAGATGAGAGCAACTTCCACGAGTCATAATTGGATGCCTACCTGGTTTGAGAGCGCGCCTCTTGACAGCTCCCAGTAGAAGAGCACCGTTGACGCCAGGTAAAAATATTTGTTGCCGTAGTACAGGGCCGCCGACAGGCTGGTTTTCCTGCCCCAATACACCTTTGCCTCCCGACCCAGCGTGAGAATCCCATCAAAGGTCACGAATGCTTTAGCAAGCGAAGTCAGCATTTGAGAAGGCTCAGTTTAAGATGAACTCACTGGTGGCTGCTATGTTCCAGTAGGAGTACGACAACCTGCGCAAGGAGAAACATCAAGCATCCACAGGAAAGATTAGATCGATCTCGAACTCACAAGAATGAGTAGGTCTCCGAGATTGTTGGGAGCATAGGAAGTGGGGTGGCCATGTATGTGTGATGCGCGATAACGGAGGAGACTGTCGAGCCGACACCGTTTATATAGTCCAGGGCTGGCACGCAGGCCGATGCGAGAGACTTACCGGCGCGGCGCACCCAAGGACCGTCCGACTCATCCCGCCCGAGTCGGATTGGAATCCGGAGACGGGCCGCCTTCGACCGGACTACAGCGTATACCAGTGCAAGTTACATCAACATATTCCGAGGGGGAGCGATGACATGCATACCTCCGAACAACGTCTGGTCCTCGTGCCAGGATTCGCCTCGCTTCAAATCGAAGCTTCGGAGTTCGGCGTCGCAGCCCGCAGGGCTGTGAGATCCGAGGTCAAATGCCCTGTCTGCAACACTCCGTTCGTTCGGCGGTGGCGGCGGCGAGGGAGGCTGAGGCCAAGCGAGTATACACGGAGAAGCGGGCTAAGAGGTGCGGAGGACGGAGGGACGGCGTCGCATGGGGCCACATTTCATACCTTAACAGCGATAAGCAGAAGATATAGCCGTGGAACATGTTCTGGGAGGCTACGGATGTCAAACAAGGGCTTGGAGCGGAGCAACGACTGGATCTTCTGAATGTTGGTATGGGAGGAAGACGCGAGCGAAGGACATACTACACTCACGAAATCAAGCCATCGCCATCAGGCCCATGGAGCCTGTGTATGTCCCCAGAAACGTGCGTTGGTGATCAAGCGGTATTTTGTGCAGTGTGCAGAGCTTGTAGCAGGGGCAGGATATCTGGATGGTCGTTCGATTCAGAGAGCAAACAAGATAGCCCAGTAACGCACCTGTCCGTCGCACATCCACATGAACTATCTCCCTTCGCCCTTCCCAATCGGCGCCGTCCCAAGATTGGACTTCGGGAATAGCGGGCCACAGACTTGACAGGCTTTTCGGTGCGGCAGATCTTCCGACGCGGTGGAATCTTCCAAATGGCTTCAGGTGGAAGGACGCATATGCGATCTTCATAATACACTATATGTGTACAAAGGGCGAGGCAGCAACATCGCGCGCGCAGAGAGGATGCAAAATGAACTGGGAGAGCGAAGGAGTCCGACTCCATCGGCCCATGGGCCGCCGCCTGCAACTAGTTGGGCGCCTGTCGCGGCCCGCCCACGTCCCGCTCCAAAATGACGGTCGACTCCGACAACAACGGACATGGCCACACTGGCCACAGAAACAATTCGAGTAATCCGGACTTCTCCTGGAGTCAGGACCTGTGAAGGGACTGACGCTGGCATGCATAGATGACGCACGACAGCCCTAAGGCCTGAGGCTTGAATAAGGAGCTACATTAATGCTAATATCCAGAACACTACATTAATGATGCGTTGACGACAACAGGATTGAACAGCCGCGCAACAGTCCGCCGAGAGGCTGAAGCCGTTCTCCCTATGTGCCGTGTAGGACGCGAAGTTGAGGATGAATGAAATAACCTGCGTGTCGACGTCGAGCCTGGTTCAGCCTGCGGCGCGCAGTGGACGGAGGAGGAACCACGTACTCCTTCTTCCTCGTGTTGTCAGACACCTCCACGACCTGCTCCAACCTGCTGTTCGCAGTCAGGTTTTCGCTGCCGACAGTGACCCGGACCGGGTCACGCTGGAACGTCACCGCGAGCCTGCGCACCGAATCAGACCATGCCGCGCTGACTGGGCTGACGGTGAGTTCGAAAAACGGATCTGCTATCGGAGATCACTCACACATCAGCGTCTGTCGCTCAGCACCCTGCATCGTCAACCTGGTGGTATTGCGGATATCGTTCTCGAAACCCCTGTCCAGCATCCAGCCCGCCTCATCGGGGACCAGGTACGAGACCCTGCGCTTCGCTTCTTCAACATCCACACGCGCATATAGGGACAGAAAACACTCACTTGCTGAGATCACACGCACCCTCGTTCCGCAATTCCAGTATCCGCCCGGGGGTCCCCACCGCGATCTGCGTCGTCAGCCCGCCGCCCTGTGCGTTCTTGAGCATCTTGATCGGCGATGCTCGCGATCCCCAGCGGCGCACCGAGCTTCTCCAACGTTTCGCGCGAGCTCGCGCGTGGGGGGCGACGACGAGGACTGACACGGTGGTTGCGTGACCCTTGTTCTTCCGCTTCGACTTCTTGTCGGACGCGGGTAGAGGAGACGCGACGAGGCGTGAGAGTGCGGGGAGGCCGAACGCGAGGACCTTTCCACTAGGTGTATGGGCTTGATTGTGCACTCACAAGGGACGCAGAGGGAGAAAGACTCACCTTCCGGTCTCCGCGATACCGACACCCTCCAGTGCGGGCGGCCAGAGCACGCTTGTATGAGCGTGGGTGTTTTGAAACCGTCGAAGGCGGATTGGAGCTCGGCTGGGATGTCGAGCTGGTCGAAGGAGATGACGGGCCGAACGGGCGGGTGCCCAGTGGGAACGTTGGGCGTGATCTCGTTCTTGTGCGAAGACGCCTCAACGTCTGCGGGGGCGCGGCGGCCGACGCGGAGTCGGAGGAGCGCCCTTTCCCTCGACGACGCAGTGTCCTCGCTGGTCGGCGGCGGGAGACCCAGGAGGTCGCTGCGCCTGTGCCCGCTCCTTCTTCGAGAGCCCAGGCTCGTTGTCGGGCACGTCGTTCGCGTCCTCCCGCTTGCCCATATACTTAGAATTCTTCTCGGTAGTCCCAACTGAAGGCGCGGTCAGAGCGCGGAGCACGCTCGTACGAATGAGTGTGCGCACCTGGAGCGTCGCCAGCCATTGCGTCCTCCTTATCCGCCCACAACAATCTCCAACTTATCCTACTCATCACATTCGCCTAGTATTCTTCATTCTCGTCTGCGCGCACAGTGTGAAAACCGGGTGGACGACGGGTTGCGTCTGGACATACACACCACCGTCTGCAGCCTCGCGTTTCGCGCGTTTCTCCTCGCGGCTCTTCTTCGACTTCTTCACCTCCACGGGGGCCGGATATCGAGAGTTATCCAGGTCTAGAGCCTCGTAGGGCGGCTGGTGGATGGAGTAGACGGCGCGGCGCGGAAGACAGAGGGCGATTCCGAGGAGCTGAGGCGCAAGATGAAGGGCTGAAGCAAAATTCGGAACGAGACCGGCGGCTATCAGACAGCGGTGAAACGCCCAATGGGTACGATTAGATTACCTACCTACTCGAGAGAGCTCGAAGCCATAATTGTGATGTCTGTCTATCGGTGCTTGGGATCATATGTATGCGTTAAAATTTTCACCCAGATTCTGTTGCGAGATGAAGACACTGAGGTGCCTCAGGCCTCAGGCCTCAGACTTGACGACTTTGAAGCAAAGATCGAGCCCGGGCACGTGGCCCTGGGAATCCTTGAGGGAGTGCGCCTCCGTGCGCCTCGCCGCACCAAACGAGAACAGTGACATGTGTCTACCGCAGCACCCAGTCTGAGCGCGTTCTCTGGAGTCGCGTGTCCACCATCACCACGATGCTCGGTCAAGTCCCTGTAATAGCGGTTAGGAATGTTTCCCCTTCGCTGCTCTAACCCGACCCACAAAATTTGGTTTGTCACAGGAAAGGCATCGCAAGTCATTCACTTCTCGACCGTCAGGTCAAGATTCGATATGTAGGCTTTGTGTTCACGAGTACGCTTTATGGGGCCCGGAGATTAGAGTGGGAGTGTGGAAGATTCCATGGGTATCCGACGCCGTTACGTTATGCAGAGAAGGCCCCTACCGCAGCTACAGATTCGCGCCCTCACCTCTTCATGGATGATTCGCGGGCTTCGACTGCTCGCCCTCTTCCGTCCCATTCTATCACTCCTATATGGCACAATCTTCGGGGGCCGTCATTACCGACCCTACGGTCAGACACGCTGTAGAGCGACTGCTCGCAGACCAAACCCCATACGCGCTCGAGGTTTCCTTGTCGAGTGAGTCTCAACTGATCTGTTGACTCGAAGCGTACTTATGCTCTACAAGAAACACCAATTCCGAACTTCAAAGCCATCCACGAGGAATTTCGGTCGTGCTTCCTGTCATCCTCCCATTTCCTCGATAGCCCCGGTCATCTTGTTCTCAATTCGTTATGCCGTTCGCTCCCGGTCGCCTGTCCGACTCACTTCCGCAACTCGGAAATCTCGGAGCAAGATCTTCAAAAAGCTGTCTTGTCTTCCCCAGCGGTGCTCATGGAGGTTGTGAAGGTCTCTGGACTTAAAGTACGTCGCTCGCATTTATGATGACACTACCATATGTCGGCTTACATTCTAGCGTGGTAGTCTGGACACGGCCGATTTGGTAGGAGTATCCGCGCGCGACCATTTTTGGATTGGAATCTCAAAGTCCCTGTGGATGATATGGCTCTACGCGCTGCTGAACGTTTGGTACTGGACGAACAGTGGCGAGTTCTACAGGTAAGCCTGGTACCGGGGATCAAAAGGCGTTATGAACTCAACCGCCAATAGGGACTGCTATGGATCTTACGCCAGCCGGATTCCTCTGCTCAGCTTGTAAAGCTCAACTCCGAGGCGCAGAAACTACAGGAACAAGGCGATTTGACATCCCGCCCTGGGTTTACGACCGTTGAAGGCGAAGCCATCTCGTCCGGTCCCAACTCGCCGTCGAACGATCAAGATCAATGGCGCCGCAACGACGCCACGCTCCTATCCACTTTCAGCGCACCCATTTCGGCTCTACCCTTCGGTGCCCCTGCGGAGTTTGGAAACTGGGTCGTCAAACTCACTGCTAACGCCGTCAGTGATCTTCGTCGACTGAGACAGCGGGAGAAAAACTTGTTTGAAAAGGTCATCGCGAAACTTCGGTACGCTGCTGTTATTAGCTGTCGTATTCTTCATTAATCTCCGCTTCATAGCGACCTTTCACACGGCCACTTCTCTTCGAAAAATCACGCACCAGTTTCGGATGTCGACAGCGGGGTGCCCATCTACAAAGCCCGGGTCGATGGGAGCCACAGGCTCGTGGTATGTGATATACCTGCCATGTCAAAGACCAGCAGCTGACGGATTTTAGTATCACATCGATTGCCCGGAGAGTCGTGAGGAGACTGTGAGCAGTGTTCAGTTTCTAACTATCGTTCGAAATGTCCGCTGACGAATCTCACCCGTCCAGATTTCAACCCAAAGTCTGTTCTCTGTGCGATTGGGGAACGTTTGACTCACATCTCACACCAGATATCCGTATATTCGGCGTATACAACGTACAGAAGCTGGAGAGCCTGGGAGAAGGACACTGGAACTCCTGGAGTCGGCACCTCGGACTAGGCGGCGACACGTACCGCGCTCGGTATGGTGCAGCCTTTCCTGCTTAAACACACAATTGAAGTCAGTATGCATCTGTCAGATGTCGGCAGCGAAGTAAACCCAAGGGAGCACCTGGCGAGTACGTTCTCCAGCCATTGTCCTTCCCGGCGCAAAAAGAGAACGATGGACCTTCCCAACGTCACCTAATTCCCGATCATGGAATGGATGTGCGTTGCCTTTCTCCTAACAACGTTTCAATCCAGCGACGCTGATCATGCGATAGGCGAAGGATATGGCGGCCATGGAGAGGCTGACTGCGTTCTCGGAGGCGAGCTTTCATCCATGTCGGTTATTATAGGTCGCTAATTTTTATTCTCTGAGTAGACGGTCTTTCACAGTGCGTTTCTCGCTCACATAGTATCCGGCTGATATTGACTTGACCGTTCAAAAGCGCTCCTAGCGGACTACGATCTGCCGTTCATAGCAGAACCATCGTAAGGATACTCACTTCGGCTCTCCGAGAGGCATCTAGCTCATATGTTCCAGTCCTCCAGAACAAGCTGTGATTGAGCATTCGGGCTCCTGTTATGTGATTGGACGATCGGGTACTGGGTAAGCGTCATCCATCTGGTGCCGTCGGAAGGATATTAATACAAAGTATGCGACGTTCAGGAAAACCTTGTGCATCATGTACAAGATCATCTCGATCGACAGATCCTGGGAGTCCTTGCGCGGATTCATGCCGCGTCCTCGACAGCTATTTGTGACTCGGTCCAGGAGTCTAGCCGAGTATGTCTGGTCGACTGTGGACAAGCTTGCCAGCGCCTTCCGCCTCGGCGATCTTTCTCGGCATCAGGCGGTGGCCTTGGCGCGAGAACGCCCTGCCCTTGAGGGGGAGGAGGACACCGAGAACACAACCTCCACCAGACCCGCTCCTCCGCGGCGCTGGAGCCAGTTAACGAATGACGCGCACTTCCCGTTGATTATTACCCTCGACGAATGCTGGTCGATGTTGGAGAGGGACGTTTCAATCACTGACGACACTGGTGCGGCAAACGCGGCCCCTGGAGACGAAGACGAGGGGTACGTTGTGCTTTCATCATCGCAGGAAACATAGGTACATAATACACGCACAGCACATGCACAGACGACACCGCCCTCGTCTCCGGGAAGAGATTTGCCGAAGCATACTGGAAAAGGTTACCTCCAACCCTCACGAAAGGCTTTGATCCACTATCGGTGTTCAGTGAGATCGTCGGTGAGTTTGTAACCTCTTATGATCGCTAACGCATCCTCACCGGACGCTTCATTCACTCAAGGCGTGATCGAGGGCTCGGAAAACACGGTACTCGCACCTCAGGCTTATCTCGATCGAGAAGCCTATAGCCAAGTGAGCGCAAAGCGGTATCCTACCTTCGCGTCACATCGTGAGAGAATATACGACATCTTCGAGAAGTACCGCACCCTCAAAGCGGGAAGCGCACAAATCGACGAAGCAGATAGGTAAAAACACAGCGCCCGCGAGATAGGATTCACGACTGACTGCAGAATACTCTAGGACACATGCGCTCCTCCGTTCAGTTCGAAAACGTCTCCCAGGTGCTCATGTAGACTTCTTGTGGGTCCATCTCGCCTGTTACGGAATTGAGAAGGCTCGCCGCTCATGTAGGAAATAGGTACGTCGATGAAGCACAGGACAACCGCACAATCGACCTGCTGCGTAAGTTCCAAGACTCGCCTATATTATTTCGTCCGTCTGACCGAAATCGTGCTTCAGTTCTTCGAGGCTTGTGCAGAAATCCCAATGGTCTGTTCTGGGCCGGAGATACTGCACAGACAATCGTCGTTGGTAGTACATTCAAGTTTACTGAATTGACGTCGATGCTGCACACATACGAGGTACGTGTCGTGTGACTGTTGAAGAGGTACAAGTCTTGCTGAAAATATCCGCTGTGAAGGGGTCCATCGAAGACAGGACGCAACATCAGCCGGAGATGTTCCATCTCGCAGTGAATTATAGATCGAAATCAGGCATCACTGACTGTTCGCGGGAGGTTGTGACCTTGATCTCGAAATTCTGGCCCGGATCCGTCGACTACATGAGGCCCGAGGTCGCGGACAAAGAAGGCGCCAGTCCGCTCTGCATACAGCTCTCCACATTTGATCGCGAATTCTCTGACATAGAGTAAGCGATACCTTTAGCCAACCTATCTCCGCTCATTTGCTGTTTTACATCTACCAGGCCTCTCAAGCTGGGAGCGGATCAATGTAAGATCGAAATCGGTGCCCGTCGAAGTGGCAGTCCGCTAAGTCCACCTTCGCGTATACAGGTGTCATCGTTCGAGACGAAGATCAACGGAGCATTCTCAAAATGAGAGGGATAGTCAGTGGTCTAGTCATGTGAGTTCGTCCCGTCCACAGTGCCAGTCCATTTACCAGGGTATCTGATATGTTCGTTTCAGAACCGTGTATGACAGCAAAGGACTCGAGTTCGACGACGTGAGCCATCCTATCGTTTCCCGGTTCCGATGACTCAAACCTTACTGCGTCTAGGTAATCATGTACAATTTTTGCTGTTCAGAGAGACTCTCTCGTCGTGACTGGCACCAGGAGTGTTCGACGTACATAAGCTCCGAAAAGCAAGGCTATAACGGAACTTATAGCATCAGTGAAGCCGTTTGTCACGAGGTAAGCACGAGATTCAACCAGAGGCGGCCACCGTCTCAGTAAAAGTCCTCATTATTGGTAGTTGAAGTGCTTCTATGTCGCCCTCACGAGAGCACGCAACCGTGTGTGGATAGTGGACACCCCTGTCAGCTCGAATCCGCTTCTGGTAAGTGTCGGCCTCCGTTACTCTGGTATGGTGGCTTACCCGTGGTAAACAGATGGTGTTGGAAGCGAAGGATTGCGTCGATATTCATTGCCACTCTGAGGACTCGCCTCTCCCCTTCATCTCCGAATCAGGCTTCAACCCTCAAGACTGGGCAAAGCGCGGGCACACGATGATGGAGCGCCAACTATACGAGCATGCGCACTTGTGCTTTGAGCGCGCCTCGCTTCCGCAGGAAAGCAGCCTCGCGTACGCGTACATGCTGCGTGAGCGCGCGTTCTCTCACTCCGACTGGCGGGCCACCGGCGACGCCTTCAGATCGTACACCAAGAAGTATTGCAGGCACGCCGGTGACACAAACTTGGCGGTATTCCTCAACACTGCGGCGGTGTGTTACGCGCGGGCCAACGCACCCAACGACAGCGCCGAGGCCTACCTCGCGACTCACGATGTCGGCAAGGCCTGTCAGGTTTACTGCAATGCCGGGATGATGGAGGAAGCGCGCTCTCTGATCCTCGCACATCGTAGGCGCATCCCGCACGACATTTTCACTCGGGTGTGTCTCTTCTTCTTCCGAGATCGGTCCAACGCATTCAGGTGAGAATTAAAATGGCCTTGGTCGCGCGCGAACATTTTTTTATGTTCCACAGGAAAGCCGTGGAGATGTTCCCAATGCCTGCCGACGCCGTCAAGTTCATAGAACAAGAGCCTTCTCTACGGCCTACCCTAGCGGACTACTATGAGGATACAGGAGAGCACTCTCACGCCGCGCGCATTCACGAAGAGCTCGGACACACCCTGCGGGCCATCGATCTGTACGACAGTGATCCTGAAGATGAGCAATCCATAAACGCAGGAACACGCCTTCTGAAGCATGCTTTGGCGACGTCAGTCACAATTGGGCTCGAGTCCGACCTTGTTAAACGAGAAGGTCCATTATCGGTATATTACGATCGCGCGGAGGCCAGGATCTCGAAGGACTTCCCTGCATCCGTTGCACAAGAAGATAGGGAGCTGGTGAGCCGGATTGTCCGCGCTGATTGACTCAGACTGATACCTTTCGTCTCTAGCTCAAAACCTTCCTAGCTATATCTCACGGACGACACACTGAACTTTTCAAGCTCGGGACTTTCTTCTACCGCTCTGATCGTCCTGATGCGGCGCTTCTCGCGCTGGACTACGCCTGGACTTACCTTCGAAGACTGAACGACCTCAATCTCGCTGACGTCGTTGACGAAGAATCTTTCGCAACCAGCTTTCCCATCCTGCTCGCGCTTCTGCTCAAGCACGAAGACTCTCGTGTCCGGAAGATGCCTTACGGAATCACGCAGGACCAGTCCAGAGCGAAAGACTCACACACACTCCCCAAGGGTACCTACCTCTGGCGCCTGGCGGAAATATCAAAGGAATATCGCGGAGGAGAATCGGGTGCTAGAGTGCTCACAGGCGACTCTCTTTCTCGACTCTTCGACCTCGCGGTAAAGACACGCTTGAAATCGGAGCCTATCTCAGAGATAATCGGAGCTATCAAGACCAAACACGACCGGCTCCTGTCTCCTTGCGTCCGGTTCTCGCTGTCGGGACTGTGCGATGTCCATGACATGAAAAAGTGCAATGGGAAGCATGAAGACGGTGAACATCCTCTGAACCAGCGCGGTCTGCACCACAGAATAGAGCTCTGTCTATGGATCATCAAGGTTTATGGCCTCGCTATTCAATTGGGAGACGTAGTGGCATGGAAAGAACGGTGCGTATTGATATGCTCTGCAACAGCACTTCTGATTAACTGTGGCTTAGAGTATACTGGATGCGCTCGCTATGGGAGTGTTTTCAAACACCTTTCTTTGATCTAGGAGACCTCTCGATGTTCGATATCCATCTCACTCCGTCTTGGCCCGAGGCGCTGAAGACGCTGCGACAATGGCTGGCGCGTATCCTTTACATTCCCGTCAAGCCAGGAGACGACAGCCTGAACGCTGAAGCTCGGTTTGATTTCATCCCAACTGCCTCCCATCTCAGCTATATCGTCGACGCGATCCAGCAGCACGATACTCCGCCTGCTCATACAACTAGTGGCAGGAACGAATACTGCGACACCGGGTTCCTCATGTTCGTCAACGGATTTGATCGCTTCATACGACGCGAGAACGCGACAGTCCACTGGAAACACGTTCCAGGGGCATTCCTTTATCTGAAGTTCGTGGTCATCTGCCGTGTTCTCCTAACTTCAGTGAATGTCAACTTCGTAGATTCATGGGAGAGGGAACGACTCGAATAGAATCCGCCTTCCAGACAAACCTCATCGGACATCTAACCGAAGGCCTCGCTTCCGCGATCGTCATCACTGGTCGTTACACAAGGCGGAACTCGGAGCTCCACAATCTGGAACTTCGAAGGAGCTGGATAGTGAATCTCATGGAACTGTGGTATCCAACCACGGTCAACCGTTCTCCGCACGATTTCCCCACAAAACGGGACCTCATCAATCTCATCCCGAGGATTCTGGAAAGGGTACGGAACGCGTCTCCTACGGATGTGAAGTCGAGTGTCAAGCACCTGTGAGTATTCGTTGTCGTAACTTATATCAAGGCCTTCCAGCTGATGATGGCCGATTACGCAGAGGAACTGCACTTTATTTTCGTGAGCAGTCATTTATCGATGACTCTCCTCGTCGTCACTAAGATGGGGCCAGTGTTGCGTACGGTATCAAAGGGTTACGCCGTACAAAAGGAGGACATCGTACACATGCTACGGGGCGAAGACTGTGATTCGTTTGAGCGCGATGACTTCTGGTGCGTCCTCTGTCGTAGGATATGTGTACGCCGTTGACGAGTGGTCTAAGGTTCAATGTGACGGATTTCGTTTCCGCGCAAGGGCGAATTAGAGGGACAAATCCCGATCCAGCCAAGGCCCAGTCTTGGGACCAGATCGTCCAGATCAAGGACTCGCGGTACATCAACGACGACCCGGCTTTCACTCACAGAAACATCTGCGAGATCACATACTCCGCTGTTGACAACCTTCCTGGACTTCTCGAGATCCCAAGGCCGCTCCGGCGCTCTCGCCAAGTCTCCACGTTCCCTCAAGCATGGCTGAATGCGAGGGTATGTATTCCTCAATCTGACCCTTCCATTCTGGAGGTTGCGTCTCGCCACGATACAGTCGGCCCTGCGCCTACCCCCTACCACCTTCGGCCGGCGACTTCCGCAGAGAGTGTCCCAGATGCGTCAGCGTCCGAACTGCCATCCGTTCCTGCAGAAGAAAGCGTCCCGGTGACGTCACCAGTACTCCCCGGAGCTGTTCCAAACGCATCCACTACCGACGCCACGGGCGAGGAAAATGCGCCTGCATCAGATGTCGTTCAAGAAGAAGCAGTTGTCGATGTTTCCCCCGACGTATCAGAGGTCGCACCCGTCTCTCCGGCCATCCGGGCAGTCGACGCGGACGCCACCATCGCGGAGGAGGCTGAGCCGGATGCGGCGACCGCCGAGGCGAAGCCTAACGAGGCCGAACTGGTGATGGCAGCCGTTTTCTATGCGCACGTGTTCTCTCGCTGACAGCAAGTGCAGGAACCGATCGACTCGAAGACGGCGCCAAAACCACTGCCGTGGCAGGAGGTCTTCGACCAGTTCGCGGAGCACGCGCGCACCATGACATCCCCGGAGAACGAACACTATCGTCGCATGTGCCTCGGCCCTGCGCCTCATCTGTCCATCGCTGCACAGATAATGAAGGCTAAGCTCCTCAAGATACGCAACGCTCTAAAGAAGAAAATGAAAGAAGCCCAGGGCGAAGAGCTCGGTGCCATGAACTCGATGCTGACGAATATGAAGTTCTGCCCATCGCTTTTATCACATGACCGACGAGTGCTGACATTCGTGAATTAGTGTACTCCACAAGCAAGCCGACGAACTAATCAACAAGGTTTCCCTGGCGGCTGACGTACATCGGAATCACGACGCGGAGAAGCTCAAGGTATATGTGCTCGAGGCCGAAGCTATGCGAGTCGAGATGCAGCATGCTTTATCCAAGACGGAGACGAAGACGTGGACGGCATCCGACAGTCACATGAAACTTGCGATCGAAGGAATTGTGATAGGGGTGAGCAGCGCTACGCAGCAATTTACGCAGTAGTATTATCTCCATCGAAAGTGCTATGTACTATTTCCTTCATGTCCACATGCAGTATTGTACGCGTGTATAAACGAACGACACGGACATTGGTGTTGAGCGCTCGAGTAGCGAGATGTGCGATGCCAAGTAGCAACGATTCTCTTTAAAACGGCACTCCGAGCGCCGAAGAACGTCAAATACCTGGTCGACGAGCACATCTACGTGGACCCGATGGTCGAGATCACGCCCGCCCACGACCCGGGGCCGAACGATGTGCCCACGGGTGATCGCGACGAGGAAGCGCCGCGCTCGAGGACGGGCTTGAGACCACAGGATTGATTGCAAGCGCTATAGCGGGAGACGTCAGAGCGCGCGGAGGGACACCAGCGCGAGATCGAGGAACGGCTCTTCGCGCGGTTCAGCGAGATCCTGGCGCCTACGCTTGTGGTGAGCAGAGACGTCGCGAAGCGCCGACTGTGGCGGTCAGAGGTCTTGTCAGATCCTGTGCTTGTGGGCGCGTTGAACGCTCGTTGGCCGGTATTCCGTCGAGATGAACAGAAAATGCAATAGAATATGTGATGAATATCCGGTGCTTTTCGTGCCCAACGAAAGACTACACTTCCAAGTAGTTCAAAAACGCATAATTCAAGCGACGGACTATGGGCATCCCAAAGGAACCTCAAAGCAGGACGAGGCATTCCCGCCACCGTCAGCACAAGGAAGCGATGCCATAGGGAGGCTCACCATCGTGATCCGTTCTCGGGTCGAAGTCCGAGCACTCAATCAGCCAGGCAGAACCCGACCAGCTGTCTCCCTAGACCCACCGCAACAAGTGCTCCCTCATCAGCGCCCGAAAATGGGCTAGCGTCAGACCCACGGGTACTAACTCACGCTCCAGCCCTTCGCAGGGCTTCGCCGAGAACACGAAGCGATGGCATGGTGGAGGCGATCTCGAGGTAGCGCGAGCGGCTCGAGGAGGATACGAAGAGGACACCGGTCGACTGATAGGGTAGAGAGAGCGGGGAACAAGACGACGATCCCACCGAAGGCCGTCGGTGCACAGATAAGGCGGAGATGGTGTACCGAGGGCAACTTGACATCCGCGCCAGTAAGGAAGCGGCCGGTTGGTCTCCAGATGTGAGGCTTTGTGTGAGCAAGAACGGGGACAACGGCGGAAAGATAGAGGCGGTAGTCGTCGAACGTACCGAACCAGAGAGGCGAGTTACAGCGCGATGTGGAGGGGCCCGACGGTTAGCCGGCCCGTGTCGCCGAGTGAGCGGTCGCGGACCTTGTGCATGCCCCTGATGGCATGAATGATGATCGTTTCCAAGGCGAGGAGCCTCTAAAATTTCTCGATGTGGATGGCGGGGAGGCGGGGGACCGGAGACAGAGGGCTGCGAAGTGCGGCACATCGACGGGCTGGAAGAGGTGAAGGTGAGAATGGCGGACGGTGATGGCAGATACAGAGAAGTTGAGACGGTGAATAGATGCTTGGCGCTCGCGGGGTGCCAGAGTCATCTTCGCTTGCATCCACATCCCTGAGATTCCCTGTGTCAGAATACGCTCAGGGCGACATTGGATATGGCGAGGCGGTAAGCGATTGTGGATGCGTATGAGATCAAGGGAGCATCGGAGGGATCTTTCTGGGAGAATATCGTAAAGACCGGGGAGATGCATTTGCGTGCGTGCAGCGAAGATGGTGGGGGAGCGTCCAGGGCAAATGCGTACCATTTCAACAGCGCACAAAATCTCCTCGGGTCTATCGACGGAATGGGTGGAAGGATCAAGACTAAGGAAAGGACGTTGGGCGAGCGGGCGAGTGGCGGGAGAGAGGAAGCCGCGTTTGGGCGCTTGGTCCCATCGGGACTCTGCCGCTTCCGAGTCGGACTTGAGCTTGGACCTTGACCTCGACCTCCTCTTGATATGCTCGTTCTACGGTCAGTCGCTGGATGAGGTTTATGGTGAGTCCGATGACGTGTTCGTTTTGGTACGTTTTCCGATTCCATTCGAACGCCTGGTCATACGATGAGAGTGTTCATTAATGGGCGTGTCGTGAGCATCCATAAACTGCTCATCCTGTCGTTTTCTCAGATCTCCATTGCACGCACCAAATCTTCAAAAGCTGCAAGGCCGGCTGTTCCTCTAAAGTCTCCTTGTTTTGATCGCAACGTCGCCCCCGTTTCAACGCTCGTTTCAGGACTTCCACGTCAGGAGTATGCTCTAATGTGAGTGCTGTGGCCCCTTTCTCTTTCCATTGTTGCGGTTATCAGAGTTCCAAGATGGTCCCCACTTCCCTGCTTTCCTTCACGCGCTCTTCGCCTTCTTGGACCCCAACGATGCTATCGCGACCTCGTCCACATCCAGACCCACCTATCGCCTCACTGTACGGCCCTCGAACTTCACACGACACCCTAAATCACCGACGAGCGGGCGCGTCTGGGGGACTGGGAAACCCCGTTCAGCGTGGCGCCGCGCCTCCGGTCGCTCCACGTCGGGTTCGAACAGGGCGAGTGCGTCGTGAGCGGATATGCGGTCCATCTTTCCTTCATCCCCTCCCGCACACCCCACATCCCCTCCTGTTATCCCGCCTTGTACCCGTGCGCCGCTCCTCGTCGTGCTTGGATCGATGGCACTCGTGCTCGTCTCCCCACACCCCTCGCCCATCTCACAGCGATGCCGCGTGTCTAGCACCGCCCGGTTGGAAGACCAGCGCATAGCAGGAGTCCACCGCGTCGACCCGCTGCCCGTCCGCTCGCCACTTTTCCCCTACGCGCCCGTGTCCACTGGGTCCGACGAGGCTCCACGGGAGCGCGCGCGTCGCAGGGGCTTGAACCTAGCGGTGACGGCGGCGCGAGCACGCGAGAGCGACGTCAAGCAGCGGTGAGGTCCGGCGAGCGAGCTCATGAACCAGGGAGCGCTGAGGCGGTTCAAAGAACTAGGGATGGAGATCTCGCGCGACGAGCGGTGGTGACGGGTCGAGGGCGAGGGCGCGCGGAATTTCACTGGACCAAGACGTTCGACGGTAAGCGCTATAACCTCAAGTATGCGTGGTTGTTGATCGGTTCTGTTCACAGGATGTGGATAAGAACGCTGGCTTGAGGCGCGTATACAACCAGTGCGTGGCGCATCGCCAGAGTCAGGATTCCCCGTGCCGCGACAAGAGGCAAGTTCGGAGCGCTGGTGACTAAGAGCACATGAATCCCGGTATAAGCGGCACGGAGATAGCCAATCCCAAGATATATAAAGTCGATCCGGAATGAGATGGATGTGAGAGCGCGTGAGGCAAGAAACGGAGGGCGCACGAGAAGAACACAGGCATGCGACGTAGGGCACGCGGTCGGAACAACCGCGGGAGACGCGGCGCGGGACAGCGGCGCGTCGAGGAATGCGCGGCGCGCGGGTGCAGCCACGTCCCTGCGGTGGTCTCATATTCACACAGATACACGGGCATCGAGGAAATAGCGCCGCGCGAGGGGCTCGAAGACCTGCCCCAGAGGTGCTTGCGCGCTAGGATGATGTTGGGTGGTGGTAGAGCCTGAAACGTGACCTCCCCAACTCCACGCTGCACAGGCTGCGAGAACCCCGGAAGTCCCGGGAATCTAGAGGCGGTGGTGGTCGGACGGTCGGACGCGCGGACCTGAACCCGACGAATACCTTGACGGTGAGCGTTCAAACATAAGCGCGCATTCATCACGCGCGTTGGGCATGCGTGTCCGCTAGTATGGTTATGGAGCGAGATATCGTAGGTCCACGACGCAGCGCAAGCAGATTATTTGGGCTAGCTCATGGGGTAGCAAAAGGTGGAGGCCCCGGCCGGCCGTGTGGAGACGAAAAAGGTGCGCGACAACCAGGCGCCCTCCCTCCCTCCCTGATAATGGCCATACGGCACCCGATCCTGCCCCAGCTTCCTCTGGTCGGGGACCACCGACCGCTCGCGCTTCACGCATGCGTGCTGGGCTGGCACCATCGTGAACGACACCTCAGGCGTCCGCAGCCACAACCCAGACAGGCTCGTCGCCTCGACCTCCTCGCGCTTGATCATGAAGTCGTACGCGGCGCGCGGCTCGGCGGATCCGTCTGCGCCCGCGCGAACGCGTGCGCTTGGTGCGGCGACCGCGACCGCGACGGCTGGGGCGGCACGGAGTGGTGGTGGAGGTGCCGCACCTCGCCTCCCTCCTCCTTCCTCTCCATCTTCACGCGAGCCATGGCGGGGCCGAAGACGCCGGGATGCCCTGGGCCCAGCGCAGAAGGCATATCCATCGCGCGCGCGTGCTCAAGGTTATACACAGGCTCGGCTCGCGCCCCTCCACTTTCGGCGGACGAGGGTACGGTGCCGCGCGCGCGCGATAAGCAGGATGGTGGGCATGGTGGGCATGCGCGCGCGCGGGGTACTGCGACGTTTGCGGGGGCGCGGGATCGTGGAGGAAGCGTTCGGGGTTAGGGTCCTCTTCTGTCTCGATACCGGCCACCGGAAAGTGGGAAGACAGAGAAAGAGCGCGGGCTTCCTCGAGACGCCGCTTCTTCTCGGAGACGGGGACCACGAGCGAGCTGTATTCGTCGTGCTTGCCTCTGCATGTGTTTCGAGTGCTCCTCGGTCGTCGCCGTCTTCGAGTTCCAGCCGTGCACGACTCGCTTGTGGATGCTGAGACTCTTCCCGAGCTTGAACCGCCCAGGACATTGCCCCGCGTCGGGGACGGAGAAGGTGCAATAATGGGGCTTGGCTGTGGTGCTACATGAAGCGCCTAAGATCAGTATGAAGAACGTAAAGTGGAAGAGGGCCTACTGCTTTGCTACGAGGCGTTCGGTCACGTCCTGCTTTTGAATATTCGTATAATCGCAGTACGGGCAAGCGGAGCTGTGTGCGATAGCACCAAGAGTCAGGTGATACGAGTTAAACCAGATTATACTCACGATTCCATGCGAGGGTTCTTGATGGACCTGTTTCTTCACAAGTTGACGGGCGCCAGTGGCGGTTGCAGCCGGGGCGGTGTATAGGATGTGGACGAAATGCTGAGAGCTCTCGACCTTGGAGAAGCGATGGTGGCCATACCGTCGAGAAATACGGGCTAGAATACCCCCTGCGTGCGATAAAAGCGAAGCTGTGGACCAGAGGCACGAACCAAGCGAGCGCGACGCCGCTTTGCTCGCCCACCTCGCTCAACGGGCTGAACGGGGACACTTCCCTTTTCGGGATCGCGGCCACATCAAAGTAAAGAGCAGAGTGCGCCTCGGTAGCACTCTTCCATCGCTAAATATACCCTCGCTTCACTTTCCTTGTCCACCGTTACTTCCAAGGCTACGCTACTGTCTACACCGTCGAGACGCGCGACCGTGGCCACAGCTGCGCGACCTCAACGAGGCAGACGGTCTCGCAGAGACAAGTGCGCACGCACTTCGACATACCCAACGTAGGGTCGTGAAGCACCAGAGCTCCGAAAAATGCGTGCACACCGCCTCAGGGTGGCCAGAACAGGCAAGCCAGGCAGTCAGTCAAGGGAGAAAGGGACGGGCGTTGGGCGCTAACATCCGCTGCCCACGCGACGGACTCCGCTTTGTCGTGCGGCACTAATGAATCCAGATCTGAACGAAGAACAGTCACGACTTGAAAATTTGAGCAACGACCCCGTGAGCCTCGACGGGTCGATGCCCTCTCTTCAATGTGCGACTGAAGTCATCATTCCCAACACGCCCATTCGTACGTGAAATGACGTCCAGACAAGACACATGATTCAAATAAAGAAAGGGTGACAATGGGAGGGGATAGCTGTTGCTCGTTTGGGCCCGGTCGCCACACGGGGTGACTGAGCCACTCGAGCCACTCGAGGGGTGTGACTTGCACGGCCGAAGAGCAGCGGAACATCGCGCAAAGGACACGAGAGAAAAAAAAACTCACAACACATCCCCAAATTCGACTCCAGAGCTCGCACAGAACCCAGTGATGGAAACATGGATACCTGTATGCGGCGTGAGATGTGCACAGACCGAGACGCCCTAACGTTGACGGTTGAAGACTGGAAGTAATAGAGAGTGAAGGCTATTGTAGCGCACCTGATGTATGGAGGTTGAGAATATGACAGTGCCCGTCCGTCGATAATCACGAGGTATCCGGAAAATCGATTATCAATCTCAACGGTCATTGCGGTCGGACGAAGGAACAGGTCGCTCACCTTCCGTCGCTTGGATGGGTACTAACACGGGGGCGGCGTTGGAGACCAGCGTCGTAGCTAAACAACCGACACAACGCGGTGATGTGAGCAGACACGCCCACACCATGCGCCACGTCACCACGTGCACTCTCATGAACTGCCAATGCATCCTAGAGTGCGGCTCTTAACTCTTCATCGTCCCCTCTTCAATCGATGATGACCCACCTTCGTCATGCATCCAGGCAACGCGAGGCTGCGACGTCTCTCCGCGACCGCGAAAGTGTCAGCTGAGTCAACTACGGGCTCCGACATCGCGGTACAGCGTTCCTAAGACCGCAACCTTGTGGGGATGAGCCCGTATCATCCATGCGTCATTTGAATCGGCACCACGACACGACGGGCTTATGTTGTCCCTTGAGCCAGTTCCGAGCTGTGAGAGAAGCAAACGAACCGATTGAAAACCGCCGAGTGCTGGACTGTATGCATGCACCCACTCACCTACGTGTCATCTAAAAATATATTTCGCAGCCAGTGACGTTGCCGACGAGCAAGAGTCCAGAGGGCTTCGAACGAGACCGACTTGACCGGCGTGGCTAGAGACCGCAGTTCGGACTGGCGTGCTTCAGAGGCGGGCCGATTTGTCATCCATACGTTCGACCTGGGCCAGTGTGGGAGAGATAGGGTTAGATCGCAGGCACGACATCAACCGTGGTCTAGAAAGACAAACGCTGTGCGTTTCCTTCGATCTGCGCAGTCCCAGCGGCTGGGATCATCAGACGAATTGCTTCCACTTTCGGGGACCCTGCCACATGCTCCTCATCGGTCAGCCAGGTCGATTCAGTGTGTCCACGCAGCAAAACGCCCTTACCGGAATGTCTCCAAGTGGGAACAAAAACCGATGGCAGTCTAAGTATAGTATTTCTTTCCATTGGGACGTCGGGAGCCCGCCGTCAAGACAGACTCCAAGCATGTGTGTATGCTGCGCAGACTCGCTTTGTGACTGCGCAGAGGCGGCCTTGGTGGCCGACGTGAGTGAGGCGAGTGGGAGCAATGAATATTTGAATCGCGGGCGGAGCCGAAGCGGGCGTCGGCGTGTCTGGCATCACGCTGGCAGAAAAGCCCGTGTGAAAAGGGATGCACGTGGCTGTGTTGATCATCGTTGGTGCAGCCAGCTGCGCAGCCGGTTCTGCCTCAACCAGACTCGAATTCCAACGTTGCAATCTGCCAGCTCCCTTACGGCTACGGTTCCTTCCACTGCTGTCTGAAACATCGCAAAGTCTCGGTGACATGCCAAGTTACTGCTACTCCTTTCGGCGCGGTTACACATACTTCCTTAAACATCCTCGTTGTTCCTCATCACGGAATTTTACAGCGAATTCCGGCGCAGCATATGTTTAGGTGATCACACGGCGTCCGTGGCAATCGCAGTGGAGTGTAGAGCGCGTGTGCACCGCGCCGTTCCATGCCCGCAGAAGGTTATAAAGCTTGTGTGCTTGCAGTGACTAAAGGCATCCCTCTCCTCCTTCCATTCTTCTCCCACAGGACATTCGCGCCGCACTTTTCTTTCACTGCAACTACAAACACGATGCACATCTCGAGCTTCATTCTTGCCGCCCTCTTTGTGCTTGGAGGTAGGTTTGGCGTCCTTCGAAGGTATCAACCTGGGATGATGCTGATTGGAATATCCGCAGGGGATGCTGCCGTCGTCGAGAAGCGGCGGCCCACGTCGACTTTGGCTCCGGTATCCGGAAGCTCTTCAATTGCGACTGCGTCCATCTTCGGCACCGCTTCGGGGAGCACTGCGACCTCCGGCATTGTCACCGTCTCCGGAAGCGCCGTGTCCAGCGCCGTCGCGAGTACCGTCGCCGTCTCCGGTACCGCAGAGCCGACCACGATCGTTATCGGGAGCACGACCATCATAGGGAGCGGCCTTTCTGTGTCCGCGACCGGCGTCGTCACGTCGACCTTCGCCAGTTCCTCGGTGACACTTTCCGGCAGCCACCCCACGAGCACCATCGTTTCGTGCGCACCGGTGAACGGCCACGGTCACGGCCACTTTTTGGCCTTCGAAAGCACCTTCACCGCGTTCCCCTCGTCGAGTGCGGAGGTCTCCTCGTCCTTCGCATTCCCCTCGTCGAGTGCCGGGATTTCGTCGTCTTTCGCCTTCCCCTCGTCAAGTGCTGAGATCTCATCGTCCTTCGCCTCCTCGAGCGCCGATATCTCGTCGTCCTTCGCCTTCTCCTCGTCGAGTGCCGAAGTCTCGTCGTCGTTCACCTTCCCCTCGTCGAGTGCCGAGGTCTCATCATCCTTCTCATTCCCCTCGTCGACTGCCGGGATTTCGTCGTCTTTCGCATTCCCCTCCTCAAGTGCTGAGGTCTCATCATCCTTCGCCTCGTCGAGTGCCGACGTCTCGTCGTCCTTCATCTTCCCCTCGTCGAGCGCTGAGGTCTCATCGTCCTTCGCCTCATCCAGTGCCGAGATCTCGTCGTCCTTCGCCTTCGCCTCGTCCAGTGCCGACGTTTCGTCGTCCTTCACCTTCCCCTCATCGAGCGCTGAGGTCTCATCATCCTTCTCATTCCCCTCGTCGACTGCCGGGATTTCGTCGTCCTTCGCGTCCCCCTCGTCCAGTGCCGAAGTGTCATCGTCCTTCGCCTCGTCGAGTGCCGAGGTCTCTTCGTCCTTCGCCTTTTCCTCCTCCGTGGCCGTATCGTCCGTCGCGGAGTCCACTTCGGGAACATTCGTCGGCTCCTCATCCTTCGCCTCCGGCACCTTCGCAACCGGCGTCTTCAGCAGCAGCGTCGTCGCTCCGATCACCGCCTTCTGAGCACTCCCATCGGATACCATCGGACGTGCTGTGAGGTCGGACGCAGGGGCGCGAGGAGAGGAAAGGAGGAGTTGAGGCGAGGGTAGCCGGGACGGATTGTTTCGGTCATGGACATTGCGGTTTGATTCTGACGTTTGATTGTGCGGATGGACAGTAGTATCGGGTTGATTATCTTGGCAATACTTTATAACGTCTTTAGACACACTTGGAACGGGTGACCCGAGTCGATCCTGAGGATGCGCTGTTTGTTGCTGTCCAAGTCCGTGCATCGAGTATAGCTGACGCGCAGAAACAAGAATTCGAGATCAGGGCCTATTCCACGGCATAGCGACACTGTCCCGGGTCGGTGCGGGGGGCTCTCGGATGAGGTGACAAAGGTGCTCACCATTCGTCGTCGTCGTCGTCCAGTCGAAGCACAGCACGCACTCTCCTCACGTCGCAACGAGATTGCGATAGCGTTCCGCGCCCACGCTGCGTCGATCCGCCCACACCGCCGATACTTCAATCCTTCGTGGTCCGCACTCCAAGCAACCCTCGAGGCCATTGTCGTAGTGCCGGTACGGCTGCGCGTCAGAGCGCCCGGCACGACCCTGTACTTGAACGTGGGACTCGCAAGAACGCGGAGCGTAGGGATCGTCCGCGCGAGCTCAGAAGGGGGCAGTTCGAGGAAGGCGAGGTGGCCCACTCCTGCACAGCGCGACCTGTCGGCCTCGCAGGCTTCGCCGATGCTGTAGGGGTCGTGGCTAGACTAGACGTTGAGGTGGAGGTGGAGTGAGAGGACGGCCGGACGGACGGACGGTAAGAAGCCAAAGAGAGCCTTCTGGAGGCAGCAAAGAGATGTTTCGGAGAGAAGCACGCTTGAGGAGTGTGGGGAGACTGAAGTCGCGCTTCACAGCATCGATGTCGGCGAGCATAGCTGCAATGTCGCGGCGCGCAAGTCCGCCAGTGAATTCGGGACCTTCCACCCCCCTTCTAATTCGGTTGATCATGGGACGGGTTTGGCGTCGGACTTTTTGGGCACAACGGACTGGGTGGCCCGAAAGAACGGCCCGAAAAGTGCGTGCTCCACATATGCCCATGACGCTTCCTCGTGCGTGCGCTCCTCGTGCGTGCGCAGGAGAACCAGCAGGTCGAGGTATTCTGGAGCACCTTTAGCGACACGGTGGGGTTAGGGCCATCGAACAGGAGAGGAAAGAGGACTAGGAAGAGTTCAGATTCAGCCACTTTCCCGCGCGGGCGTCTGGGTGCTCCAGCCAACCCGAGCGAGGTGACGCCGCGGTCGACGGCGAGATTCAAGCAGGCAGCTGACCCGCTCTCGTACGTCGTGGTCGCATTCGGCATCGGAGAGGTTGACAGAAGAAAGTGATGGAATTTCGTGCTAGATAATTACATTAACAACATATAGGATGCATCAACGCACCTCGGGTTGCACCCGGTCCGCGTAATTCATTGACGCGATCTTGAGACGCGTACGGTAATAGGTGTCCATCTTGCTGCGACGGAAACAGCGAGATGAGACGTAGACAAGTCTCCTTCACCCGCGACTCCTCAACCAACCCTATGCGTACATCGGAACACGTTCCTCTGAAGCAGCCAAAGTGAACAGTGCTCATTGCCCTAGCACAAACGCGGATTGAGGGCGCATATAACCTCAGAGAGCGCCGAGTTACGTACCGACACGTCGATTTCAGTTCTCTATCGGCCCCTTGAACGGACTCTGCTTGCGATCCCGCCTTACCGTGTCTTCGCCGAACAGCAGCAAATGCCTGTTCGCCCACCGCTTCTTGTGCTATGCATGCTATCGGCATTGGGTGCCTGACATGCATGACAGTATATGTGTAGCGAATGAGGATGGCATTGCTATCCAGTTCATAGCCTACTACATGGCGTAGCGACTCGTGCTGCAGAAGACCCTATGAAAATGCTGGGTCGACCCACAAAACTCACGCAGAAAGGCAACGAGAAAGCACTCACCATTCAGACTCGCAGCCAACTCGAAACCCGCGATCTCGTCCGGCTCGTGTACCCCTCCTCAGACCTTCTCCCGCCAGATAGCGAGCACGGTCGTACCTGAGTGCGCTCGACCCACCCGCACCGCCGGTCCCGCGACGCCGTTCTCCCGCGCCGTCATCCGTAGCCTCTCCTGCCCCAAAGTCTATAAGTGCTTCCGCCGTCTACACGCGTCGTCTACCCAGCCGTGTTCGTAGTTATCCGGGGAGTCTTTGCAGTGGCCCGGAAAGCACCGGTCGTCCGAACCTTGGGCACGGAGCCTGTCAGTGTCGCAACAGGCCATACATAGCAGTACATGATATGCATAAATCCCTGTTAGAGCGCCCCGGGCTTATGCATATTGTGAATTATGCATACGCGAATATATGCATAAACATTAGTGAATGCATACAACTGTAGAGGCGTCAATGTCCGTAAACAAAACAACGCAATGGGGAATCGAACACCCAACCCAACCCAAAAGGGGGAGGTGGGAGGCAATTCTACCACTGCGCCATGAGTCCATTAAAACGGCTCATATGTTTCTTTATATGTACTGTTATATTTCTCAATACGTCGACTTAATGTACTCCCGTCCTCCCCAGCTGACCATCCTCTCTCAAAAGTGGGTAATGCAAGATGCCCACTATGATCTCCCGCCCATGTCCAATGGATATCAGCTCACCTGTGCAGCACATAATATATCATTTGCTTCCTGTAGAGGCGTAAGTGACTATGCCGATGACACAAGTAAGTTTATGCATACAGCGCGTTTATGCATACAATTTGTTTATGCATACAACGTGTTCATGCATACGGCCGGTTTATGCATACAGCCGGTTTATGCATACAGCCCGATTATGCATGCAGCGTGATTATGCATACGGCGCATTTATGCATACGCCCCATTTATGCATAAACGGTGCGTATGCATAAACAGTTCATATGGGTAAACACAGTGTATACCAGTGGGGCAAGACGACAGTCATCAGCCTCAGGGCCGAGTCCACGGCGGTGAAGGCGACAATGGACATAGAGGGCTGGTGTAAGCATAGAAATGGGGAATCCGGGATATGACGCATTGCGGGGAAAGCGAACGCGAAGAGAGTTGGATCGCGGGAACACGAGGTGCGCGAGGAGGTCAGAATGGATGAGACCGAGGAGGATGACGAGCGCGAGTGCGACACCAAGGGCAAAGGTGACACCAAGGGCGAAGGGGAATGACCGGTGCGTCTAGATCGATGCATCGCATAGGGCTGCTGTATCGATCCTAGGTGAACGCAGGCAGATTGCGATGGGCGTGTGCGAGGTGGGACGGACAATGTGCGCGGAAAACGTGTGCGAGGACGACATGGATGGGAGCCAGGCGGAGGCGCGTAGCCACTAGCGTGGTCAGGTGGTCGAGGGACGATGAGTGGACGTGAGTCGTAGAGAATGGAGCAACGTGACGCTACGAGGACGTGGCAGGAGCTGAGAGAGAGCCCTGGCGTCGATTCCTGGTGTGTGCTCCGAGAAAAGCGGGATGTGATCGACCCGCACGTCATCCAGGCACTGCGGGGGGTGGCTGTGCTCGAGGAACACCTCCGCGCATGGTCCCTGGCCAGCGCACACCCTTCCGCCTCACTCGGCCGTCCCGGCCTGCGCGGTGAGTGTGAGGTGCGTACTCACCGTGTCCGGCCTCGTCATCACACCCATGACCGGTAGACGCACACACCAGGAATTGACACCAGGGCTCTCTCTCAGCTCCTGCGTCCTCGCAGCGTCACGTTGCTCCATTCTCTACGACTCACGTCCACTCATCGTCCCTCGACCACCTGACCACACTAGTGGCTACGCGCCTCCGCCTGGCTCCCATCCATGTCGTCCTCACGCACGTTTTCCACGCACATTGTCCGTCCCACCTCGCACACGCCCATCACGATCCGCCCGTGTTCACCTAGGATCAATACGGCAGCCCTATGCGACACATCGATCTAGACGCACCGCGCGTTCCCCTTCGCCCTCGATCTCGCACTCGCACTCATCATCCTCCTCGGTCTCGTCTATTCTGACCTCCTCAAGTACCTCGCGTTCCCGCGATCCAACTCTCTTCACGTTCGCTTTCCCCGCAAATCTTGCTTCACCCCAGATTCCTCATTTCTATGCTTACACCAGCCCACTATCTCGCCTTCACCTCCATGGACTCGGACCTGGAGTTGACGGTACATCACTGTCATCTTGCCCCACCAATACACGCTGTGTTTACCCATATGAAGTGTTTACCCATATGAAGTGTTTATGCATAAACGGGACGTATGCATAAATGCGCTGTATGCATAAATGCGCCGTATGCATAATCACGCCGCATGCATAAACCGGCTGTATGCATAAGCCAGCCGTATGCATAATCGGGCTGTATGCATAAACCGGCCGTATGCATAAACCAGCCGTATGCATGAACACGTTGTATGCATAAATGGGGTGTATGCATAAACCGGATGTATGTATAAACACAATCTTAGACATAGGTAGGCATCCCGAGGAGAGGGTGAGTATGCAAGCAGTGTTGAGAAGTATGACTGGACTGTGATGAACGACGAGTTCAACAAAAGCCTTGTGTTTATGTCAGTATTGAAGAGAGTATACTATCTACTGTAAGCAACGCACAAACAGCATGGAACATTGGCGTAGTGGTCTGTTGTGTCGTATGTGTACAATGTCAAGAGGCTGTGGGTTCGATTCACGTGGCTGTCCTTTTGTTTACGGATATTGACGCTCTTACAGCTGTATGCATACTTCAATGTTTATGCATATATCTGTGTATGCATAAGGTACGGTATGCATAAACCCGGGGCACTCTAACAGGGATTTATGCATAACCTGTACTGAGGCGGCTCCAACAGGCGGGCACGAGGGGCCACGACAAGAGGACGAGGATGCGACGTGTGGGGAAGGGTACGCACCAGGCGACGAGGATGACCTGGGGGAAGGCGACGCGGTACTTTTAGGTGTCGCGGGCCTCGCGGAGAGCCATCCGGTTACCGCGGGCGACCTGGAAGTTGAACTGGAGGTGCGGTAAAGACTGAGCGGAAGCTTCTGTGGGTAACGACGGCTTGTCTCGGAAACAGAAAGATTTTAGGTTGAGACGAGCTTCACGCAATCTTGCAGAAGGAACTCCTGGGTCATTCTGTTATGAAGACAAGATAAAGCGAGGAGTCGAAGCAGAGGACGACGATAACGACGCACCTGAATGTTGGTGTGCCCCTATCCAGCGACTCAAGCCTGAATTCATCCGGGACCAACTTGAAATAGATGGCCCTTTTTTGAACAAGTGTGCATGGTGAAGATGGGAGGGGAGCGAGGGCGACGACGAAAGAGGTCAAGGCCATGAGATGGGAGCTCTAGAGGAAGAAACATGAACGCGCGCCATGCCAGGCCAAGCTGCTCGCCGATTTGGGAGCGCGCGCGGCCTTGCTACACAACCCGTGACGAGCGCAACTGACACCTATCCAATATTTCCAGTCCTCCGAGAGAATTTCAGACGGCTCACAGACACCGCGCAAGTCCGCGTCTCGTCCCAGTCGTCAATACTGCTGTGGTATGACATTTCTATCACCTCCCTTCTTCGTTTATCTTATCTTATATTATCTTATCTGTATTGCCTTTCTTCGTCTTTTGCATCACATTTGTAATGGTTCATAATACGCGGTCTATCGGCTTTGCTATCAGGTCTATGGTCTTTGTTCTTTGTTCTTTGCTACTCAGTATTAAGTCTGGCCCTATTCAATGCTGTCGGTGTCGTTCCTGCTCCCCTCATCATCTGTCCACCAAACACCACGAAGATGGCTCTCATCTCCCTCCTCTCTCTCAATGACGACGTCCTTTTCGAAATCTTCTCCTTGCTGAACAGCAGAGAGGCACTCGCAGTCTCCTTCACATCCAAACGGGCCTATCGATTTGCCATCTGCCGCGCACTCGCCAGCGTGTATTGGACATACAAGAACGATGTCGACGACGGATCTGAAGCCGACGCATTTTGGGAGCACATGCGTGTGCCTGAACCGGTTTCTCAGGTTCCCCGTATCCGACATCTCCGGCACCTCGTCCTGGGAGATTTTGGAGAGCACGATATACCTTCTCTGTGTGCAATCCTCCTCCAAGCCTCCAACCTCCGCACCATCGAGATCAGCCTCCTAGAGGACTTCCTCGACTATTTTATTCCGGCGTTGGGCGCGTTGCACCTCCTCGAGAAGGCTTGCCTGTTGGAGATTGGCCCCAGAACGATTCCCGCCCTGCCGGCCATGTTCTCATGTTCCAACCTCGCGTCCTTAACACTCAACTTCGACACATACTATTTGGCCCCGCCAGCCGACGATGTCGATCTCACAGCCCTTGTATCTTTCCTCGTCTCCATGCCGAAGATACAGACTCTGTCGATCGATATCGACAAAGCGCTCGCAGTGCTACCCAACACCCCCAGTCGCCTCAGGCTTCCCTCGGTCCGCCACCTCTCCCTCTGGTGCGAGCCACAGGTGCCCGAGAGCATCGTGCCACTGTGCCCGAATCTTGTCACACTTTCACTTTTTCTGTATTACGAAGATGACCGCCCTGTGACATTTTCCATAGCCGCGGACGACCGGCGGCCCGTCGTGCTCAAGGAGCTCAACTTATCACACGTCAAGATTGCAGAAGACACCCTGCGACGCATGGGACACGTCCACTCACTGGTGGTGGGAGGCTTGGGACGGTCATTATCCAGCTCAGAATTCCACGACCTCCCCCCGCTGCTCGAAGCGGTCCAGCCCTTCGCTCTCCACCTGCTCACACCCGAGCCTGCTCTGACCGAACCGGAGCGCACATGGAGGCCCTTGGTCAGCGCGGCGCGCCAGCTCCGCTCCCTGGAAGTCACCGCCCACGGGTACGCCAGCCCCGCCAACGTGCGCGACCACCTGGTGCGTCCGCTCGCTCCACGTCCACCCGGCGCTGCTGACGTCCGAGTCCTCTCCGCGTCGCGCGCCCACGCAGGAGCCGCTCCTCGCCGCGCTGCAGTCCTCGCCGTCGCTCGTGTTAAAGTTATGGAGCTTGCGGGGCGAGGCGACAGAACTATGTAGACGCGTTAGGCGTCGGTCTCACGCGTTCGGGACAAGAACGAGTAAGTGGATTAATGCTAACCTATGTAGACGCGTTAGGCGTCGGTCTACGAGGTAGCGTGAGTGACGAGTAAAAAGGGATAAGTGAGTACAGTGTAGCTTACCTCACGCGTTCGGGACAAGAACGAGTGAGGAGAAGCGCCGGGGCGATACGGGGAAGATACGGATCGAGAAAATAAACTGCGGGTCACGGGGGTATGGCGCGATGCGTGGATCCGGGGACCGGCAGGTAAGTGTAAGAGGAGGCTAAATAAAGAAGGCGATATGCCTCGGTGCGTAGCCTCGAGGCACGCGGCCCATGTGCCCGGGCCGCGCGAGCACGAGCTTTGACCAGACATGTATCGTAACGGAACATACAGTAGAGAGTCCGTGCATAAATCTGACACGCCCCCTCAAAGCGAATGCATACCAATAAACCCGCTGAGGTGAGAGATCTTGGTGCGCGTGAGCGCCTTGGTGAACATGTCGGCGGGCATGTCCTCAGTGCGACGATGGATGAGGGCGATGTCGCCGCGCTCCACAGCCTCGCGAATGAAGTGGAATCGAATGGCGATGTGCTTGGTGCGACCGTGGTACGTGTTGTTGTGCGCGAGCTCGATGGCGGAGCGGTTGTCGGTGTGGAGGATGGTGGCAGAGCGCGCGAGGTCCGGGTGCACCAGCTCGGCGAGGAGGTACTTGAACCAGATGGCCTCCTTCGCCGCATGGGTGACTCCAATGTACTCGGCCTCGGTAGAAGACAGCGCGACGACGCTCTGCTTCTTTGCGGACCAAGACACTGCACCGCCGCAGTAGGTGAACACGTACCCGCAGATGGAGTGCCGTGCGTCGTCCGACGTGCCCCAGTCGGCGTCCGAGAAACCCAGCAGTCCGCCCCCATCCTTCCTAAAGACCAACCACGTCTCCCGAGTGCCCTTCAGGTAGCGCACGACGCGCTTAAAGGCCTCCCAGTGGGCGCGCCCCGGGTTGCTCATGTACTGCGCGAGTCGGCTGACAGCGAACATGATGTCCGGTCGAGTGCCCAGCGCAATGTACATGAGCGATCCAACTCCCTCACGGTACGGGACGTTGAACATGTCCTCGATTTCGGCAGGAGTACGAGGGCATTGGTCGCGAGACAGAGCGACTCCGGGTGCGAGGGGAGTGTTGACCGGGTGCGCGTCCTGGAGGTTGAACTTCTCGACCACCGCGTCAATCGCCAGGCGCTGGGACATGCGCAGGTCTCCGGCTTTGGGCTTGTAGTCGATCTCGAACCCCAGCATCCAGGCGACGCGGCCGAGGTCCTTGACCTGATAGCGCGCTTTGATGCCCGTGCGGAACTGCGCGAGGTAGTTGTTGGTCCCGGTGGAGCCCATGTCGTCGACGGCCGTCCCGACGTACAAGCGGTTCTCCTCATCGCGGCGATAGAAGACGGCGTGGTCAGCCTCAGAGCGCTTGAGACCTAGGTCGCGCATCGACTGGGAGAGGTTGAGGTGCCAGTTGCGGCCCGCTTGTTTGAGGCCGTACAGGGACTTCTTCAGGAGACACACAAGGTGCTCCTCGCCGGGCTTGGCTGTGCCGGGGGGCTGGCGCATATAGATGGTCTCGTCGATCTCGCCGTTGAGGTACGCGCTCTTGACGTCCATCTGGATGATGTCCCAGCCGTTTTGGACGGCCAGCGCGAAGATGAGGCGGAGGGATGAGAGCTTGGCCACGGGTGCGAACGTATCGCCGTATTCGGTGGGGGTTTGGCTGAATCCTTTTGCGACGCAGCGGGCCTTGCGCTGTATGACGGTGCCGTCGGCATCCCGCTTGGTGCGGAAGACGAACTTGGAGCCTATGACGTGTGCGCCAGGGGGAGGCTCTACGAGCTCGAAGGTGCCGTGCTCGTGGAGGTTCCGCATCTCCTCTTCGATGGCGGCCTGCCATTCAGAGGCGTGCGGTGAGTCGAGGGCCTCTTTGAGTGTTGACGGGTCTGCTGAGAGCGAGACACTGGCTGGCATGGCGTACGCGAAGTCGGGGGGATGCGGGACGTCGAAGTCGTCGTCTGACTCGTCGGGTATGAGTGTCGGCATGTCGTCGTAGTTAGTGACGTCAACCCATGTCGTGTCCTCCGGGTTGTCATCCATCTCGATGTCGCCCATGTAGTCCTCCGGTCCCGTGCCTGCGGGGAAGCGGACGTGCGTGGGGTCGTCCAGGGCAGTGGTGTCCTGGGTTGCGCGTGATTCAGTGTTGCCCATGAGTGCTTTTCCTCGGAGTCCACGAGTGGGTCTGCCGTTCGCTGAGCCTTCTCCGGCTGCGATGCGCCTGAGTAAGGCGGAAGGCTTACGAATACGGTGGCCTCTTCCCAGTAGCTCTTCGGTGGGAGCTTGCTCGATGAGGTTCTCCTGTAGGGGGTCTTCGACCGCTTCCTCGTCGCCAGGGGTGTCGTTCGGAGCAGGAGTCTCGGGGGAGTTGGGTGCAGAAGGGGGATTGTCGACGGTGGAGGGAGTAGTTGCGGAAGGGGATGCGTTGAGAGGGACATCCGTGCGTGCAGCGCCTGTCGCCCCCTCCCTTGAAACGCCCTCGTCCGCGTCAAACGTGATCGATTGCTCGGATAGGGGAGAGCGATCGTCCCACATGATGCTGCGCTCCGTCGTGACGGCACGCCGCTCTGGCCAGTAGACGAGGATGGCATCCTTGTGTTGCTCGCTGAACCCAACGAAACGGCCGACAGCTCCACGCGGAGCAAGCTTGGCGGTGTTGTCCTTTTTCGCCCACACCTTCGTTCCCCACGCGCGCAGGTGACTGACGTCTGGGGGTGATCCGAACCTCTTCTCGAACGGGGATGTGCCGTCTAGGGCGGACGTCGGAGTGCGATTAGTGAGGTAGATTGCATGCTTGTAGGCATACGGCCAGAGCCCTTGCGGCAGCTCCGCGTCGAGAAGCATCGCTCGGGTGCGATCCGCGATGATGCGATGACTCCGTTCGGCAAGTCCATTCTGTTCAGGTGTGCGAGGGACGGAGGTGCTGAAGTGGGTGCCGCGTTCCCTGAGGTAGTCTTGGAGCTCGGCGCCAGTGAACTCGCCCCCTTCGTCTGAATGCAACCACTTGATGCGTGTGCCGTGCTGGGTCTCGGCCGCGCGGTCGAGTGCCTTGTAGCTTGCTGCGGCTTCGCTCTTTGACTTGTAGACGAAGCCGTGTCGCCACCGAGTGGCGGAGTCGGCGAACATGCAAGCGTAGCGGTTCTGCCCTAGGAGGGACAACACGCCAGGCTCCCAGGTGTCGGCATTCAAGCGGTCGCCGTAGGCTTTCACTTCGATCCCGAGATCTTTCGCCCCCTGTCCGTCGGCTACGTCAGGGATGGGTGCGCGTGTGATTTTGGCCCGCACGCAGACGTCGCACTTGTCACGCGTGCACCCGTCGACGAGCTTGATTCCCGCTACCTTCCCTCCCCGTACCATGTCGCGCGCCTTGGTGAGTGATATATGGCCCATCACTCTGTGGAATTCAAGGTCGTTCAGCAGACGCTTCGCGTTCTCATCTCCGGAGGCGGCCAGTGCGAGACAGCCGTCAACGTTGGCACTGACAACCTGGTACAGGCCGCCGTGCGCAGGGATTTGGCCGACAACGCTGGAGGACGGGCGATGGAGGAGGGTGAGGGAGCCGTCTGCGATGGTGGATGTGAACCCACGCTCGTCGGCACGACGGAGGGAGACAAGGGTGAAGGCGGCATCAGGTACGTGCAGCACCTTTTCGAGGGTGATGGTTGTGGTCTTTCCGGGGCCATTTGGTACTTCGATGCTCATAGCACCTTCGCCTACGACGCTGATCTTCGCGCCGTTCGCGGTGGTGATGTGGTGAGGTCGATCCAGCTTGGAGTACTGTGAGAACCGTTCGAGGTGCGGGGAGATGTGGCTTGATGCGCCGCTGTCGAAGACGTCGACGTAGAGGTGCGTCCGGCGCGCCTTGTTCGTGGTCAGCGCGCTCACGTCCTCGTTGATCCCCTCGCCCGCGAGCATACACAGCTCGGTGGACTCGATTGCGGCCGCGTTCGCAGACGCGCCGCCTCCCAACATGCCCCCACCTCGGCCCTGTCCCTTCGGGCCCTGTCCTTCTTTCCCGCCGCCTTTCCGCCAACAGTTCGCCTTGATATGTCCGATGCGATGGCAGTTGTGGCACTCCGGGCGCCCACCTGAGTTGCTGGTGGCGAGAGCGCTGTCGCCGCCGCCAGAAGGGGAGAGGAGGATGCGCCGGTCGTACTCCTCCTGGAGTCGAAGGATTATCCTATCGAGCGGGATGGCGCCTTCAGTCATCGAGGCATAGTCGAGGAGTGACTGGATGCGCGTCTGATAGTCCTCCGCGACGCTGGCCGTGATGATCGAGACGAACTCCTCGTCCGACATGGTCCCCCCAGACGCGGCGAGGTCTTGCCGGTCATGGACGAGCTCCGTGAGGTGAGTTCGAAGGTCTCCTCCTTCTGCACACTTGCGGCGAGCCATGCGCGTGCGGATGGCGACGACGTAGATGGCTGACTTGTTCTCACAGGTGTTGACAACCGCCCTCCACGCATCTCGCGCCGGGGAGATCTTGTTGACTTTGTAGAAGACGTCCTCGGGCAGGGTCTGGAATAGGATCGACATGATGGTCGCTTCCTTCGCCTTCCACGCTTCGTACTTGGTATACGCGTCGTCCACAGCTTTGTCATACGCAGTGTCGTCTAGGTGAGTGTGCTCATCTGTCTCCGGGGCAGGGTGTTGACTCGGGTCCTTGTCATGCTTCTCCGTCGCTTCAATGACTTCGGTCGACGTCATGTGGGGTAGGATGCGGTCGACAGGAGGGGGATATGGGGGTTGGCGAGCATATCCATCGATGTGACGGGTGAGGGACTTGGCGGCAAGGACAGTGAGGAACTTGTCGCGGTACGATACCCAGTTCGACTTGTCGGAGTTGAGCATGGGGACACCGTACTTTAGAGCGTTGAGCGGTTCGATTGCGGACATGGTTGTGTAGGTTGGCGGGATTGTTGTATGGTTTTCAGAGTTCGGAAGCAGGGCTCATAACCTGTTAAAGTTATGGAGCTTGCGGGGCGAGGCGACAGAACTATGTAGACGCGTTAGGCGTCGGTCTCACGCGTTCGGGACAAGAACGAGTAAGTGGATTAATGCTAACCTATGTAGACGCGTTAGGCGTCGGTCTACGAGGTAGCGTGAGTGACGAGTAAAAAGGGATAAGTGAGTACAGTGTAGCTTACCTCACGCGTTCGGGACAAGAACGAGTGAGGAGAAGCGCCGGGGCGATACGGGGAAGATACGGATCGAGAAAATAAACTGCGGGTCACGGGGGTATGGCGCGATGCGTGGATCCGGGGACCGGCAGGTAAGTGTAAGAGGAGGCTAAATAAAGAAGGCGATATGCCTCGGTGCGTAGCCTCGAGGCACGCGGCCCATGTGCCCGGGCCGCGCGAGCACGAGCTTTGACCAGACATGTATCGTAACGGAACATACAGTAGAGAGTCCGTGCATAAATCTGACAGCTCGTCCACCTCACCCTCGACTTCCGGCCCGCGTTCATGGCGTGGCCCACAGCGGCGAGCATGGCCGCGGTCGACGGCCTGCGCGAGGCCGAAGTCCGCCGCGTCGAGGCGCTGCTCGCGCTCCCCCCAGCCCTCGCGCGCGCCATCCCGTCGCTCCGCCTCCTCGCGCTCCGCTCCTGCCGCCCCGGGACGACCGGGTTCGACGACGCGCGCGAGCGCAGGAAGAGGATGAGCACGCCGGGCGTGTGCCCCGCGCTCACGGCGGAGCTCGCGTGGGAGGACGACGTCGAGCGGGTGTGGGGGCCGACGAGCGTGTGCGTCCGCCCGGCGCTGCGGCGGCTCAACGCGCTCCGGAAGGAGGTCCCGCGCGACGAGCGGTGGTAGTGGGTCGAGGGCGAGGGCGCGGCGCGGACGCCGGTGGAGATCTGGCGGGAGGACGGCGAGCGGGGGCGCGAGATCGTCCGACGAGCGGATTTTAACAAGAGGAGCATCGATGGTGAGCGTTCCTCGCGTGAGAGCTGTTTACGCGGATGCTAATCAGGCCTGGGTTTTGTAGGTTTCTTCTCGGCCAAGTGCCGCTATGAACATTAGCGTGAACGGCGCTATACAATCGTATGTTGCTATATGTATGTAGCCGATGCTCAGTGGAGCGAAGTATCTGCACACATTCCGTAACCCGTATTTACCGCCTCAATCGCTGCTACGCTTCCTTTCGTCGCGGGCCATGACTTCGTCAGCAGGGCTGGGATCGATGGTACATCGGAGGCACCTCGATCGCGGCAACGTTCCAAACAATCAAAAGGGTACGTTTCTGTCTCCACCTCCACACGCGGCTTCTGAACGCGACGCGCAGGCCCCAGCTCATCTCAGAAATCAGCCCCGTCAAGGGCGTGCTGAGCACGTCGTCTCTATAGGCCTACCGCAGTGCGTCCTCCGGGGGCGCATTCGCGCGCACCTCGACGCGCCCTCGCGCCATCTGTCCCGCCGTAGCCCAGGATCGAAATTCTAACGTCTAGACGAGTCAATGACAGTGGCGCGAGCACCGGGCCGCCGCGGTACGAGGACACAGGGCATCATCCTCCAAAAGGGTCAGCGAAAACTCGAGTCGCGCTTGAGGGCGATTCGAATGAGTGACCGCTCGACGATGTCGCTATCTAATCTTATCTGATGGAGCGCTTACACAATCAGGCGCAAAATGGACCACGCGACGTCTACGCTCACCGTCTTTTTCCTTGTTCTGTTCGCGGTTCACCCAGTCTCCTCTCATCACGGCAGCCTTTCTGCACCGTCTCTCTGTCGGTTCAAGACTTTTCCGAGATGGGGGACTTGGTGCACGTTCACTGGTGCACACTGCGGGAACAGGACTTGAAGGACAAACGGGCATGCCACGGCTTCCCGAAGAACGAGTCGGTGACGTAGTCCGCGTCCCAGCTGCAGAGGAATTACCGCGGCAGACAGTGTGACTGCACAGCGTTTCTCAGGACCAGGGACGGTGGTGTATTGGCGGGCGTCGCGGAGCGCGGCTCGTGGTCGAAAGGCGTAGAGGAAGTGCAAGGAGTTCGACTCGGCGATGGCTACGAACGGTGAGTGCTCTCTTCTGACCCTCTGCGCGACCTCTCTGTACTCGATCTGGACGTTCACGGGGCTATTTTCTGGGGTAGCTTTGTGCTAGGAGGAGACCAGCACGCCACCGACGTCTCTGCGCCGCAGTTCCGTTCGCTCGAAGGTGTGGACAGAGACAGCGACTGGAACGTACGCGAGTACATGGTATGATCATATTCAGACTCCCCTCCGCGTCCCACCTTCCGCGCGTTTATCTTCATCGTACCGCCGGAGCTGCTGCTTGCTGCGATGAAGTCTACGCAGCTCGGCCCCCACGACGGGCCAGTCACCGACTTCATGTATGCTGGACGCGCATCCGCGGGCGGGCGGGATGGAAGCCCGCCGCGCTCACTTTCGGTGCGGCCCATTTGAGCCATACGGTCGCCCTGCTTCGCCACGTTCTCCGTCGCTCCCGTCATCGTGCTCTCACCATGCCGGCTTAGGGCCACCAGTGTCGGCGCGCGGGAGCTTTTGGACGTGCCCATGGCGTTGGTTACGGAGCTCGAGCGTGAAGACAAGATCCCAAGTCGGTGTGGCCCGCGAACGTGCGTGGCGGAAGGTCGGGAGCCCCGGAGGACGTGGTGCCGCTTTGCGCTCCCTTCTCCCCGTTCTCTATACAATGCTCTTCGTCCACGACGACGCGCGGTAGGATGCCCTCCCTGCGTTCGTGCTCGGCTCGCTAAAGGCACTCCAGCGCACGGGCCACCTCGATCAGCTGAACCTTCTCACCAATCGATCGGCAAGTACAATGCCGTGGGCCAGAGCTTATGTCGAAGTTCTTTGCTCCTCTTCAGCAGGCCATCTGGCCGGCCGCGCTCCAGACACACCATCGGCGTGTGGTTTCCCTCCAAAAGGGGGCTCGAGGAGGACCACAACTTGAGACCCCGGTTGTACGCTCCCAGGGCGGCAATTGCGCTTCCTCGACATCATCATCAAGCATCGCCGTAAGTCCTTGCCTCATCCGTTTCTGAAACACATCTCTGCCACCTGTCTTCGTCGCGCTAACCTCCCCACACGACAGACTGCGCGTGGCTGAAGTCTGCCGCATCGCTCTCGTCCACCACTTCCCCGCTGAGCTTGCGCGTATCGTGATGCATCCCCGCGCGGGCGCTCAGCTGCGACGACGTCTCGGATGGCGATGACTGTACGTGGTCTGGGGACGAGGCGGGGACGCAGATGCGGAGCGCGGTAGAGAGCTGGAGGGACGACGTGGACACCGCACGTGAACTCGTCGAGGGTGGCCATTTGACACGGCGACAACGCCGACTGGTGAGTACATCAGGAAAAAATGACCTGTCTCGGGAGTGCTCCCGAGGCTCGAGAGCAGTTCGAGCACGGCGAGACAAGTCCCCTTCTCTCGAGGCACGCGAGCTTGGCAGGGCGCCTCGCGGGCGCTCGGGAGACACAGCCGCCTGCTCGCCGAGCACTCCGGAGCAGCCTCGAGTTTCGTCTCGAGAGTGCTCGAGAGGCATCTTGGGCATGGGACGCACTCCCGATATTGCTCATATCCTGGGTCTGTTTCTCTCCGCTGCCAGATATGCATCGAAAGAAAATATATTGATCAAGTATATGTAATAATACAGTCCAGCTCTCTATATCTACAATACATGTGTCGACCCACCGTGTCTGCCAATCGACAATGGCGAGGTCATCGAGGCGGACCACGCGGTCTGCACCAAGCACCCACTCACCCAGTGGGCGCGTCACGGCGAGTGCATCAAGCTCTGCAGACGAGAGCGGAGAGGCGCGAGACGGTCAATGGTGCTTGGCAATCGGAGTGCCGAGGGAGGGGGCCTTGCTACCACTGCGCTCGAGGGGGAGGAGAATGCGGTCCTGCTGGCGAACTGGGGTGCAGAGCCGAGCGTGGAGAGTTATCAGTGGGCACCGTGTGTGCGCAGCAGAAGAGAAAATACTCACGATAAAATGGACAGTATAATGCGCAGGGCAAACCACAAGCACCAGCATCGAAAGACGGGGCTCCAGAAGAGCCAGGTGGAGAGGTGGAGTGACGGAGAGCTTGACGGTCTCGCAACACACATGAAAACTGTCAGGTCTGGGCCTACTGCTTATAAAAGCCTTGACGTACCATCATCCCTATCCAAACATTCCCCACCCAGTGGGCTTCGAGAGCAGTGGTACACCGCGCGCGTACGACTGTAAAGCTATTGCCAAATAGTAGATACAATGAGATCCGGCAGACGGCGCACAGATGGGAAAGGACACACCGTATTCAACGCCTCCTGCGCGGCGAAGATGAGAGACCCAGGAGGCGCGTGAGCCGCTGTGTCCTGCCCGCGCCGGGGACGATCCCGAGCCTGACCTCGGGCGGCCCGATCTTCGTCACGGCGTGTCCTGGGGCGTGGACGGATGAGCGACTGTCCGCAAGCGAAGCCTCGGGAGCACGGGCGTTCACCTGCGATGCGCAAGTCGCACGCGAGCCCGAGCTCGAGGCCGCCGCCGAGCGCGGGGCCGTTGATGGTGGCGAGGGTGGGCATGGGCAGGCCTTCAAGCGTGCCGAGGGCGCGGCGGAGGTCGAGCAGGAACTGGTCGACCTACGCCTTGGACATCGACGCGCGTTCGACGAGGTCCGCGCCGACGCAGAACGCGCCGGGAGTCGACGAACGGACGACGAGGACGCGGGTGCTGGGCGCGCGCGAGGGGCACGGGGAAGGGGAAGACGCAGTTGAAAGCGATGTCTGGAGCCCACACCGGCAGGTGCACGCACCTCTTGTCAGACTGGACCAGTGATCCAAGCACTCCGGGACTCCTACGTGCGCCGCCCTCGAGGGCCGCAGGCGTGAGCGGAGAAGGGTAGTCAGACGATGCGTGTGAACTAAGATGTCAGAAGGCTCACTCACTCACAATCACAGAATGCGGGAGAGTGAGCAAACCGGGCGAGAGATGCACGCACATGGAGTCGACGAAGGAGCAAGATATGGAGACCACTGGAGACCATGGCGCGCTGGCAGAGCGCAACAGGTCCGCGCGCAGGGCGACTGGTCAGTGCGTGGGAAGTAGCTACCATTTTAACACGGGAGTATCGCGCATGATAGTCCCTGACTAGTGCGCTGTCTCGACTTTGTTTTTTTGTTTCCCTGCCTCCTCTTTTCGGGTCCTCCTACACCTCCATTTCCGCCTCGTTGAACCCCTTCCAACTGTGCGCTCACATAGACTACCGAGAAGTTGGACGGAACGGCTACCCAAGCCTCGTCGTGCAAAACACCAGGTGCGCCGTCTCGAACTTGCTTCCCTACATCCTCTTTCGCGGCCCCTCACCATTCATTCCTTCCTAGTCGAACACCTCCTGCGCGCCCATGGAGACCTCTCGCGCGAAGCCCTCTCTTAGGCCGTCGGGCCGCGCCGGAACTCAAACAAGAGGCGAACAAGAGTCTGGAGCGCGGCCGCATTCGCACATCGGAGCTCGAGGCGGAGCGCGTCCGCGTTGTCCTCCACCCCGCACGCGTGGAGAACTGTGGCAAGCATGTGCACGAACCCGACCCTTACCCCTCTCCCCGTCCTCGGGAGCCTCGCGCAGCCGGTGGAGGTGCGTTCGGACCGTCAGCACCCGGCGACCACCTGAGGTTCGGCACACGCATTCAGCAATGGGTGGTGGAGAGGAGACTCGGACCGAAGGGCAAGGACACAAGGTAACGTGCATACCTTGCGTTCTTATACTTGTGTAGACCGCGAGGCTCCTTTCACCCACGCCACCCCGGCACATCGAGCACAGGCTGTGGGCATAGATGCCCTAGAATGTGACTTCAACCACCGCGTCGCACGCGCCAGACCATCCACGACGCTTCGGCCTAGCCCTCACGCGGACAGGGCCAGCTTCGCTCCTCCCTCTCACCGTCCGCACGCGGCACAGGTGAGGAAGACCTGGGCGGCGCGGAGCTCTGTGGGGGAGTTTCGAGCAACACAGCGGTCCGCCGGTGCTCCTCGCGCGCGGCGGCAAGCTCCCACTGGTGTGCCTTCGCGCTACGCAAGTTACGCCGAATGTATGTACAATGTACCGAGTTCTTCTGTTAATGTTATATAAGTGGTGCAGCCAATGACTGCATGTTCTACACAAAATTTTTACTGAATTCCTGAGGTATCCCGTCCGCTGAGGGCGTCTCGACTGTCCTCTCGTGGCGTCACTCAGACACGCGAGAGCTCGGTAGGAGCCGGCCGTGACTCTCAAGGTGTAGTGAGCAGCCGCTGCAACTCTGGAGTGCTCGCGAGCTCACCGCGGTGCTCGCCGCTGCTCGGGCGACCTCGATATCATCAGTCATTACGCTCGAGAGCTCGAGCGCTCTCCCGGCCATCACTGGCAACAAGCGTGCGATCCCGAGTTCGGGCCGGGGCTCTCGCGCGGTGCGCTTTTTCCTGATGTACCCTCATTACTTTTCGCGCGAATAGTGCACCAATCCTGGCAGTGCGTGTAGCAGATGCCTCGAAATATGCGAATTTCTCGTCTGCGACGGAAGGTCTACTGAGCTGAGCTGGTTAGTGAGTGGGCTTGCAAACATGGCGCGCGGGTGCACAATGCTGAGACTCGAGGCGGGTTATCCGGTGTGGCCCGCGTATACGTACGTGCCACGCATCTACGTCGATGATCCTGTGAGTCTTCCGATGGGTGCGATCATGAAGCAGTGCTGACTTGAGTTGCAGCCTCCAGGCGACTCGGCTCATCGACGCGGCGGACGTGTGACTGCGTGCATACAGCTTTCTCAGACCGATCTCGAACCAAGCCTCTATCTGCTCGTGCGCGGGCGGGACATGTCGCGCGGCGGTGCTTCTCCGCCAGGACCGCGTGCTCGACCGGCTTCCGATACCATGGAGCCCACCTGCGCAGTGCGAGTGGCACTGTGCGGTGATTTGGAAGCGTTTCCCTTGATGCCGCGGATGGCCGCCGTGGTGCGGAGTCTTGATCTGGTTCCCGATGAGCTTCTCCAGTCTAGGACGAGGCTGGGCGTAGTTCTATGACTTCGACGATTTCGGGTTTGATGCCCTCACTTGAGAGGAAGACCCTCTGGGACGAATGGGAGATCGCTTCTTCTGAGCCGCGACAACAGCACAGCAACTGACGACTACGGAACAGGGACCATATGGCGAGCCGTGACTTCGTTTATGAAGCGTGTGGGGCAATGTGCGTCGGTAAGGACGAATGATGCGCGTTAGAGAAAAGACAGTGCTTCGTACAGACCCTAAGCTCAGGTAATGGATTGAGGACGGATAAAATATGCAGAGCTCCGACGGGGTTCCCATTCTGAACACCGGCGCGTTTCGTGCTCGGTGACAGCTTTTGAAAGAACGCGACAATGGTCTCACTTGATGCTATCTGAGCCCTGACTGTCCCCAGAGAAACTAGCACGATGCACTATCAGAACGCGTGCCAGTCCAGCCTGTCTTCGTGGTGTAAGTTAGAAATATATGGAACGGCAGATTCCCCCCTTGCCGTGGTCTCCTGATGATTTCACTATGCATCGAGAGATAGAAGTGCGTGCACAAGTTATTGCCACCACAAGTAATCACCAAGGATCTCTCCAGGACGAGACTACATCACTCAATCTGGTCGCGGTCGCCAATGACGAGCTCGCTGACCCTGACGAACTGAAGAAGCAGATCGTTGCGGTGAGAACACGTATCTCGATGAGTCCTTCCTCTCCGATATAAGGCGGATAAATCCCTTGCGCTGTGCGACCCTAGATAGAATACATACGTAGCTCGATCAAAATCAACGCATCTACCACTAACGAAGCACACGGCCAAGCGAAGTTGCACCAGTACAGCCCCAGTGCGCTGACAGATAGTTCCGCCCATACCAACAGCCGCGATAATCTCGCACCAGCCTGCGCAGATGGAAGCCTGGTTCAACTATTCAAGGCAACATGCTTGTGTGGCGCTCCATAAGGCCTCGTATAAAAAGGAAATCAACACCATTCACACCATCCTCCCCCCACAGCACAATGTCAACGGAAGATCTCGGTGTCCAAGTTTCGCAAGTGATAGAAGAATATCAAGCCCTGTATGTGCTATTCTGCAGAAATGAAACCACTTCTCATTATCTCCTCGGTATGACCATATAGTTACACTGGAAACTACGTGGTTATGGCACCAGCCGGTCAGTACTCTGTTCATATAAGCTATGGAAAGAGGTTCACATCTACAAGCCATCCTCGTCTTCGACTATTTCCTCACGTTCGGCCGAGAGGTCAATTTCTTCTGGAACCGGCGTGTGTCCGGACCGACAGTGCTATTCATTTTGAATCGCTATCTTGCCCTTATTTTCCAAATTTTTTTGTTCCTTGGATTTCACCCATTTACCGACCAGGTGTGTGTTCACCAATTTTCCTTGGATGTCGGCACTCACTTTCCCGTGCTTTTCAGACGTCAGTTTGATGTATACTTCTCTTAACTCCCTTAAACTCAGGTCCACGTACAACAGTTGCACAATACTGAACAACACCACTTGGGTATTAGAATACATACAATTGATCCCTTCGGCAGGTGTGTATAGCACTGCCTATCACTTGATGAGCAATGACGAGCAGTATCCACTAGCATTTTCCGCGATGCGCGCATTAGCGCTGAGTCAAAGTCGCCCACTTGCAATTCTGGTGCTGCTATTTTCCATTGTGAATGTGGGCTTCGACCTTGTGCGTGTAAACTCTTCATTCATTCTTCTACACGGCCCGTAATGTGGCTCCTACACGCAGAGTACTGTCCAATATCGGACACAGAGCATCAGTGATCCGGCTTGGGGAGCACAGGTGATTTCCCTGGTGCATCCGTTGCGATAGCCTATCGGCAGCTACGGATGCATCTGGACGGATCTGGCGATCCGTGATGCGCGCCCGTGGAGACGCGCCTCGGTGGGCGGCAAGGACGCGTGGCTGTGATGCACGCCACGCGTCCCTCCCGCCGTCCTTGCTCTCCTCCCCGCCTCCTCTTCCTCCTCCTGCTCCGCCTCCACCGCCCAGGCAGACGATGGCGACTATACAGTCGTCCTTCGTCTGCTATTGGACTCCGGTGTCACCTGGTGACACCGTTCAGCTCCCCTCCTCCTCCTCCCTCGACCTCAACCTCAACCTCCATGCCGTCCTTCGCCCACTTTGCCGGCCGCGTCCACACAGGTCCACACCGCACGAGGACGTCCATCCGGACGTCCTCAGCATGGAGATTAGAATTAGGGGGTCGCGGCGATGTACCGCGGCCCTTGTTTTGGTGAGTCCCCCGCTCCGCCCTCCTGCACTCCCAATGCCCACCTCTCCTCTCCGGCTTCGCCCATCCGGCCTGCCGCCAGCCTTGACCTCCGTGTCCACCTCGCCCACCTCGCCGCTGCCCTCCTCCCCGTTGCCCTCCTCCGCGCTGCTCTCCGCCCACCTTCGCGCTGCCCGCCTGCGCCCGCACACCCTCCTCAGCCTCCCGCACCTCCATGTCGCCCGCGTCCGCGTCCGCGCCGCCTCCCGCCACCCGCATCTATGCGCCTCGCTAGGCTCCCCCCCTTCGCCTCGTCCCGGCCCCCCGCGTCCGCGCTCCTCCTCCTCCTCCTCCTCCGCGTCCTCCCCCTCCGCGTTGCCCGCCTCCTCCGGCTCGTCCACTTCCGCCCGCGCTGCCCTCCTCTGCCTCCGCCGACGTCACCTCCTCCGCCGGCGTCGCCTCCCCCGCCGGCGTCGTCTCCTCCGCTCGCGTCGCCCGCCCTTGTTGCTCTGCGCCTCCTCCCCCTTCGCACCGCACACCCCCGCCCGCGTCGCCCACCACCTACTCCGCCTCGTCCCAGCCCTCCGCGTCCCTCTCCTCCGCATCGCTTGCCTTCGCGTCTCCCGCGTTCACGTCGCCCACGTCCTCCGCCTTGTCCCGAGGGACATGGTATTACTTACTAGCACACTTATGTAGTAGTTTACTAATAAATATATTTTTATCACTAATCATATACAAGATGTGGTGTGAAGCAAAGAGGGAGGCGAGCTCACTGTCGGAGACAGTGAGCTCAGGTGGCGGCGCCTGAGGCGCCGGTGTCCGGACATCTGGGTGCGACGCTGTCCCAAGGGCGCGCTTGGGGAAGGCGGTGTCGAGCGCAACCGGGCCGGCCGGCACCAGATGCATCCGCACCTGCTGATAGGCTGTCACAATGGATGCACCTGGCGAATCACTACTGTAGGCTTGGGGTTGCCTCGTGAATGGCCTTCCAATCCCCAGGACGCTCCTGATATCGTGAGTATGTTCTCGAAGTGCGGTGTTTGTGATTTCTAACACCTCCGATCACACAGTGGTACGTACTTTTGGATTTATTAGCGGTTTCATATTCAACTTCAGAGTTTCATCCGGTCTGCTTCAGGGGAGGTACTTTCTCGGTCACTGCTGATCCTCGCAGATGGAATTGTTATCTTTCTAACCTGGAGAACCGTCCGGTCTCCTGGAATGAAACTGGATCATCAAGGGGTGGCCAGTTCGCCACGGACATTCGCCGACATCATGCTACACAATGGTCCGTTGAATTCTGTATCCGACAACCGTATGCTGAGTTATGAATCGTTCACAGGAGCCATGTACTTCGTGTACGTTTCGCAGAATTTCCTTCGAATTCTTTTCCAATGTGTGTTTTATTGCACAGCGTTTTTCTTCTTTTGAATGCTCTCCGTATGGCAACCACATTGAGAGGAGTAGGCAGTATAGTATGTGGTGTCCCGTCCGTTTATAATGATCCGATGGGTACCAGATCATATCCCCTGGTCAAGGCTCCTTGATTAGCGCATTCAGCGATCCGTAAGTATAGCATGCAGCTTCTATATTACTGGCACATTCTCATATACTTCATGCCAGTATTACAACGATCCTCGTATCACGATTCTTGCTTGACCTGCAGGAGGCTCATCAGCGGATGGTCAAGCTTGGCTCAGACGACCTACTCCACTCGTCTGCCTCCGAACTCCAGGTCGGAATCGGATCCCTGCGATTCGCGGTGGACGGTATGGGATCCATCGGAGCCGATCTTCGGAATCTGGACGAAGTCAACGCCTCGGAAGGAGAAGAAATACAGGTGACGGAGGACGTGGACAACATGGCATAGGCATGTCGGTGCAAGGCTTGATGCGTTGACCCTGGCCTAGAGATCGGAGGTGCGGAACCTGACGCAACAACCTTGTTCCGATTAACACTGACCGCTATTTAGATGGAAGTCATCATGACCTCAACAGCACAACCCAACATCTCATAGAATTTCCATGCTGCTGAACTTTGAATATTTCTCGGATGACACAAATACGGCTGTAGTGTTTCTTGCTTTCTTATTTTCCGTTTGTATTTATTGCGGGGTCTGTGTTGTGCTGCATCCATGCTATGATGTATCTATTAATTCTTCTTGCGCATGCCGGAATGACAATGTTGTGTTCAGATCCGCTCTGAGCTGAACTTTGCCTCAAAAAGAGAGCGAACATATAACTTGTTACAATCCCGAGTCACGACGCCACAGCGTACTAGCACACAGTGAACTCCCAACCCCGATGCACTTCCTTTGTGACCTCCACCTATGCAGACTACTACAGGAAGCGTGCTCGCCACGGACACTAAGAAAATCGACGCTTTAACAAATGAGCATCGAGAGTTATGCGGATGAAAAAGCAAGATATCGTCGGCCGTACATTACCTCGATTAATGAGTGAATCACGCGCATACATGCACCTGTGTGTCGCGAGATATCTCTGGCGAACTCTTACAATCGTGGCTCCTAATTCGGGTCGAGTCCGCGCATTTAAACATCTCCGCCTGATCGCCATCTTGGCACCACCAGATCTCCACTCGCCTGCCCGCCGGCGCGCCCTTACCTTCTACCCACCACCACCGCTCTACGCGCGGAATCTCTTTCCTGAGCTCCCGCAGCTGCCGCATCGCAGGGCTTACGAACTCGCACGTCTTCCCCCAACGCCATTCAACGCTTGGCCATCAGCTCCTAAGGGTGGATCCTCCAAAGCCGTGCGCATTCGACTGGCGCCGAAGCCGGTCGATCCGAGGGGACACGCGGAGAGTGCGACCGCGCGGATCGACGTGACGGCCTCGACTGGCCGGAGCGTGGGTGGGCGGAGGGCCTCGACGCGGCGGGCCTCCGGCGTCCACCCCGGAGATGCTTGATGCGCGGCGGTGCGAAACAGCGGCGGGGAATTCCAGAGAGAGATGGACGAGCTGAGTCGGTGACCGAAGTGCAGCGAGCACGGCTTCCTGGCGTCACGGAAGGCTGGAAAGAGTAGCGGTGGACTTCGGGTCAAGGAGTGGACGGACAATGTGTTCGCGCACGCTGCACTCGCCTTCTTTCACCACGATCTCGCAGGACCGGAGACCGAAGGCAGGAAAGAAGGTGCCAGGCTGTGAGAAGCGGGAGGAAATCGCAAAAGTCATCCGGGTCGGAGATCGTACTGGTCAACGTGAGGGAGACGAGACACATGCACAGGTCCTCTCGGAGCCAAGGACGGTGACGGTTCCACCGGACGCGTGGGCATGGGATGCCGTCAAAATCCGGAGAAGGGTGCATAGATGGCAGGCGCATTGCATGAGGGTGCACGCGTATGGTTCATTCATGGGCCTGATCAGGAGAGAAACAGTGTCTGGGACCGGGAGATCCGAGAGATCCTTCATCTCCACCGCCTCCTCCAGCCTCGCCGCCGCGGCGCGGCACGGCCCCTCCAAGTCGTGATCGAAGAGAGCTCGCGCAACGTGCGCGAGTGCACGCTACGTCCAACTATCATACGTCGCGCGAAAGCGAGCCTGAGCAGATGCTTGCCATGCTTGAGGTACATACCGCGCGTCCGCATCCCCACTTCTGTCTTGTGTGCATTGCATACGTGCGCGCTACCACTCATACCGGCACCTCGCGGAATAGAATCCTACACGCAATATCGATCAGCTACCGTGGACACAGGTACGTCAAGCGCGATGAAACACTCACCGTCGAGGCTTCTCGCAGGGTCGAGGCTCGCGTCTTTGATGAGCTCGCGCGCCTTCTCCCCATCCTCCCTCCAGATCTCTACCGGGGTGCGCGCCGCGCCGTCGCCCTCGACCCACCACCACCGCTCGTCGCGCGGGATCTCCGTCCGCAGCTCCCTCAGCCTCCGCAGCGCGGGGCTCACGAACTCGCTGTCGGTCCCCACCGCCGCTCCACATCGTTTTCGCGCGCGAGCGCTGCCATCACCCCCTCGTCGAGGTCCTCGTGCTGGCGCGCGTTCGTCTGGTGTCGAAGCCTGTCGACCGGGGAGACAAGAGGAGAGCGCCAGGACGCGGAGCGTCGGAAGCGCCTCGACGATCTGTGGAGGGAGCGGCCGGAGCGCTTCGACGCGGCGGGCTTCGGTCGCGCGCCAGCTGTCCACTGGGTCATCCTCGACGCGCGATAGTGCTGTGCGATCGGCGGGAAGTGCAGGGAGAGGTGGACGAGCGCTGGCGATGCGGATCTCAGTGCTGCAAGGAGCGCCTCCTGGTGGGGCGGGGGGGTCAGCGTTCGGGGAAAAGAGAGAGGGAAGACGGGACGGACCACGTATTCGCGCACATCGCACTCGCCGCACGTGACCACGATGTCGAGCGAGCGCAGCCCGGGCGCGACACCACATAGCGTGCCCCAAACACGATCCGGGTCTGCGATCGTGGGTGTAGTGTGTAGCTTGACGGCGGTGGGCCGGACGGCCACGAGAAGCTGGAGGAACTCGGAGAGGTCGTCTGTGTCGGAGATCGGCGAGATCTCCCCCAATGCTAGCGAGTCGACGCGCCCGACACGCCTCGCAGCTGGGATGACCGCGGGGGAAGGGACGTCGAGCCGCTTGAGTCCGGTGGGCCAACGGTCTTCTTCTGCGATGCGAAGTGTCACAGGCCGCTCTCCAGGCCCCGCAATCAGCCGAAGATACAAGGTGGTGACGTTTGGACACAGGGTGATGATCCCGAGGGGGGTCTGAAGATAGCAGCAGAAAGAGAGGTGGCGGATGGAGGGAAGGATGGTTTGGAATGCATTAGGAAGTCGGAGGGGATCCGTCTGCACGAAGTACGAGAAGAGGGAGAGGGTGTGCAAGCTCTGCATGGAGGCGAGGCCTGAGATGAGTTTTTCGATGTCCATGTCACCAGGCCTGAGGCTGAAGGACGCATCGTCTAATTTAAGAGTCAAGGAGGTCAAGTACCGACTGGACAGCATCTTCGAAAGAGAAGCCACCGTCTCAGGGCCGATATTTATGAGGCTTGCTTGCTCGAGCTTGTGCATGGCGCCGATAGCTTCTACGAGGAGTCGGTCTTGGTGTACGAAGTGCTCGAAGTTGTGGATATCGATAGTGCGGAGGTTGGTGGCCTGGCTGAGAAGTTTGCGCAGAGGAGGGACATCGACGTCACAAAAGTGGTGGAGGGTGAAATTGCGGAGGTGCTGGACGCGGGGGACTTTGGAATATGGCTCTGGTGCGCGCATGTACCGCGAAAGTGCGCGGGCTTCGGAGGCGTCCCCCTTGTCTACTTCAATGTCCCTGTCCCAGTAGACGTTGGCGAAGACTCTGGATATGGCAAGGGATTACGCACGCCTGGAGGTTGAAGAGGTCGCGAGCGCATCGTTGCGGCCGAGGAGGGAGAATATCACGAGAAGGACGTCGTCGTGGAGAGAAAGAAGGGAGGTGGAGCGCATTTTCTGTGCCGCACGTACTCACGGATGGTCCGAGACGGAAACTTGCGTGCGGAGTCGGTGCTGGTAGCCTTGCTGCGTCTGAACCGCAGGGTAGAAATGACTGGGAGTAGAGAGGGAACGAGTGCATCGTGCGCAGGCGTCGAGCCGGCTGCAAGCGCGAGGGGCAAGGTCGGCGTCTACGCCTTCGCAACCCTTGCTATCTAATCTTATCTCATGGAGCGCTTACACATCTGGGCGCAAAATGGCTGCCCAGCCCCGCCCAACGCAGTTCATCGTCCTCTTCCTCATTTTATTCGCTGTTCACCCGGCCACCCCTCACGACGACAGCATTTCCGCAATTTATATCCTTTTTTGAGACAGGTTACTCGGTGCACGCTTACCGGTACACAAGGACTTAAAGGGCAAACGGGTATGCCACGTGGCTCGAGTAAGAACGAGGCGATGACGCAGCACACACCTTAGCTGTACAGGAAGTGTTGCTGCACACAGAGAGAACGCACTGCGTCTTTCAGGACCAAGGGCGGTGGTAGATTGACCGGACTCACTCGCGGAGCGCGGATCGTAGTCGAAAAGGAAAGTGCAAGGAGTTCGACTTGGCAATGGCTCTGAACGGTGAGTGTTCCCTCGTCGCCCTCTGCGATTCCTATCTGTACGAGGTGCGGATGTTCATGGGGCATCCTTATTCTGGGAAGGGACCAGCATGACACCAAAGTATCTCCACCCGTCTTTACCGTACATCTGCCGCGCTATCGCTGCAGTTCCGTTCGCTCGAAGGTGTGTGGAAACATCGACTGTGACGCGCCTAAGTACGTAGTATGTTCACGTTCCGACTCCCCTCTGCGTCCCACCTTCCGCGCGCTGGTCTTCATCGTGCTACAGGAGTCGCTGCTCGCCGCGATGAAATCTACGCGGCTCGTCCAGCTGGCCACCCACCCTCGCTCGCGGATGTGCGTCCAGCGTACGTCGAGTCGGTGACTGTCCAGTCGCGAGAGTGTACCGCGCCCACTTTCGGTGCGACCCGTCTCGCCCCCCATCGTCACGGTCTCCCCGCGTCGGCTGGGGCCCGCCGGCTTCGACGCACGCGGGCTGGCTGGAGCCGTTGGACATGCCCATGGCGGTCTTGGGGCTCGAGATTCCAAGGTGGTGTGGCCCCGCGAGCGTGCTCCTCACCGCTTCGTGCCGGAAGATCTGGGAGCCCCGAAGGACGATGTGGACGCCGCGCTCGAGCTCGTCAAGGGTGGGCATTTGACACGGCGACGACGGCGACGGGTGAGTTGCCTCGTTATTTCTCGCGCGAATACCGTACATCAATACTAGAAGTGCTTGTAGCAGATCTCTGGAAGTCTGCGCATTTCTCGTCCGCAACAGCAGGTCTTCTGAGTCGATCATCGGGTGGGCTTGCGGACTTTGCACAATGCGGAGACTCGAGATCAGTTATCAGGTGCGGGTCGCGTACGCCACACGCATCTGCGTCCACGATCAGGTGAGTCTTCAGACAGGTGCGGTCAAGGCTCAGTGCTGACTTGAGGTGCAGTACCCATGCGATGCAGCTGTTCTGATGAGATGTGGCCTAATCTGTTATGCGGCGGGCGTATCACTGTATGTGTACAGCCTTCTCACATCGACCTCGGACCACACCTCCATTTGCCCGTGCGCGAGCGGGACATGCCGCGCGACTACGTGCTCGACCGGCTTCCGATACCGCGGAGCCCATCTGCACGGTGATTCGAGAACGTCTCTCTCGATGCCGCGGATGGACGCCTCGGCGCGGGGACTTGATCTGGTTCGCGAAAAGCTTCTCCTAGGGCATAATTCTAAAGGTTCGTTCTGATGGTCTTCTGGACAGGCACACTTTGTTGGTGATGAAGTTGGCGAGAAGAAAGGGCTCACGTGGTGGCGCGTGCAGTGCAGGCGGCCAGGCCACGGTCGCACGTCATCGCTGGAAATCCGACAGGGTTTCCATTCTGAACACCGGCGTGTTTCGCGCTCGGTGACAGCTTTCCGATGAGCACGGCGATGGTCTCACCATCCGGTCCCTGACCGTCCCCAGAGACACTGGCATTAATATTGTGTCCAAATGTAGTATTGTACGCGTGTATGAACGAACGACACGTTCTGGCTCCGGACGTTAGCGTTGAGCGCTTCATCAGCGAGAGAGGGTGCACGGCGTAAAGCAGCACCCTTCGGACTGACACAATTGCGCAAGCGGCGGATCGGTAACGCAGTGTTGACATTGACCTCTGCTCTGTTGTGTTCTGGCAATGGGTGATATGTATGGTTCCTGGCGCCCCAGTGACCGTCAAAGGCACGTTGATGAGTACTTCTGGACGCCCTTAGTGATCAAATTCACGCCCGCCCACGAGCCGATGCCAGACGATACGTCCGCGGATGATCACGGCGAGGACGGCACTGGGACGCAGGCGCGGTGGCTCGTCGCGCTCGAGGAGGCGCTCGCGACGGCGGTTCCAGGGACTGGAGGAGAGGCTGCAAGCGCTACGTCGGGGGATGACGGGGTGTACGGAGTGATATCACCGCGAGACGGGCTGGTCGCGCGCGCGGTCCAAGCTTCGACGAGATCCTAATCACGGGCGCCTTGGAGCGAGAGAGACATCGTGAAGACCGACAGCGTCATTCAAAAACGTATATATTCCAGCGACAAACTACAGGCTGTATCGACATCCTTCCGAAAAGGACTTGAAAGCGAGGCGAGCGGTCCTGCCAGGGTAAGGACGTGACGGTGTAGAGAGACTCACCATTGAGACCCATCCTCAGGTCGAAGTCCGGGCGCACAATTGGCTCGGGCACCTTCGGCCAGACCCTGATAAGCTGTCCCTTCCCGATCCACCACCACCTCAAGTCCCGCACGCGCTCGAGAGGCAGCGCCCACAGACGGGCAAGCGTCGGACCCATATGCGGGCCCGACACCTCTTTCTCCGGCTCCTCGCGGAGCTAAGCTGGAAGCGGGTGCTCCTCGTCGATCGCGGCCTAGGGCCACGGGGCGGAACGTTCCCAAAGCGAGGACGCGAAGCGACGCGAAGCGACGCGAGGACATACGTGATGGTGAGGGGTAGTGCGCCAGAGAGCGCTCGAGGCTTGAAGGCGCCGACCGCTCGCCGAAGACGTGCCCGGGGGAGGACGCTGGCGCCGCTGTCGGGACGTAGATGTGGATGGGGACGACGAGGACGTCCCGGGGGCGGACACGGCCATGGAGCACGTACTTGCGCCAGGCCAGCGCGTATCGTGCGGGGCTCTGTGCGTACGTCAGGGCATGCACGGGGGAGAAAACGGGTCAGCAAAGCAGAGCGGACGGAGGGAAGTACGCCGCCTCACTGGTGACGAAGATGCTTGTGATCCCAAACCATATCCACTTGATGACCATGACCAGGTTTGTCGGGCCCGTCGTGTGCGTCGTCGTCCAGGTCGTGCATTTCGTCATCCCAGTTCAAGACGGAAATTGGCGGGGGCGCACTGTAACCATTGCGCCTCGATTCATCCGTCGCGCTCTTCGATACAGAGCGAGCCCCGCCCTTCTGGGAATTTGCCGGGCACGAAGCGACCGCGAGACAAAAGCGGACACACACCGCTGGTGTGCTATCCAAATGTAACGGGGGCACATCGCGGTGAACGGGGGCACAGGCGGGAGATTGCGACAGGGGTACTCACAAGTCACAGGTTCCTAAGATAGACAGATGGACCGCCGCCGTCAAAGACCCCTTGACCCCAGGCGGAGGGGTGGACGTCGGCAGTAGCGCGAACGAGACGCGGATTAGTGGCCTAAGAGAGCCCACGGAAGCGCGGGATACCTGCGGGGGGCGCGCAATGGCGAAGAAAGAGCTTAGGGGCTCATTGTCGTCCTGAAGGTCGAGGAGGAAAAGAAAGAGGGTGTGACCCAGGGCGTGGCTGGTGAGGTGGGCAAGGTGGAGGTCCGAGGACTGGGCGGCGGAGAAAACCGACGTAGGGAGTTTGACAGAGGAGGATGGATGTGACGGTCGCGCGCGGAGCGGAAGGGCGAAAACGGGGAAAAGAGCTGTGTTGCTCGCTAGCTTAAGACAATGCGAATGCGGAGACTAAGTACTACTCTAGATAGGAGAAGTGGAGCTCCAATAACGACACTGTCATGGGCGCGGCGAGAATGAGTAATGCAATGAAGTATAGCCAAGCCCATGACACCATCCCCTCTTCAAGGGAACGACAGTATAGGCTCAGAAAAATTTCTCAAGACAGTGCGGAACGCGATGGCAAGGTAGCGTGGCAAGGCAGGAGGTGAAGGTAACGAAGTGGGAAAACGGCGGTGAGGGAATGGAAAGGAGGGGATAGAGGGAGAACAGGACTGCGAGTGCGAGACGATGAGACGCGAGCGCGAGTGAACAATCGCGGTCCGATTGAGCGGCAGGCCGCGCGCGCGAGGACGGAGCGCGGCCGCGCGATGTGGGGTGGAGGGAGAACGGGACGGGGAAACGAAAGGTGCGCGATAGCGGCTTCGAGGGTGCAGAATGGCAGCGACGTAACGGTAACGACGTGGGTGTAACGGACGCGATAGGAAGGGACAAAGGAGGGGAGAACGCTGAAGGACAAATGAAAAGCGTACTTGAAGAAATCGACCAAATACGATGTCTCCCGATTGCGGACTGCTTTCGGCAGCTCCTGCCTCCCTGATCGGATGGAAATGGTGCTTAAGACCAGTGGCGGCGATGATCAGATGTTGCGGCGAAGGAACCAACTGGGACGGCTGAGCGAGTAGGTGAAGTCGAAGGGTGTGCGAAGGTCGAGCGGAAGGAATGTGAGTCAGGAATTGAGTCGGAGGAGGAGACGATGCGGAGGAGCGCAGCGCGCGAGCACGACCGTGACTTGCAAAGTAACGACGTCCAATAGGCGCACAGTGTTCGCGTGCGAAGGACGATGGCGGAGAGCAACGAGGATGAGGTCGAGTACGCGCGGCAAGCTCGTCGTCTTTCGACGCCGAGCGCCTATGGCAAAGGCTCGGGGTTGAGGAGATCGGGGGAAGGGAGTGAGTGACAATGATGCGGAGGATATCGATGAGGGAGAAAGGCATAGTTAATCAGCTTGGGAATCATCTTGTCGATACGGACGGAGTGAGGACGTCTGAGGACGTCTATCCCCCCTTTAGGCTCGGAAAGGGAGCGCGACGTGAGATTCAAGGCTGGAAAAGTGTGAAAGATTGGCATAGGTCGGCATGAGGTTGGTTGGGCATAGATTGACATAATGTGCGGAGGGAAGGGAGGGAGGGAGATGATGAGCGGCGACTGGGCCACTGGACGGCTGGTCGGCGACAATGAGGTTGTCGGAGAGGTCCGACGGACCGTCGTTCGGTGGGGTCGTGCAGAATGCTGTAAGGTTCGTCGCAGACTGGAGCCTGGAAAGAGTTTCCGGCTGATGGCGTCCGAATGTAGCAATGGTGTGGCGACGTGCAAGAAATCGGGGATTAAGGGCGACCGAAGCCATCCAAACCCGAACAAGGCAGCGAGGGGCGACCGGAGCCATCCAACGCGAGAGAACGATGAGGCGACATGATGTAGGAGATCGCGACCGCGTGGAGCGACGTTGAGACGTCGTCCGATGAGGGTGCGGGGATCTTGAGAGGTCGAGGTCGAAGTTGCGAGAGGCGGTGAATTAGGGAGGTGCGAAGACGGATGGGTGGAAAGGGGGTCCTTGAATATTCGCGCGGCGAAAGCTGCTGCTGAGCAGCAAGCTGGGACCAATGATGATGTACTGAGGACTGAGAGTGAACGAAGGACGGTGTGCCGGGAAGGGAAGGAGAGGTGGGAAAAGCGAGCAAACTGTGACGGTCGCGCGCGGAGCGGAAGGGCGAAAACGGGGGAAAGAGCTGTGTTGCTCGCTAGCTTAAGACAATGCGAATGCGGAGACTAAGTACTACTCTAGATAGGAGAAGCGGAGCTCCAATAACGACACTGTCATGGGCGCGGGGAGAATGAGTAATGCAATGAAGTATAGCCAAGCCCATGACAATGGAGGTGGTGGAGGCGGAGGCGGAGGTGAAGGTGGTGGACAGCTGCCAGCACGGACGCGCGTCGCGCGTCGGGCATAGGCGCTAGTATGTATGGCGACCATGTCCCGTGATCGCGTCGCCGCGCGCGAATCGAGATGCTGTCCGAACTTCCGTCCAGTCTCCCCTACGCAGCACCCTCTTTTTCTAGATACAACAATTGCTCAAGTTCACGTCGTGTTCTCGCTTCCTCTGCGCTCCCTGCCGCATCTCGTCCCCAGCATACCACCATTCCTCTCCATCAAGCCTCCACGCGCTATTGCACACTTCAACTGCCACAAGCATCATCTAGCTTCGTCTCAGGCCCCCTTCGCCTCCATATGACTGCCGTCTCTGGTACCTTCAAGTACTGTTTGCTATCCCTCGTTGCTCAAGAAGCGGCCACGGTCCGCTATCCGGTTCTCTGGCTCGAGCTTGCACAACAGACCGTGAGTCTTCATTGCTTACGCACGCGGGGCCGTGATACGTACGTTCTCCTATCACCCGCGTCATGCGTTCACCAAAAAGACGCAGCAACCACCTTCCGCTTCGCTGCCAAAACCCATCTTTCCTCCCGTTACCATCCACGCTGACACCCCGCTGCGCAGCGCGGGCTCCTCGCGTAGCTTGTACGGCGCGCCGGGCATCTCCTATATATACCCCAGAGTCTTCCATGTCGATGGTAATGTCCCCCGCGTCGAACATATTCCCATCGCCCCCGTTCGGACAGTGACCCTCTACTACCAGATGCTGGGCGCAAAGATCGGACTCGTCACTCGCGGGCGCGCCTGGCCCTCGGGCGAGTGCGAGTTTCTAACGCTCCACGACAGCTGCTGAACATTAAATCGTCAACGCGCTTGTGTGCAGCTTCTGTGACGAGTGCGACGGCTGCTTCCCCTTCGAGCCAATCGTCGTCAGTGCTTCCATCAGGAA